CATGTTTATCCACTTAGTTAAATTAGTTAGATTTTTCGACATTAATGGTCAATGGTAGGAAATTTTCGTAACAGTTTTCTCAGCAACTACTTATCACAGCCTCTTGATATTTGGCATACAGCATTGACACATGGTCCCATACCGTGGGATTTGGATTTCAGGTCTGTCGCTCATCCACTTCCTGTTAATCCACTTAGTTGAATTAGTTAGATTTTTCGACATTAATGGTCAATGGTAGGAAATTTTCGTAACAGTTTTCTCAGCAACTACTTATCACAGCCTCTTGATATTTAGCATACAGCATTGACACATGGTCCGATACCGTGGGATTTGATTTCAGGTCTGTCGCACATCCACTTCCTGTTTATCCACTTAGTTAAATTAGTTAGATTTTTCGACATTAATGGTCAATGGTAGGAAATTTTCGTAACAGTTTTCTCAGCAACTACTTATCACAGCCTCTTGATATTTAGCATACAGCATTGACACATGGTCCCATACCGTGGGATTTGATTTCAGGTCTGTCGCTCATCCACTTCCTGTTTATCCACTTAGTTAAATTAGTTAGATTTTTGGACTTTAATGGTCAATGGTAGGAAATTTTCGTAACAGTTTTCTCAGCAACTACTTATCACAGCCTCTTGATATTGGCATACAGCATTGACACATGGTCCCATACTGTGGGATTCGATTTCAAGTCTGCAGCTCATCCACTTTCTGTTCACATTTATGGTCACTGGTAGGAAATTTTCGTAACATTTTTCTCAGAAACTTTTAATCACAGCCTCTTGATATTTGGCATACAGCATTGACACATGGTCCCATACTGTGGGATTCGATTTTAGGTGTGTAGCTCATCCACTTCCTGTATACCCTACTGAATTAAATTTTCGACATTAATGGGTCAATGGAAATTTTTTTTCGTAACATCACAGCCTCATGATATTTGGTGTACAAATGCAACCCGGCCTTTTCTGTCTTTGACCCATTTTTATATAACTATCCAGCTAGCCTATGTAACATTAGTGGTTCTACTCAGTTGACACTGACTGTGTCTAAAATAATTAACAGAAGGGTACCTAAAGTCGTTATTCACCAGTAGAGCTGGAAAGTCCCCACATGACCTCTGTTGTGTCGCTGCAACATAAAACTCAACATGCAACAAAAATATATAACTGCACAAATATTTATACTTGTAAAGTAGGTGTTCTGTGTTTGTGATCAAGGGTATACCTAGAGGCGAAAGGTTAAATAATAGTATGAAAATTATGTGAAATATTTGTTGGTTCAAACAAAAAAATTTTACTATCCTTTAACCTAACTTTACAGTCAGAAACCAATTCCTGTGTGCAAAGTCAAGGTTACCAAGTATGGTGAAATGTCCAACCAACTTTGTCAGAAGCATATCTTTTACATGCTCGGAGAGATTCTTATTACTTTATGCAAATATGCACCGTCATGAAACAAAGATGTTGCATGCTTGAAGTAGGGCAAGGGTCAACGTCACCTGAAGGTCTTTGGGGGGGGGGAGATTGTACACAGCATATATAATGTGAAAATTCATGACCATATTTTCATGTCTGGTGTATTTGTGACAATGGCACCTTTGTTAATGTATTTGCCATTTTCTTGTGTTGCCAAATAAACTTAAAATTGTTTCTTTGAATTACATTTACAAACAAAATCTCACAATAGACTTGAACAAATACAACAAAATGGGATTATGTATAATGTTCATTTGGACCTGTTTAATACACAATGCAACTTCTGTAGATCACTCCTCTATAGAGCAAAATCCCTATTTTACAACAGTCATTTCTTCCAAAAGTGAGACTCCAAAATGAATTTAGCTACTCTTTTCAACAACAAGAATCTTTGGTTTCCAAAGGTTCTTTCTCTTCAGAGATTACAATGTATATGTTCTGGTGTATAAAGTTATATATCTGCTGCAAAAATTAATGTTTGAATTTTGGAAAAGAATACATGTACTTCCAAAATGCCTGTATGAAAAAAATAAATCCTACAAGACCAAATGGCGCATGCACAAAACCATTGATCAGTGGTTAAAACTTTTCTTAAAATGGCAGCATAATATGTTTCTTGTTCTAGAGCATTTTATTACAATATTTGTGTGTTAAAAAAACAGACATTTGATGTTACAGCTGTTGAGAATGGCCACAAGGTTATTGAAATCATATATATTCACTGTTGATAGATGCTATAAAAATATTCAAATACTGACTGATTCATTATTTAATATTGAACAATAATTACTTCATAATGAAAACCTGCATTAGCAGATTTTGTAACTGTTAAGTTGTTTTATATTGCACAAAGGTGTATAATGTTTAATCTGAGAGCAAGAGATGTTTCAAAATTTAGTTCATTTTTAGTTCGACCTTTTTTTTTTTTGAAAAAAAAGTAGTATTACTATAGTCGCGGCGGCATTGCCGTTGCCGTCCGCAAACTTGTACCTGGATCATAACTTTTTTATTTCTTGGTGTATTGTCTTCATACTTGGCCACAACAACCCTTGGGACAAGACCTTTCAGTAGACCACACTAACCTTGACCTTCATCCATAAATGACCTTGACCTTCAAGGTTAAAAGTCCAAATTTTGCTTGTTCATGCTGTTATTGGCTGTAACTTTGTTATTTGTAAATGGATTGTCTTCAAACTTGAACATAATAATCTTCAAGGATATCCCTTAAAATAGCCAGACAGACCTTGACCTTCACTCATTAATGACCTTGACTTTGAAGTTCAAATTATTGAAATTTTCATTTTTATGCCCCCACAATGTGGGAGCATATAGCGTTGCACTTGTCCGTCCGTCAGTCCGTCCGTCCGTACGTCCCGAAATCTTGTGAACGCAACTCCTCTTAAACCGGATGGCAGATTTTGCTTAAACTTACAGGGATGAACAACCTTAATGTGTAGATGGTAGTAAAGGAAGGAATTTTCGCTGCGCCCAAATTTAACAGAATTATGGCCCTTTGTTGATTTTTCACTAGATACTATATAGAAATTTTGTGAACGCAACTCCTCTTATACCGGATGGCAGATTTTGCTTAAACTTACAGGGATAAACAACCTTAAGGTGTAGATGGTAGTAAAGGAAGGAATTTTTTGCTGCGATCAAATTTAACAGAATTATGGCCCTTTGTTGATTTTTTCACTATATACTATGTAGAAATTTTGTGAACGCAACTCCTCTTAAACCGGATGGCAGATTTTGCTTAAACTTACAGGGATGAACAACCTTAAGGTGTAGATGGTAGTAAAGGAAGGAATTTTTGCTGCGACCAAATTTTACAGAATTATGGCCCTTTGTTGATTTTTTCACTATATACTATGTAGAAATTTTGTGAATGCAACTCCTCTTAAACCGGATGGCAGATTTTGCTTAAACTTTCAGGGATGAACAACCTTAATGTGTAGATGGTAGTAAAGGAAGGAATTTTTGCTGCGACCAAATTTAACAGAATTATGGCCCTTTGTTGATTTTTTCACTCTATACTATGTAGAAATTTTGTGAAAGCAACTCCTCTTAAACCGGATGGCAGATTTTGCTTAAACTTACAGGGATGAACAACCTTAATGCGTAGATGGTAGTAAAGGAAGGAATTTTCGCTGCGACCAAATTTTACAGAATTATGGCCCTTTGTTGATTTTTTCACTATATACTATGTAGAAATTTTGTGAATGCAACTCCTCTTAAACCGGATGGCAGATTTTGCTTAAACTTCCAGGGATGAACAACCTTAATGTGTAGATGGTAGGAAAGGAAGGAATTTTTGCTGCAACCAAATTTAACAGAATTATGGCACTTTGTTGATTTTTTCATTATATACTATATAGAAATTTTGTGAACGCAACTCCTCTTAAACCGGATGGCAGATTTTGCTTAAACTTCCAGGGATTAACAACCTTAATGTGTAGATCGTAGTAAAGGAAGGATTTTTTGCTGCGACCAAATTTAACAGAATTATGGCACTTTGTTGATTTTTAGTTTTCAACTTGTGGCACATGTAGTCCAAAAAATATTTGACCTAGACTACTAAGAGTCATAAGATTGACAGAACAGTGGCGTGTGGGAGCATCAGTGTCCTATGGACACATTTCTAGTTTTGGCTATTATTGGCTGTAACTTTATTTTTGAATGAATTGTCTTCAAACTTGAACATCATAATCTTCAAGGATAACCCTTAAAAATAACCAGACAGACCCTGACCTTCACTCATTAATGACCTTGACTTTGAAGTTCATATTATTGAAATTTTCATTGTTTTGGCTGTAACTTTGCTATTATTGAAGGGATCAACTTCATATTATAACAGAATATACTTATAGACAAGACCTTGTTGCTTGGGCTCTTTAATGACCTTGACCTTGAAGGTTAAATTACTGAATTTTCTCAGATTTGTGCATTAAATGACCATGTATATTTATTGGTGTGTGTGTGTGTGTATATATATATATATATATATATATATATATATATATATATATATATATATCATCATCATCAACAACAACAACAACAACACATGTCACCACCACATGACACCACCATGTGACACCACGTGTCATCACCATAATACCACCACCACGTGTCATCACCATAATACCACCACCACGTGTCATCACCATTATACCACCACCATGTGTCATCACCATGTGACACCACGTGTCACCACCACGTGACATCACGTGTATCTATTAATAGAATTGCGTGTTTCTATTTATAGAATTTTCTATTTATAGAATTGCGTGTTTCTTTTTATATATATATAGTAATTAGTATATTTAAAGATTTGGTTCAAACATTTCTTTGTTTGCTTTTAGAGAAAGTAAAAAGTCTAGCGTTGCCCCTGCCCAGCGGTGGCTCTTGTTACCTTTAAAACTTGAACAGATTGAGAAATCAATAATAAAATGGTGTTTTTATATGAAAATATTTGTATTTTGGCCTTTATAGTGTTATAAAATGTTCTTGTAGAATATTGTCGGAAAGCATACAAGAAAACTAAGGCTACAAAGATGGAAGAGAGAACAGCAACCATTTGTCAGAGAGAAAATTCTTTCTATGTTGATACTGTCAGGGCATTCAGAGATAGAAGATACGAGTTTAAAGGCCTAGTGAAGGTAAAATTGATAACATGTATAGCAAGTTTACTATTTGAGATGACAACCAGGTAAACAACTGAGAAAATAATGTAAGGATATGTTGATTCTGTTATTCTGATTCAGTGTTGCATGTTTTTGAAAATCAGAGTTTTAATTTTTTTGTTTCTGAGACAACAGATTTGCCAATGAAAACAACTGATTTGGCCAAGGGTCAAGGGGGATATTTTAATCTACAGGCTGAAAATACAACCGATTTTAACACATTTCAACTGATGATATGGATTGCCAATCTGTTAACAATGGAAATACTTGGATTAGTTACATTTTATCAGCTATTATTTACTATTTTATACTAAAAACTGAAAACTATTCTGTCTAATTGAGGTTTTTATTCAGTAACAGAGACTTGACTATTATAACATGTTACAGGTGTGGAAAAAGAAGTTGTCGGAAGCCCAAGATTCAGGGGATGCTAGTGAGATTAAGAAAGCTAATGGAATGGTAGTGTTATACGACTCTCTTCAGCTGGCACATAAGTGCATTCTTAATTCCTTCTATGGATATGTCATGAGGAAAGGGTGTGTATAGTTCTTACATGCTGTATATAGATGTATTTCATATTGAAATTATTGCCTCCCCTGGTCACCATTTTGAGCATATTTTCCCAATATATATTACATGCCTTAGATAAAATTAAAATTTATCATAATTCTATCATCCTGGTGAAAAAAACTGATTAAAATCTTTTACAAAGTTATGTTATAATAATATTTTCTTTCATATGTATTGTTGGAAACCAATAGTTGAGCCATTGGAATTTTTGGCCGATAAGAAGTGTGTCAAAGACAGCTATTTTATTGAGGCGATTCTGAGATGAAGGTTTTCACTTGTATTAACTTTAGTTGTGCACTTTGTAGTTTTGTCTGTATTATATAGTATTAAGATAGAAATTAAATGATTAGGATTTCCTACATATCTCCATTGCTTACTTCTGAAATTGATTGTACTTGCAAGTAAAATGTAAGTAAGTGGCAAACGTTCTTGTTAATAGTCCAGCTTGGTCAAGAAGATATTTCTCCAGTTTTGTTACCCAAATGACTTGCCTTAGCCTTAAGCAGAAATATATTCAAGATTGTTGTTTGTCTGCTATAAGTATTTTGATGCTGTCGAGAACTCCCTTAAATTCAAAGCAAGATACAGTCATAAATATAATCTAGAAAATAAATGTTATTTGATGACTTTTGCCTGCTTTCAGTACTTTCAGTACTTTGAATTGTATGCATAAAAAATACTGTGCCAATCATTGAATTAGACAAAAAAAAAATTGAGTTTGTATTTTTGTGTGTGATATTTTTTTTATACAATATCTGTATGTTCATGCAGGCTCCATTTGTTGTTATTTATTGAATGAATTTAAACAGTTTGGCATTATATGTATTATAGGGCACGTTGGTACAGTATGGAGATGGCTGGAATTGTATGTTACACTGGAGCTCATATCATCACTAAAGCTAGGGAAATTGTTGAACAAATTGGGTATGTCAAAGAAGTTTAATAACAAATTATCATTAATCTCTATATTGGTCCAATATCGTTCATAAACATCATGCAAAGATTTAATTCCCTCTCACAGAGCTCCAGATAGCGTGCGTATAAGCGTAAAATACGCATAGAAAATCTAAAATACGCATCACTTTCAAAATTCGTGCGTCACAGTTACGCACAACAAAATGAAAATACGCTCGTATGTCAAAATTTATGCGTGAAAGAATAGAAGTGTAAACATTTGATATGTAGAAAGAAAATGTTTTGAGCATAAAAATACAATATATTTCCATTTTATTGCATTGAAAACTAAAAATTCTGTTGTCAACAACGCATGTTAAAAACGAAAGTAGCAGGAAATACAGAAGGGAGGTAACTCCCGTAGATCAACCTGTGAAATTATTGATGAACTTTGTGCCAGATAATCATCGTAGGAGTTAACACAGTATTAAGTTTGTTTAGTCATCTATTGACATGGCTTATGCTTCAATATAAACAAAAATATATTTTAATTTCTTTTACTTTTGTTGTTGGATCAAAATAACATGTTTTTCACCTGCAGTTTTGTACTCAATATTTTCGTACCCAGTCTACAGTTACGGACAATTTTCTCTCAGACCAATACTTTTTTTAAGGAAAGATATAAAAAAAATCTTGTTTATGTTTCTTTAATTCTAATTTCAACTATAATTGTTCAAACTGGAGTACATGATAAGGTACATGCCAACAGAAATAAAGAAAGAAAAATATTGACTCCTAGAAAATAAAATAATTTCAGGGCTTCCACTAGTGGAAGTTTGGGAGTCATTTACTCCTTCATTTTGGCCTGTGACTTCTGAAAATCAATACTTTTCCTTCTTTACCTATATAATGTGACTTCCAATATCAGAGATTTTGAAGTCTTTGACTTCCAAATTTTGAAAATGGAAGCCCTGATAATTTTGCTGTGTATCCTAAACTTGAGTTCCAGTATACTCTGGAAGTCTGACTTTACATGGCATGTTTTGTATTGTTTCACATTAAATCAGTATTTAATTTGTAAAGGTTTTTCTAAAAAAAAGAAAATGAGCAAACAAACAAAACGATAAGTTTAATTTGTTTATAAAAAATGCAAAATGCTTTTTTGACAGATTTTACCCCTTAAGTTTTTCAGAATTTGCATTTTACCCCTCACTCTAAATTTTGAGGGGTAAAAACCCCTTGGCCAAAAAAATTATCTGGAGCTCTGCTCTCAGAAGAAATAATGATACTTTGCCATTTCATAAAATAATATGGCAGACAAGTCAAATGAAAAAAAATCAATGAATAAATTTTAGGAGCAATCTAATGTACCTATGATTTGTAATAATGTGAACAAATAGATGTGAAATCATGATTGTTCTTTCACAGTTTACACATCTTATAATGTTTATTTATATAAGTCGACCATTGGAGTTGGATACTGACGGTATTTGGTGTGTATTACCTGCTACATTTCCGGAAAATTATGTTGTGAAAACTACAAACCCTAAAAAACCAAAAGTGACTATTTCTTATCCTGGAGCGATGTTGAATGTGATGGTAAAGGTAAGTTGTAACAATTTGATACTCTACATTCTACATGAGATTTCTGTTGTCCCTTTCCAATACGGGGTCATGACCTACTGGTTGAGATGTCTGCCTAGGTATAGGATAGAAAGATGATCAAAAACCAACACAATTTATCTAAATATGTACCGCTTTAATAAGCTTCATCAGTTGATACATAACCATCATACACTGATTTATGCCCTCCGTACAGAATAAAATGATGCTTTGATGTTTATAACTTCTTTGCCATGTTATAAAACAATATAGCAGGCAAGTCAAATGAGATAATGGAGCATTACTCAAAATGCCCAGGTGTAGTTGGTTTGCACCATACTAGGGTCACAATCATGTTTAATAGACCTTAATTTTTCGACCCTTTAGGTGTCCTGTTATTTATAAGCGAGACTAAAGAAAAGTGTTTTGGCGCATTTCACAATAAACTGCAATTCATTATGTATATCCTAATACACTTATTGCCACCTTAGTTTAATAAATGCTATTTCGGTCATTTATTGGCATATTCTTAAAGCACTAAGAAATTGAAGCTACTATATTCAGCAATGAAGTCTTTTCTAAAAATGTTTAAACAGTTGCTTTACACAAGGTATATTGTATGTTGGATGTTGTAAGTAATGTTTTAGAAATGTTTCAGGATTTCTTCACTAATGATCAGTATCAAGAGCTTGTGGATGCTGACACACTAGAGTATAAAGTGCGGAGTGAGAACTCTATTTTCTTTGAAGTAGATGGACCATACCTTGCAATGATACTGCCGGCATCCAAGGAAGAAGGAAAGAAATTAAAGAAAAGATATGCTGTATTTAATTTTGATGGATCGCTAGCAGAGCTTAAAGTAAGTTATTTGATACACTACCTACTGCTAACTAAGAATGGTCAAATCTATTCAGTTGCCCTGAGGAGTCTAAAAAAATTTACTGACTGGAAAGTGGCATGTATGTCCTTCTATTGGTCTATCCACACTTTGTGTCCTGTCAGTAACTAGTTTATGGATATACGTATTTACGAATTATATTGTATAAATGTGTAATATGTTTAGGCAAAGTTTATATGCAAGACCCAGGTCTGTAGTTTATGGTCACACTTGCAAGAATGAGGTGAACTTTCATGTAAAACTTGTAAAAACACTGTGAAGTGACAATAAAAAGTAGTTGCTGTAAGCTATAAACATTTCTTATTTCTTTATCAACAGGGATTTGAAGTGAAGCGACGAGGAGAGTTAGAATTAATCAAGATTTTTCAGTCCTCGGTGTTTGAAGCTTTTCTGAAGGGGAAAACACTGGATGAGTGTTATGCTGCAGTGGCCAAGGTTGCAGATTACTGGCTTGATGTATTGTATAGTAAGGTAAGATTGTCTTTCTTTATGAAATCCCTAAATATACATGTAGAAAAAAAATTATTTTGCTCAAATTGTATTCACAACTCAGATTATATTAGAACAAGACAAGAGTAAGGTATCGAAATAATTAGCATATGCATAAGAGTAGAGTTACTACTAGGCATTGTCATGTACCAATTAACTTGCTAAAAAATAAGTAACACTATATCAGATCACTTTGTAGGTCATTTGTTAAAACAGATGTCATTTTGGATTAAAATGTTCATTTGAATATCTCTGAAATCACTGGTCACAGTGTCTCTGAAACACACTTTGCCGAATATATTTGGCATTCATGATTCCTTGCCACAGTTTAGTATTATTCAAGATGCTGTGATTGGCACAGGTACATTTGATGTTATATGTGGGCATAGAAACTGTAAAAATGCATCTGTTTAGTAAAGGCCTGGTGTTTATTTACAGGCACAAAATATGCCAGATTCTGAATTGTTTGAACTTATATCAGAGAAGAGAAGTATGTCTCGTAAACTTGAAGATTATGGTGCTCAGAAATCTACATCAATTAGTACAGCAAAAAGACTTGCAGAGGTATTGTAATCATTACTTTACAGTTCTGCCAGTGGTATTTATAGTTGTTTCTAAATAGATACTACATTGATTTTATTGAACACTATGATTTACGAGGGAAATAATGACTTGAGAGATATAACTTGCTCTCTGTAGCTTCACAAAATATTGTAAGCTATATCTGTCCATCTCTTGATATCTGTATTAAAAAAGAATATGTAACTTTTTTGCCATGTGCCCTAAACTTAAATGATACAAATGTTTATTTGATATCTTGCATTTTATCTTGCTTATTTTGTCAAAGCTATACTTTTTCTTTTATCAAATGTTGGTTAAAGAAGCTTAGTGGCTAAATTCTCCCATAGTTAACATGATTATTTTGAACCAAGAAGTGTTTTCTGAGGCCAGGTTAGATAACATTATATTCATGATGTTAGATTACATTATATTCATGATGTTATTGCCTACATGTTGTCAAAGTAATACTATACTGTATATATTGCCACATTACTTCACCAAACTTGATGAATTACTTAAGTTTCTTCACTAAAGATGATTTGTGATAATCCAAACTATAAGAAAAAAATCCTTTTAACAACTTCTGGTCAACCAATATATGAATTATCTCAAATTTCTCATACAATTATGATTTGTTGACAGTTTTTGGGTGATCAAATGGTAAAGGATGCTGGTCTTAGTTGTAAATTTGTTATTTCCAAGAAACCAGAGGGAGCTCCAGTCACTGAAAGGTAGTGTTGGATAGCGTCACTTTGTATTGTTGACATATACAAAGCATTTTTAACCTTATATGATGTATATATGAACATCCATTTATATGGGTATTTACATCAGCTTCATAGATAAAAAAATGTCATTTTCCGATCTGTAACCCGAGAAGGAATAAGTTGTTGCTTATATTGCTATGTATGAATATTACCCATGACCAGTAGATGACCACTATTGATTTAATGGTCAAAGGTTGATGTTACAGTGACCATCACCACTCTCACATGTAGACAAGAGTGTATAATTGTCATGGATTTTAAAATCTTTCTATGAAAACCTTTGTATTTGTGTTGAAAGGTTGCATTTATATTGTCAGTTGACATGTATAAACTTGGATGCATTTCTTTCCAAATTAAATGTTTATAATTTATAGGGTATTATTATGGTCATTTTCAGAGCTGTTCCCTTAACAATATTTGAGGCAGAGCCAGGAGTTAAAAAACATTATTTGAGGAAGTGGCTGAAAGCACCAGGAATCACCAGCTTTGATATCAGAGAGGTAAAAAATTTAGCTTTACGTTAATGTTATGATTGTTGATTATGCCCTACCTGGAATAAAAGATATTGTTTGTTCTCATATATTTGCCAGTGATTATGTATGTAGGTGGGTAAATCAGTACTACAAAGAGATAGATTTATAGTTATTAGTTTCTGTGAAATATTTTGTCTTCTTTAAGAGTTGAGTTAAAAATTACTTTTGAGTTTGAAATAATTTCTTCATAGTCTCACTGTTATTACTGTATTTTAGATCATTGACTGGGAGTATTATATAGAAAGACTTGGAGGATGTGTGATGAAGATTATAACTATTCCTGCAGCTTTACAAAATGTTAGTATGTCTTTATTTATATTTAATATCATAACAACTTACACAATGTTTCAGCTGTCACAGAAACATGTTGTATACCAAAATGTCTGCTTCTTAATACAGGGATTGTGGTCACAAACCATGTTTCATATGACACCAGTATTGAATAGGTCCTTGTTGTGGTGTAGAAAATTGTTACTTGGTAACTTGTAATTCTTAGCTGTCAGCCAATGGGTCCTAACCAGTTTTTATGAAAAGGAAAATACAATGTTTGAAAGGACTTGCCTTGTAGTAGTGGTCTGTTCGGTGTTGGTACTATTCTGACATACAGTTGAACAGAATTTTGTTATTTCTGATTGTGATCAATCGTCCTTAGGTTTGATTTGATAATCAATTATGAAATTTGATTATCCAATACCAAGGCCTTGAGGAGCTACTAATGTCATATTTGAAAAAAGCATCTGTGTCCGGAGGAAACATTTCTAATTTAACATGACTGGAAAATACAGAATTTTTATATATGGTCTTTAATACGTGACTTTACTGCTGGTTTGGTTACTTGTCTGATGTATGACATCTTGTTTGTTACAGGTGTGTAATCCAGTACCTCGTATTGCCCACCCAGACTGGTTACAGAAAAAACTGTTGGAAAGAAACGATGTTTTCAAGCAGAAAAAGATCAGTGAAATATTTGCTGCAGCTCCTAAGCCAGTTCAACAGGTGATCATTTTAATTATACATATATTCCTGTATTACAATCTGGTAAATATATAACTTGCCCTGACCCTGATTAACTTGTGTAATGAACTCGTCTTGCTTTGAATTTGGAACTGCCCATTGTAAATGAAAGGGATTTCTTTATTAGATTTGTGATGTGTGGAAGTGATCTTTCATTTTTATCTGAGCAATCAATCTCAGGGTAAAGGTGATATAAGCCTTGTGTGTAGGGTAATGTGTTTTTAGGTAGAAAATTCTATAAGTTAAGAATCATATTTTGGACTTGCAAACCTAATGAAAATAGTATGAACTTAATAATCTAAGCCTTATCTACATTTATTTTAGTTAAATGAGAGAAAAAATTTACTTACCATTTCAAATGACACGTGAGACTTTAAGAAACAAAATTTTACCCCGAGTAAGGCTCTCAATCATAATACTTGGAATTCAAAGGTCAACATTTTAACCAATATATAACTTCGTATTCATAGATGCAGTTTTATTTAATGTTAATGTTTTTTTATTGAATTATATTAGGATGAAGAGAATGTATTTAAGAAACCAAACAATGTTGCTGATATAGAAGACATTGGGTCCAGTAACAATACAGGATCTAAAGTTGCTGTATCAAACAAACGTAGACGGTCGAGTAATGAGATGTCACAAAGTCAAGATGATTCTCAAACAGATAGTAGTCAGTCATGGCGTGATGTTCTAGGTCCACCACCTCCAATTGGAACTACTAAAGTTAGTTTCATTTTATTTTTAAAATTTGTTATTCACTGCAACAGAGGTTTTGGAAAAGCTAGAAGGAATGAGTTTATATTTATTTCCTGAGCAATGATATTGGTATTGATCATCTCCTCAGAAACTTCAAGTTACATTGACAATTTTAATCTGTTGTCATTGTCTTTCATTACTTTTTAAATTTGTTTTTCAGTGACTTAAATGTCTTGTTTCACCCGTAGCCTATAAACTTCATATGATACTTTGACCACATTACCACCTTTGTGGTCGAGGGGTTAGAGTCGATGACTTCTAATCCATTTACCTCTCTGGCCTGGGTTCGATCCTCAGGAGATGCATTAGTAGTTAAGCGCGGAGGAATGTAGTCTTGTACTGGTGTAACTCTCCAGGAACGATGGTTAGGAAACTACCCGCCTATATGACTGAAATACTGTTGAAAAAAGGCGTAAAATGAAAAAGGCGTAAAATGAAACGAACAAAACATGGACAGTGACCTTCAATTGAATTCTTTTTCAGCTAATAATTTTAGGTAACATTGACCATCATCTTGTTTTTTAGACCATCATCTAGTTTTTTACCCAAGTTTTTTTTTCACATAACATTATTTTAGATAAAAGCATATTTTCCATTTTATAATGTCATTGTTTGTAAAATATCATTAAAGGAAGAGAGGAGAGTCTGGCTTGAGTTTCATAAAAAGAAATGGAAGTTTCAAGTTGAAGAGAGACGAGAACGCAAGAGAAGGCGTATAGATTTTGGTGATACTTCTTCTTCTTTTGCCCCAGTCACTTCTAGTCACAGAGGTATAGGAGGTTTCTTAAGAAGAACTGCTCGCAGTGTTATGGATATGCCATGGCAAATTGTACAGGTAGAGTAAATGACATAGTAAACTGAAGATGTTTTGTTTAATATGCCAAAAAATGTCAAAAGATTATATTGTCTCTTTGTCCATTTTGGGGTACCTTTTGTGGCTGAGGGATTGCCTTTAAGGGTTGAGTCATCAGAATTGCAACCACCATTTATCCCTGCATGATCGTAAGAGGTGACTAAATGGGTTCAAATTACTGCAGTCTATGCATCTCTTAGCTCCAGCAGGTGAAGTGGTTTTGACCCCTGGTGTTGCTTTAAGTTTGTAACCCCCGAGGTTAGCCAAAGTCATCTTTCCTGTTTCAGCGACATATAACCTAAATTGTGTTAGTGTGCTGTAAACCAAACAGACAGACAAAAACAGGTACATGAAAGTAATTATGGCAATTACCAAAAAATAAAATTCATGGCTGTTTTGCATCAAGCGTAACTACTGTCAGAAAATGTGCAGAATAAGACTTGAACAAAACTTCCTAAGATTATTGGGTGTGATAAGGAAAAGAATTGTTAAATAAAGGTCAAAGTAACCTTGAGACAGAAAAGAAAATGAATCATTTCTATGTCATATCTACTGGGCAATAATGGAATATTATTTAGATATTTTTTTGTTGTTCATCATATCACTCTGCATGACAACTTGAAACTCTGGTCCGTCTCTAGTTGTCTTGTAGGAGTGAAGTTCTAAATCTGGCTAATGGCCTTAAACAATTTAAAGGGCAGTGCACGTACTTTGATTTGTATGTTCATTCTAAATTTTCATCAAAGATCACAGGTTTTTAACCATCTTTATTGCATTGTCTTAAAATCGTTGTCAATTTGATAAGCAAGGAAGACTTATTAATATATGTTTATATTTCAGCTGATAGAAACAGGTCATCCAGGACAGTTCAAACTTTGGGCTTTAATTGGAAGTGATCTGCATGCCATGAAGCTGAACGTTCCTCGAATGTTCTATGTTAATCAGAAATCACCGAAAGTTGGAGAAGGCCATAGTATGTGTATTTATAGTCACCTATGAATATGTGCTTGCATGTCTATAAATAACAAAAGAAATATGAAAATGTAACATGCAATCTGTAGTCTACAAGCAACAAGTACAAATCATGTTAAACATTAACCTACTCTTCAGAATTCAAATGCAAGTAAAAGGTCTTGATATTTACTTTGTGCCTATTTTTCATTTCCGAAAAAAAAAAATTTACTACAAAAAAGTTGCCATGATTGTGAATCTTCATGAGGACATAATTTACATTTTTCTGATATTTCAGTGTGGAAAAAGGTAATAAAAACATTGCCAAGATCCCATCCTGTGATGAACTTGTATGAGTATTCTGTACCCGAAGATGTGTACCAGGAACATATAAATGAAATAAGTGCTGATCTATCATCCCCCGATATAGAGGGAGTTTATGAAACACAAGTGCCTCTCTTGTTTAGAGCACTTGTTAAACTTGGCTGTGTGACAATGGTGAATCGAGATTTTGCAAAATTTATGTCTGGGAGGGTTAGTATTCTTTAATTTTTATTTAGGCAACACTTTTCTGCTCATTCAAGTCTATCAAGGGACATATATATTTTAGATAACCATCAACATGTTGTATCTATTGAAATGAAATTTTCTGTTCTAAAATATGTTATGATGATCATCAATGTTTGTCTGGATTAATATTCAATTTGATGAAACAAATTTTAATTGGGTAAAAGCAAAGATCTGAAAGTGACCTCAAGTAGGATCTTGATATTCACTTAACATTTTTATTCATCTGACAAATGGTTTTTGATTGCTTAAATATAACTTCTTTTAACCCTTCTTTGTATACATTTTATATTTACAATTCAAAACTGCTTTCTGTTTTGTGATACTATTTTGCTATGTTAATTCTTCAAAGCTTCAACATGGTTTATTCTTTTTCTGTTTTGTGCTAATATAGTGAGTATGCTTCTTTTATTAGGAGATAGATACATTTGAGTTGGAGCATTTAGAATTTCGGACATTGGCTCAGTTCTCATACCTGGAACCATCATCAATTAAGCACCTTTATCTATATCATCATGTATGGTAAGTCATATCCTTTTTGGGCTTAATTTTGTACAATTTTTGTTAGTATCAAATTTAAGGATAAATAGCTGCATATGTATATCTTACATTATTGTTTACTATCGTATGTCTTTCAGTTGCACTATAGATATTTACATTTGCACTTGTTTATTGATGGACTATTGTTCTTGGCTCATTGTAGTAGATCATAATACTTTGTTTATTGTTTCCAATATGTGCATTTTAACATGTAGGTATGTTTAGTACTTAATGTTTTATGTTTACTGTTTGCAGTGGTTCAAAAATGCTGTACGGGTTATTTTTCCCAATGTCGAAGAAAGGTACTATATTGGTAGTGGACACTGTCCGAAGTGATCAGATGCCTAACTTAAACACAATGTTTAATACAGAGAGAAATGCTAAGTAAGTATGAAGTTATGATCATGTATACAAATTTTTACGATGAAAAAAAAGTTATAAGACCAATGTTAATTATGTTATAATTGAAAGAACATAATACAAGTTTTCATTATTTTGGTTGGTTAATTCCGATACAAGCAGGCACCTCCTTTGGTCTAATTGAAGTTATACAAGTTGTAAAGTTGTGTTATGCCATATAACCATTACATTGTCAGTGTGACTTAAACCCACAAAATATATGTTTGGGGGCGGGGGATGGAGCCTTTCTTAAAAACTCTTGAAATATGGGAAGGTAGTTTTTGTCCTAGTTAATCAAGTTTAATGATATATAAATATATGTATACTGATATTTATTGCAGAGTATTGAAAGGTGTGGATAATTTAGATATATGCATACTGATATTTATTGCAGAGTATTGAAAGGTGTGGACGAGACAATGCTGCCAGAGAGCGGGCATAAGCTAGAATATAAGTTGGAGAAGAATGTAAGCCAAGTGTTTAGAACTATACAGAGAATGTTGTCAGCATATAAAGATGAGAAAAGAGGACCTACTTATATAGCAGTTCAATCAGTAACAGGTACTTGACAAATTTAAAGGAATGTACAAAATACATAGTTGAAATAATTATCCTTGAGTCAGTCTATAACTGTATATGTCCTGCCAGTCATTGAAAGATAGGTTATTTGGAAATATTGGGTTATGTTTTTTTTTTTTTTTTTTTCTCTCTGAAAATCTTGATCTATGCATTAACAACAGACTGGTAATCTATGGGTCATCATGACTCTTGTTTTTTTAACCATATATGTTATAATCACTAAATTAATGTTCCAAAAGCAAAATTAAAAATTCTGTTTTGACCTACAGACAACCCTGGATTTTTAGCTCACCTGTCACAAAGTGACAGGGCGGGCTTTTGTGATCGTTTTTCGTCCATCCGTCGTCCGTAAACTTTTACTTTAAATGACATCTCCTCATAAACCGCTGAGCCAATTTCATCCAAACTTCACAGGAATGTTCCTTTGGTGGTCACCTTAAAAAATTGTTCAAAGAATTTAATTCCATGCAGAACTCTGGTTGCCATGGCAACCGATAGAAAAAACTTAAAATATCTTCTTTTAAAAAACCCAAAGAGGTAGAGCTTAGATATTTGGCATCAAACATCTTCTAGTGAGTGTCTATCAAGTTTGTTCAAATAAAAGCCCTGGGGTCAAAATTGGCCCGCCCCGGAGGGTCATTGATTTTCCCTATATGCATATAGTAAAAAATTAAAAAATCTTCTTTTAAAGAACCCAAAGAGCTAGAGCTAAGATATTAAGCATGAAACATCTTCTAATGGGTGTCTACCAAGTTTGTTCAAATAAAAGCCCTGGGGTCAAAATTGGCCCGGCCCCAGGGGGTCATTGATTTTCCCTATATGCATATAGTAAAAAATTAAAAAATCTTCTTTTAAAGAACCCAAAGAGCTAGAGCTAAGATATTAAGCATGAAACATCTTCTAATGGGTATCTACCAAGGTTGTTCAAATAAAAGCCCTGGGGTCAAAATTGGCCCTGCCCCATGGGAACATTGATTTTATTTATGTGTAAAGCAAAAACTTAAAAAATCTTCTTTGAAAAAACCGAAATAGCTAGAGTTAAGATATTAAGCATGAAACATCTTCCAGCTAGTGTCTTCAAAGTTTGTTCAAATAAAAGCCCTAGGGTCAAAATTGGCCCTGCCCCGGGGGACATTGATTTTCCTTATATGTGTATAACAAAAACTTAAAAATCTTCTTTGAAAAAACCCAAATAGCTAGAGTTTAGATATTAAGCATGAAACATCTTCTAGTGCGTGTTTTTTAAAGTTTGTTCAAATAAAAGCCCTGGGGTCAAAACTGGCCCCGCCCTAGGGGTGTCATTGCTTTTAACTATCAAGTATAGTTAAAACTTAAACAATCTTTTTTTTTTAAAAAAACTCAATGAGCTAGACCTTAGATGTTTAGCATAAAACATCTTCTAATGGGTGTCTACCAAGTTTGTTCAAGTAAAAGCCCTGGGGTTTAAACTGGCCACGCTCTGGGGGCCTATACACAGGTGAGTGACTTCAGGGCCATCATGGCCCTCTTGTTTTCTTACCTTTCTGCTTTTTCAGAATAATTTATTTATAGAATATTACAGGGGGAAAATAGTTTACAAACTCCATAAATTTTTATCTTGAATTCGAATCATCTTTTTTTGATAATTAGTCAATTTGTTAAGTAGATCTTTTTAATTTATTTTAGTGAGACTATGTACAATGTGTACATAGTTTACAAACTCCATAAATTTTTGATCTTGAATATATGCTAAAAAAATAATTCATCTAAATTTGAAAGTATTCTAGTAATTGAAATGAAATTTATAAAATTTGAAATGTAATATACTCCTTTTTACAAAAAAAACCCCCAAAAAAACAATTCATGTCATGAAACAATTTTTGTAGGGTGGATTTCATCCTTAAAAACAGTGCCAGGTCATTTGTTGAAACTGTTTGTTTTCAGATTTTTCTCATCTTATTGTTGACATGCCAGGCTTGGGAGAATTTCCTCTTGTACCTTTACATATTAAAGATAGGTAAGTATTGTCTTTATATTACAATTACCAGTCATATCCCCTTTTGGGGCGACCATGTCCATCTGACCGAGTGGTTAAGGTGGTTGAAGCCACTTGGCCCTTACAGCTGTTGGATCTTACCAGGGACTTTGAATTCCTTCAAGTGAAGAAGCTATCCAGCTATAAGGAATGTTGGTGGACAGAGGAATTCACACCTAATGTCTTCCTCTGCCAGTAACCTTTACGGTGTTGGTGCGATATTAAACCCTACCAATATTACATATTTATCACTTGCTCAAATAAATAAAGTACTTGACATGCAAGTCTGATAACCATTTCTGTATTTATCATATTTTCTGAGTATGATATATGTTGTTTATTGGCATCCACTTTATATCTTAACATGGTCTGTATAATTGGCATGTGTATGATAAATGATTAGCATAGTGTTTTTGTCCCCAACATGAGAAAGTTAAAGCTTTTTATATCTATATTGTTGATTTTATTTCACACTAACACAAAATATTGTCTTTTATTTGTCTTGTTGTCACTAGAGCGATTAAACTGCAAAATTTAATGCACAAAGAACCAGTGTAGTGTTACTAATTTCATTGTGTCTTACAGCATCATAGAATCATGGTAAACAAATTCCTATACTTTATTTTCCAGTGTAAATAATCAAATCATCTTTTTGATTATCAGTTAATTTGTTAAGTAGGTTTTTTTTATTTATTTAAGTGAGACTATGTACAATGTATTAGACTGGCAAAGAGTTGGCTGTCGTAGAATGTTACAACACTATATGAATGTTGATGTTATCCTGAAGGTAGGTTAAGATTTGCTGTCTGAGAAAACTGCTGTATTTTGTAGATTTTTTAGAGATTATTTCTAGAAATAGTCAGTATATTTGAAAGACACGCTTTCTTAAATATTTGAAGGACTCGCTTTCTTAAGAAAGCAAAATATAGTGACATTTGAATTGTTGTGGCTGACTGTAGCAAAAAGGATGTGTGGGAATGTTCACCATCTCATAGCTTGGTGCTAAGTAAGTTTTTAAATTTAGGAAAAATGGGTTTACATACATCCCATGTACAGGTAGAAGGGCAAATAGGAGGAAAACTTTTTGGGTGGAAAACTAGGTCACAATGTGGAGACAAAAATACTTAGATTAATCTATAAGAAGTAACTATTTTGTCATTTGCTGCTAATTATCTGTTATAGTGTCTGCTATTTTGAAATTGAATATTGAAAGTGTAACAACTTCTATACACATCCTGTTACAAAAAACTTCTCATTTTAAACATCTGATAAGCACCACACGCACCCACACAAGCAATACAATGCCATCAAATTTTATTTTGCGCTATTTCTCTATATTGAATGTGTGTAATAACTTTACACATGTTTTTATTTTCAGGCTATGATAGAACAGTGTCGGTACCTACATATTCCTGTAGGAAACTTCCCCAAGGACATCACAATGTTTGGTTGTGATGTATTCTTTGCAAGACATTTAAATAAGCATAACCACATACTATGGTCATCACCTACAGAACGACCAGATCTTGGAGGTAAGGAGGCAGATGATAACAGAATAGGTATAGAGGTAGAAAATCTCACCACACAGATCAACAACCCTGCTGCCTATTCCACTGTTTGTGTGGAACTAGATATTGGAAGCTTAGCTGTCAACACTATTATAGAGGTAATGACTTACTCTTGTTTTGAAGTCATGTTGTATTTCATAAGTATGATATACTAGGTTTTTTTATGGTGTAGAGACAGATTGTTAGTTGGGTTGTTTTCTAAATGACAAGTTTACTTTCCTTACTTTCATATAATTTATTTTTATAAATAACTTGTCTATTTTTAAAGAAAAGTGTTCCCAAACTTTGTGTGACATTAAATTGTCTTGCAGAACCTTTTTCTCTGGTCAAATATTTATTCTTTTGAGCAGACAACCCTTTGTTGTGATACTAGGTGAAAATATTTGTGAGGTTTAAAACATATTTTTAAGGGAAAAAACATAAAAAAGGAAAAAAAATTAAATTTTTTTGGGGAGCCCCCCCTTTGGGCCTAATAGTTAAATTTTTGTTACAGAATATTATCAATTTCTTTTTTTTGTTTTTGAAATTATACATTTTTTGCGTAAAAAAAATTGGGAAAATACTTTAAAAAACAAAATTAACCTTTACAGTAAAAAAAAATATTGATGTTTTTTTTCATCATCAAGAAATAAAGGGGGAAGGGTCTAGTCTGTATTTTTTTCTATCCCCCAATCATACGGGGAAAGGGTTCAAGGAAGGGGCCCCTCAAGAGAATTAGAGAACTGCCCCTGCTTGCGTTTTTTTTTTTTTTTTTTTTTTTTCATTTACTAATTATTTAAATTAAAATTTTAATTTTATTAATTATATTTGTTTTTCTTTATAATTAAATACAATTAATCCTTTGTTGATTTTTAATTTTTTATAAAAAAAGGTTTTAAAAATTCGTCCTTGTAAATTTAGGAAGAGCAAATAAAGTAATCAGTGGGTGGTTTTATGTCAAAAAAAATTGAAATTTTTTTCCCTTTCAATTGCACAAGGGATCCGGAAATTTGTTCTAAAAATATGAAAAATCATAAAAAGCTGAAAATTTTCACCATAAATATAAAGTTTTCTTCAAATATGGCCCATTGTACCCAAATTGGTAATTATGATATTTCTTAAAAACTAATAAATAGGTCAACCATGGAAATTGGACCAAAAATGTGTTTAAATCAACAGAAAAATAATATTTGTGACAGGTGAGCTAAAAATAAACAACAGAAAAACAAAATTTACCAACTGTAGGGTATATGGTCAATGTAAGTACACTAAAATACAAGCTAGCCTGCATCTATGCTGGCCATATGAGCAAGTTGATGTTACTGCAAGTGTTCATTAAGGTAGGGAAGTGAAATTATAGTTGTTTTGCCTTGGAGTTACATAACCATGGATAAATTAATTATAGCCTGATACTGTTTAATGATACATTAAGTGCAATATACTGAAAAGTAAAAAAAAAGATCAGTTTCGATTTGGTTCTGACATGTTCAGATTAAGCATGTTTAACTGTATATGTGTTATAGTAGTTATACTTATTCTACAGGATATTAAAGAGTATGGTACAGAGCTGGGTCCGTGATGTAACAATACACTCTAATGTGTTTGCTGATAATCAGATTATACATTTCTACAGGTAATATCTCTTATAATTACATTAGTTATATTTTGATTACAAGTGCTTGATTGGGCAAATTTTGTTCAATTCTTAAACTATAGTATTAAGGAAATAAAAGGCTAGTGTTTCTGACATTAGGACACCTAAGTAATGCACGAATTAAGGTACAATGAATAATTTTGGTCTGTAAATACTTCCAGTGCTCAATGACTCAGTTGGAAACAATAATTGACCAAATTTGCAGAAATGTCCTTCCCGTAAAATATGTTCATATTTGTTGAAACTAGTAGGGGATATACATCTTCATTATAAGTTTTCTTGTTACATTCTTTATTTGTACATGATAATTTATTCGTTGGTAAGCTGTATGGACAATATTGATGAGTTGTTATATTACAGATGGCTTCGTAGTCCATCGGCCATGCTGTATGACCCTGCTTTGAGAAGGACCTTACACAATATGATGAAAAAAGTGTTCATGCAGGTAAGGCAAAAATTCCTCGTCATTTCTACTATGGGCACATTGACTTGAGTTACTATTTCATTGTCTGTCAACACATGTATCTGAGGAGCTTGAATATTCAAAGAGTAATGGGGCTCCTACTCACCTTGTGTTTGTTGTTTTTTTGCATTACAATTTGATTTTAAGTTTTGCATGTAACTTCATCTACAACTTATCTTACCAACCACTCAAGATATTTGCTTGTAACTTTACACATGTCTTCTAGAACATAATGGGTTCTCTCAGAGGCCAATAAAGTGTAAATATGATGGCTTTTAAATTGTTTTAAATATAGATTGTAAAATGATTCTTTTCTAAAATAGTTGATGGGTGAATTCAAGAGGCTTGGGTCAAACATTGTGTATGCCAACTTCAACCGTGTAATTCTCTGTACAAAGAAGAGACGACTGTTGGATGCCCTAGCTTATGTAGAGTATATCACAAACAGTATAAAGACGAAGGAACTGTTTCACTTGATAGAAATGTCATATGAGCAGTGCTGGGAATACCTTATGTGGCTAGACCCTGTAAGTATCGTATTTGAATAATAATTACGCATTTTAAGAACTTTCTAGTCATTTAATTGTTTAAATAGCTGAATAAACTATTCTGTGTTTTGAATTGCTTCAGGAGTATTCGGAACACCATAGCCAAATTTTAAGCTCATTGAGACTATACACATCAGTGGTATTTTAGATGCACCACATAAGGTCATGGTCAAAGTTCAGGATCAGAGGTTTGAACCATAAAATTATCGTATGTTCCATCTCGGACAACACTGAAGGATATATATTAACTTGGTGTAAACGAGTAGAAATGCATGCCTACGTTTACTGGATTATTGGTCTATCCTTGAATTAAAACTGAAATTTATCTTATAAAGGCTAACTATGGAGGCATTAAAGGTAGTCTGCCGTCCGAAGCAGAGGTGGAGCAGAAGGCACCGGAAATGGTGGAGGAAGATCAGGGCGACAGTGATGAGGAAGAACGTGTTATAGAGAATGAAGAGTTAAATCAGTCTGACGGTGAGAATGAACCAGAAATAGAAATGAATTGGAATATCATGCAGTTCCTTCCGGAAGATGGGGCATGCCAGACAAATTTTAATGTAAGAATATTGTTAATTTTATCGCCGTCTTTGTCAATTTTCATCGCATTTGATCAAAATGTATCCACTCCAGTAAACTCTTTTAAATAAGTCCCGTTGTATTTATTCCAGAATTCTGCTCTCCAAACTTGTATTTTACAACATATGTACTTTAGATAATAGAAATGTAGCATCCATTGGTTGGATTCTTTTGATACTCATTTAAAGGCCTCTAGGTTTAAGTTAAACTAGAATAAGCTTTGAATTAGACAGAAGCATTCTGGTTAAGTTTAATTTCTTGATATTGTTATTTTGATAATCTGGTAGGAGCAAGAGGTTAATCAAATATTTTTTTTACTACATGCTGCAGGAAAAGTTAAAAGATATTTAGTGTGTTTCATATTTATCAGTGACAAGTTGAATAAAGACCAAAGGTACAATGATAATTTTGTTCCAGCTGCTTTGCTATAGAGTGATTTGTCAATTTAACCAAACAAATAAATTTCAGAAGAACATGTGATTTAAAAGAAATATCCCTAACATTTCATTGATAGCTTTTCATTGATGTTTTATCCTACAGTCATTCTTATATACAACACAAAATGATCTTAATAATTAACTTTTCTTGTCTGTAGCGAAACACTTTGAAGTAGGATTTGTCAGTAGTTGTAGAAAGTCTTGATTTTGCAAAATTATCACATCACAGTTAAGATTTATTCAAAGCAGCACTTGTTTTTATTGAGGTTAAACCCCCTCAAAAAAAAAATGACAAAAAAAAATAGTAAAATATAATATTGTTGTTTTTAGATGATAATAGCTGGCTATATCCTGTCAGTGTACAGCAATCTACAGGAGGAACAACAGCGTTTGACACCAGGCAACACACCAATTGGTCGTCGCCGTAACAACAGTACTCCAGCATTACTGGATGCAACAACTACACCATCAGCTGTTAGCTTTGCTCAAAATCTTATACAGGGGGAACTAGCTCAACAAATGTTTTCGTAAGAATATTTCCCTTTTCTAATTTTAATCCTCTCCTAGGAACAATAAGTGCACTAAGCTTCTATGGTTCAGTGGAAATTGGAATCTTGAAGAAAAAAAACATGAAAGTACTTTATTATTCTTCATAAAACTTTGTTGATATATAGATTTTACATTCTGTGGAATCTGCATTAACATCAAAGTACTTAGTAAATTTCATAAAACTTTGTTGATGGTTAGTTTGCAATATGACAAATATACACATTATTTTATTTCGTTAATACTAACTTGCTCGAGTAACATTAACGAGTTCTCTTATAATTTTGCAGATTAACACAAAAGATAGACAAGAAATTGAGTGGTAATCGTGGTAAGAACAATATATCGGAGTTGTTTCCAAGACCACCGGGATCATATCTACCATTGAACAACCCAGCATTGGAGTTTGTAAAATATATTTGCAAGGTAATTTATTTTTTTACCAAGTGTAGAGAAGTTTGAAGAAATCTTCATAAAGGATTTCAGAAGGAAATGTAAAGATTGGAAAAGTTTGTGTATGATTTTTATGATCATCCAGCTGCCCATGTTTTTTGAGACCTTGATAATAGTTTATATCGTCCATGGCCGAGTGGTCATGGTTTTTTACTTCAAACCACTTGTCTATCTATCACTGCTGTGGATTCTTTTGTGTGAAGAAGCTAAACAGCCAACTTGCAGAACGTTGGTGGTTCTACTCGGGTGCCTGTTTATGCCCTGAAATAATGCATGGAAGAACGTCTCAGGTCTTTTATCCACCAGTCAAGGTGGGAAGTGGCAATATGACTTATACTGTGTTGGTTTGACGTTAATTGTATAGCATGTTAACAATGTAGTGCAAATTTTCATGTATTCTTTTGATTTGTCTACTATCATAAGTTGCATTCATGACAGAAATATTGTTATAATGACAAAATCTGTTAAATCTTGGCAAAGCATTTCTGTTAAATCTTATCAAAAAGAGTATTAATTTTGTCTTATAAATCATTGCATTGAATTAAATATGTTCTAGTTGAAAATACCAGAAGCATTTGGTTGAAGTGACTAATGAGTGAAGTATAAAATTACATGATGTTTTAACTGTATTGACTTTTATATATTTCAGGTGTTGTCATTGGACAGTAATATTACAATACAAGTGGCCAAATTGCAGCGAGATCTGCTCAAGTTGATTGGTGTGGGAGAGTTCTCACCAGAAGCTTTGTTCAAAGATCCATGTCTATCATATGTTCTACCAGAAGTTATATGTAAGACATGCAATCATATTCGAGACCTTGATCTCTGCAGAGATCCCTATCTTAGTCAGTCATCAGGATGGTATGTATAATGTCTATAGAGGATATTTGTTTGTTGTTAGTGAATATATGCTGTATATCACACTGAGAAGTGGGATAAGCCATATATAGCACTGAGAAGTGAGGAAATTACAGTACTTTCCTAGCACAAGTGAAAATGTTGATATATTTTCCTTTTTTATTTGAGATATACATGTATAGCATATTCATAAAAATTAAAAAAAATCTTTTTAATATATACCTTATAGCTAAGAACACATTTTGATTTTACTGTTTTCATAGATATTGGATGCTTAATGGCTGCATGAATGTTGTGCAAATGGAAAAAAAAGTTTATAGTCACTATACACTTCTCTATTTTCATATTATTTTATTTTATTTTATGCTTTTCAGTATTATTTTATTATGATACAAAATTTCTATAACATATTTCTTTGGAATTGTATGTGATTAAATGTTTTACTGTGATGGTTATATGTAATGTGATTTTGTATTACAGCACAGTGTGGTCCTGTATACAATGTAAGTCGGAGTATAATCTGTTTGAGATAGAACAGTCTCTCATAGATTCCTTAAACAGACACTCTATGGCTAACGTACTACAAGACCTACAGTGTGTCAAGTGTCATCAGGTATTAATGATAGCTATTTTAATAATAAATTTTGTTTGTCATTTTGTATAAAAGCCCCGAAAAGATATTGATTTAGCAATGTTTGTTTTTCCATAGTACATGTAGTATCTTGGAAATTAACAAGATAATACTGTATAGGTATTGAATATCAAACATGAGTTACAGTCCCTTAAGTTTTTATTATCAAGACATTGACCTCAGTTTGGAAAACAAAAAATATATGCATTCTTTAAAAAAAAATCTGAGATTGCAAAAATCCAGGAATCATAATCGTTTATTTGGAAGAAGTCTGAAATATAAATAACTTTTATTTGCTCTTAGAGAAAAAAAATCAGAGATTTGTTTGTGCTTCAGATTTAAAAGGAAGTTTTACTGAGTGTGTAAAATGTAGCAAAACATTGGTATATTTGTCTCCAGAAGCATGATCAGTGTTAATATTTTTCATCGTTCTTCAAACAGAATATGCACATGATGCTTATGGAAATTTATTATTAGACAGTATTGTATTAGCAAATTTCATCACTAGACAGCAGTAAAGTAGTGTTTGCAATATTTATTAATTCAGATTAAGGACAGCAACATGAGGACTTACTGTACATGTGCGGGAGAGTACAGTAATACCTTGACAGCAGACGACCTTGGCCAACAGCTGAAAACATTTAGAGGAATAGCAAGGTGACAAAAATAATGAATGACCAGTTCATACCTTGCTTTCTTTTATAAAGGCCTCATAGACAGTTGTATAAAACCAAGATGTGGACTGTTGATTGAAACTTTGCAAATGATTAATCCTATAATGCAATAGGAAATATTTGAGTTGTTCATGCAGTTAAGAAAGTAACCGTAGCATAACATTATACTGTACATTTCTATTATTTTGAGTGGATTAAGTCCTTCAAATCATTTACCCCTTGCTACTTTCATTGCAAGTCTGTCCAGAAATGTTGGAAATTAGGTATTGTGAGATTTACATATTTTGCTGTACATGTATTTACTGCAAACATCATAGCATTAGAAAATCTGTATTGTGTAGAGTATGATCTGGAAATAATGTTGCTGACATGACATCATCATATATGGTTGAAAATATAAATTTGAGGAGGTATATAATAATTTAATGAATGTATCTCGGTAAAAAGGAATGCAATATATTAATTTTATTTGGCTACCATGGATTTTAGTCTTGTAACAGTAAAATCCATAGATTAATGTTATAGATCAAGATACTCTAATGATAACTATTTTATCTGCTGCTATGCTTTCCTGATAATCTTTGTATATTCCTTCCTTACTGTCATCAGTATATATATAAACATGCATACAGAAATATATTGTGATCTTTTTTATAGAATTAAAATGTAACATTCCTTTTTAATCTTTCAGTCATTATAACATGGTTTTACTAGAAGAGACAGCCAACTGGATATTGAAGTTGAATCCACAGATCTGTGATTGAGACAATTCAATGAACATTTTCAGATCGTTTCAATGATATTTTGTGTATAGATGTATGCAGAATTGACTTTGATGTGTGGACCATGAGTGATATTTTCTATTTATTAATATTGATGATAAAATATTCATCTTTATATATATGTATATATATCATGAATGTCTTGTACAACATTTTCAGTGCTTAAATAATATATGTTATAAGTGAGGTGTGTGATACAATATGTAGATATATTGCATTTTGTCATATATAATAAAGTTTTGTATGAAAATGTAAATAGATTTGTGTTGATTGAGTTACCCTACAATTAATAAATATATTATATGAATTACCCTACAATTAATAAATATATTATATGAATTACCCTACAATTAATAAATATATTATTTTAAGGTTGTCTGGGGAAAAAAGTTGAGCTCTTATGATCACTGTATCTTGCAAAAACTTATGTAGCCCATTACTCGATTTTAAAGCTGCATGCCTCCAGATGAGCCAAAATATTTCAAGACAATTAAGCTTAAGAAAAATGTAAGAAGATTCAAGTAATAATTTACATGTTGTGTAAGATTAATGACTGATGTTTCAATATTTATCCCCATATTTCTACTGCGTTACTAACCAGTAAGGGTTACATGTGAATATTTTGACCTATTTTTTTGGGGGTAATTTACGTGGATTGTCAGAACCGTTTGAATAGTGAAAAATATTTTTTCTTCCTTTCACAATATGTTGATTTAAAATACATTTTTTTAAATTTTAATGAAAATTATCATGAATCTGGAGGCATGCTACTTTAAAGGTATCATTATGAAACTTGAAATGCTTGTTTATCATGACAAGAGACAGTTATAAGACAAAGGGCATAATTCTGAAAGTGCTATTTTAGTTCTCTCATCTTTTAATTTAGAACGTCAAAATTGACTATTAGACATGGCACATTGGTTAAACCATTAACCACACGGTCATTCTGAAATTACATATATTGTATCCTAGTTTGGAAACCATTCTATTGAAAAGGTGTCTTGTGTTAAATCGTATACCCATTCATGTACAGTGCGTTAACTGGAAGGCTGGACTATTGGTTACCTTCACCCAAGTTACCACACTGTCGGGCATAAAAAGAACATGCTGGTTGATTGGCTAATTTTTTCTGGGGTTTACTTATGACGACAGTGAAAGGGACAATGATAGAAAAATGACGTTCAGATACTCGTTCATTGGTACGTTTTCGTTGGTTTCATATTCTGACGACATGGAACATGTTTTTATTTTTGCCTATGTGACTCAGTTGAATTTTCCCTATTGTTTGATTGAAACAAAACTCGAGGGTTGCTGGTTTGTGTTTAATATGTGGTATACACTTTATACATGTCTTCAGTCCATCAATGAAACATCTACATGTAGGATAGCACACATGTAGCATAGTAAAGCATAGCATCAAGCCCCGAAAATATACATATAAAGCATTCCTTACCATCATGAAATGTATGATACAATATATTTAACATTTGTTAACATAACACACCCGTTACAACAACCGGGGACCAAATATATTGTTATTTTGGTCCCAGTATCAAAAGATGGGTCCATACAAATAGTCTAAGAATAGTACCTTTCTAAATATATTTATACACAAAAATATGTATCTGAATATATTAACATCATATTAAACTTCTAATGACCACTTTTGTAGTGACCAATCATAGCCTTGCATTTATCAACCTTGTACCGTTTAGAACAAATCATCCCAGGACAATAACATATGAGCCGCGTCATGACAAAACCAACATAATGGGTTTGCGACCAGCATGGATACAGACCAGCCTGCGCATCCGCGCAGTCTGATCAGAATCCATGCTGTTCGCTTACAAACCCTATAACAAGTAGAGAAACTGATAGCGAACAGCATGGATCCTGATCAGACTGCGTGGATGCGCAGGCTGGTCTGGATCCATGCTGGTCGCAAACGCAGTATGTTGGTTTTGTCGTGACACGGCTCATATAACTTATTTGTTGAAGTGAAAATAATTTTATTTTTCTAAAAATCTTAGTATATTTTCCTTCAAGATGAATGTCTTGAATTATTTTGGCTCATCTGGAGGCATGCAGCTTTAACCCTAAGGCAATTTCTAATTTGGTTTGTGACAGAATGTCAGACAAATTTCCAAAAACAATACCATCACAATATGTGTCACAAATGTTTGATAAAATGAAGGTAGTTACAGTGCATCATCCAGTGTCAAACTGATTTTAGATTAAAACTATATCAAACATCCTCTCTACTTACTTTGCGAAAGGTTTTTGCAAAAGCAAAATATATGCTCGGCCATTATCTTTATTAAGCTTGTTTGTGGTGAGCTCAACAAAGTCGAGACTTTTTTGTATTTTACACAAATACAGTTGGGTATGCCTTACTTTTTATCTGTATTAATCAACACTTTGCCTGAAAACATCTCAAATTAGCATTTTGTTCCAACTGCCACATTTTTAGACATCTACCTCTATTTTAGTCACTCTACATTTACAGTATTGGCAATTAATCCTAGTTACCACATGATAAGGCATAATCTAACAAGAGCCACCGCTAGGCGGGGGCAACGCTCGACTTTTTACTTTTTCTAAAAGCAACAAAGAAATGTTTTAACAAATCTTTACGTTTCCTTTTTATAAATTTAATCGGTCTGTCTTGTCACATTAGTTTTGTCAAAGTATGAATCCTTTCCATATATCCGCATGTGTATTTTATATGAAAAATCATTAATGGGCTTAACACGAGGATCTTACAGGCTTTCCTAAAAGATAACAGATTTGAAAAAAAAAATTCGTGCACATGATTGTGCCTGACGGCGGGTGATCGTATACAGGCCCTTTTCAGTTTACAAAATTGAATTAAATTTAAATAAAAAGATCTAAACATTTTTACAAGATATGTTCAAAAAAAATTAAGGGAGCCCTTTTCTGAAGTTCTAAGAGGTTACGTAACATTCTGCGAGGGGTGATGCAGAATTAACCGAAATTTGTTTATAAACCGTTAGCTTCATTTATTTCATATCATTTAATCTATCTTTTGTTGAAAATACTAGTACCAGTTATATTTGTCAACATATCGGAAAGTCGCTTTAAGAAACATTTAATATGAAAACGGAAAACCCCACTCAAGTACGTGTATCTAGTTAATTAAACAAAAGTTTTTAAAGTAAATAAAAATCAATAGAATTCAAAACGAAGGAAACCACAACTTTCAAATCTATGAAAACTTAGTTAGCTACGGTTAACGCAGACTACTACAAATAAATAAGTTAATTTTAATAATTTTAAAAATAATTAAAAACCTTTTACTTTAAAATGTACATAATTTCGATTTTCCTCACAATTATTATAATAAGTTCAATAGTCTTGCTGGCACACTTAAAGAGAGCGACATCCGGAATATTTCAACAAAAGTACCCATCATAGTGTATATGGGAATATAATTATTTTCCCAATGGATAAATAGGTACAAACTTTGTATTGCGTGAAGAGATAAAAACTTTCAAAACAGTTGAGTATGTTTTTGGCACAACGTCGCCGTATGCGCATTACTGTTTGCTTAGGTGCGATTATATGCAGCTGCATCATATGTGTGCTTAATTTTTATAGTAAAGAGGATGTAATACGCATTAATTAGTATTAAAGTGTTTGTAATATGAACTTCAAATAAATATGATTGAATTTATGGCATATTTTTCCCGGTCATTTCTGGATTATCCCTCGTATATACATATATATTTGTATATCAGATGCATGCATGGACATTGATGTACTGATACGGGGTTCCGGAGTTTATCATCATGTCTGTTTGCTTCCGTTGCATTTAAGGGTCTTTAATTAGCTCTAAAGCTATCAACGAGCGCAGTACGTGCATGATGTTGGTAATAGCTTATGACAAAAGCCGCAACTCCCCCCTCCCGTCAAAAGCCCATCCTTGAATTTAATGAGAGAATCTTTGTCCAACCTACATGCGGAGAGGAGGGGGGGGGGGGGGGGGGGCTGGAGCGCATATGAGCGTGTCAGTTTCCCTATATTTGACCCTATCGCAATTGTTAAACTTTTAGGGGTAAACTTTGATTTTTTAACTCAAATGTTACATGTTAAAGAGAATATAGGTAAAAATTTATGTAAGGTATGTAAATTGAAACAATTGAACATACATATATATTACTCAATTATTTTATCAAACTTTAATTACTGCCCTTCTGCGGAGAAACGTATATACTACAAATCTAGAGAAAATTCAAGAAAGAGCAATACGATCGATTCATTAATGATGACTACCAATCAGACTATGACTCACTTTTAATACAACTCTGAGTATGAAACTCTTAATACAATACTTCTAAACTGATAGCATTCATATACAAATGTAGCTAAATGCAAAAGAATACATGTACATCATTCGTTTCATTACAAAAGAGCCAAATAAATTTGTTTTGTATGAAGGTTTTTAAAAATTATCATTTAAACATATAATAAGCTTGTCTTTTGTTTTCATACCTATTATACAAGCTTTCACAAAATGAATTTCGTCCTCAACATCACCAGATAAACACAATTCACATAATCTTTTTTCTTTAGGTATATTTTATTTTTGTACCGGCCCATAAATTATTTGGCATTAATTCAACTACCTTTACTTTACTTTTACGTTTACAGTGTATTTTACCATGCAAATTATACCTTTTTATGCCCCCGAAGGGAGGCATATTAAAATCTCACCGTTCGTCTGTCCGTGCGAACATCCTATGGTCTACATGTACGAGCTTCATTCGTCCATAATTTTAGTTAAAAAAAAGAAGGAAATCCCATAAACCGAATGGTTTATATTGTAATTTTACTGGTTTATGGGGGAAAATGCCACATAAAGATAAAAGAAAAAGGATAAACCCCAAATAATGGCACGTCCGTTCGTCTGTCCGTCCGTCTGTGCGTCCCGACTTCATTCGTGTCCGGACTGTAACTTTGTAATACATTGAGGGGTTTTGAAATAACTTGGCACAATTGTCTACCACATCAAGGCGATGTGTCGCTTTCAAGAACCACGTCCCTACCTCAAAGGTCAATGTCACACTATCATTTTGAAGTTTCACATTATCACAATTAGAGTAAATTTATATGTACACACATTCGTGTCCGGACTGTAACTTTGTCATGCATCGATCGAAGGATTTCAAAATAACTAAGCATAAATTGTCTACCACATCAAGACGAGGTGTCGCGTCCAAGACCGTTGTCCCTACCTTCTAGGTCAAGGTCATACTTAAAGTTTGAAGGTACTCATTCTCTAGAGAGAAAAGAGTTTGAAGATACACATTCATGTCCGGACTGTAACTTTGTTATGCATGGAAGGATTTTAAATTAAATTGACACACATTTCTACCCAGATCAAGACGATGTGTCGCGGCTAAGGCTCATATGTCCGTCTGTGTGTCCCCACTTACACAACAATCATATCCAGACTGTAACTTTGTCATGCATCGAGGGATTTTGAAATACATGTATCTTAATTGGCACAAAAGTCTATCTCATGACAACATTCTGTTGTGTCCAAGAACCACATCCCTTCTTCAAAGGTCAAGGTCACACTTATATTTCGAAGGTTCACGCTATCAAAATTAGAGATTATAGGTACACACTATTCATGTAGGTCCGGACCATATAACTTTGTCATGCATTGAAGAGTTGAAAAATAACTTTGCGCAAATGTCTGCCACATCAAGATAACGTGTTGCGTGTAAGACCCATATTCCTACATCCAATGTCTTCGTCACTAAAGTACTTTTGCTCATAAGAAAAGTTTGAAGGTAAACATTAGTTTCCAAAATGTGAGATTGTCATGCATTGAAGGATTTTATGATAACTTGGCATTTATAAATGACTACCACATCAAAATGATGTGTCTCATCCAAGACCCTTATCCCAATGTGTAAAGTTTGCTATAAATAACACTTCATTTCACAAGATCAGTATTAAGCAATTTGTTACTTTCATTCTCTTTTCTTGTCATAATATCTGCATGCTCAAGAAACCTTTTTGATAGCATTCATCACTTGCGGGCAACTCCTTGGTATGACGACAACGATAATTTATTATGGGTATAGGAAAAAATAAAGATGGCAGCCTTCATGGGACGAGTGGCTTTACGAAGTTTTCCGGCTGTAAATATAATAAAAACCAATTTCTTTCATATTCATCAAATTATTAAGAAAAACCAATGACAAATACACATTGTAATGTGCATTTATTGTAATTTATTTTTGCCAAAAAATCCCTAGGTCGTGGTAACTTGTAATTATTCGGATATACCGCTAATTCGGATACTGATAATCGAGTGCATAGTATTTCTATGCACCGATAACATATGATGTTGGTCAAGTCAAGTTAATTTTATTCATAAGTCGGATACATCAACATTGGTGATATGACTATTTTTTTTTATCTTTTTTTAAACAGACTTAGGGTTATTGCGTTAGAAATTTTGATTAAGTGTGTACATAGACTTAAAGGATCCATAATTTATTATCTAAATACATGTAGAGACCCTTAAAAGAGCACTAGAATATGCATACTGCCCAGCCAAAAGTGCAGTATGGTGAAAGCCTTCATATCTGGTGATTTTTATTTATAAAACCTAATTAGTGGTAACAGTTTTGTGATCCTTTTCATTTTCAATATCGTATTTCCTTTCTTTTATAGCAGTCCAGGCTAGGCCTGGGTCAAGATCAGCAGTATCCACCCACTTTTAATGTAATCTTATTTTATGTATGTGCTAATATGTTCCGCATTTTATCTAGATATATATTATTTTACTCACTTATGATACAGTATAGATCTTTTAAGCATATCCTTAGGATATCCTTACTATTTATTAATTATTATTATTTTATTTCAAATTATAACATTTAATGTCTACATCCAACATTATAGTAATTTAACTTGTCTTTTATCATTTGTCTTTCAAAGTTTATCTTAATGTGCTTCTTTTATGAGTTTTATGTTTATATCATTATGCATGTATGTCGGTCAAAAGCTATACATAGCTTATGTTTTGTAAAATGTTATATATGTATACCGACGATAAATAAATTTTGATTTGATTTGTGAAAGCTTTAATATGAAGTAATATAAGAAAATATGCAATCATATTTATCTTAGACGTTAACTCTTACACTAGCCAAACAAATTGTGCGCTTTCAGGGCTTTTTATTATATAGACGATAGTGACCCTTTGACAGACATCTATGTTATATGAGATTGTAAAATCGATAGATCTTGCTATCAAAATATTGAGACTACCCTTACAGGATGTATTTTTTTTCATCTTTTTGTTGTAAACTATTGCTTATGATTTTATACTGTTCACACCTTTACCAGGCTTTATGACAGTATCAAAATACAATTGCCAAAAGAAGTATGGAAAAATTAAGGCCATTATTTTTAGCTCACCTGTCACAAAGTGACAGGGTGAGCTTTTGTGATTGCTTTTCGTCTGGCGTCCGTCCGTCGTCCGTCCGTCGTCCGTCCGTAAACTTTTACTTTAAATGACATCTCCTCATAAACCACTAAGCCAATTTCATCCAAACTTCACAGGAATGTTCCTTTGGTGGTCACCTTTAAAATTTGTTCAAAGAATTTAATTCCGTGCAGAACTCTGGTTGCCATGGCAACCGAAAGAAAAAACTTTAAATATCTTCTTTTAAAAAACCATAAGAGCTAGAGCTTAGATATTTGGCATGAAACATCTTCTAGTGAGTGTCTACCAAGTTTGTTCAAATAAAAGCCCTGGGGTCAAAATTGGCCCCGCCCCGGGGGGTCATTGATTTTCCCTATATGCATATAGTAAAAACTTAAAAAATCTTCTTTTAAAGAACCCAAAGAGCTAGAGCTAAGATATTTAGCATGAAATATGTTCTAATGGGTGTCTACCAAGTTTGTTCAAATAAAAGCCCTGGGGTCAAAATTGGCCCCGCCCCAGGGGGTCATTGATTTTCCCTATGTGCATATAGTAAAAACTTAAAAAATCTTCTTTTAAAGAACTCAAAGAGCTATGGCTAAGATATTGAGCATCAAACATTTTCTAATAGGTGTCTACCAAGTTTGTTCAAATAAAAGCCCTGGGGTCAAAATTGGCCCCGCCCCAGGGGGTCATTGATTTTCCCTATATGCATATAGTAAAAACTTAAAAAATCTTCTTTTAAAGAACCAAAAAAGTTAGAGCTAAGATATTTAGCATGAAACATGTTCTAGTAAGTGTCTACCAAGTTTGTTCAAATAAAAGCCCTGGGGTCAAAATTGGCCCCGCCCCGGGGGGTCATTGATTTCCCTATATGGATATAGTAAAAACTTAAAAAATCTTCTTTTTAAGAACTCGAAGAGCTATGGTTAAGATATTTAGCATCAAACATGTTCTAATAGGTGTCTACCAAGTTTGTTCAAATAAAAGCCATGGGGTCAAAATTGGCACCGCCCGGGGGGGGGTCATTGATTTTCCTTATATGTGTATAGCAAAAACTTAAAAAATCTTCTTTGAAAAAACCCAAATAGCTAGAGTTTAGATATTAAGCATGAAACATCTTCTAGTAAGTGTGTACAAAGTTTGTTCAAATAAAAGCCCTGGGGTCAAAACTGGCCCGGCCCCAGGGGTGTCATTGTTTTTAACTATATGTTTATAGTAAAAACTTAAAAAAAATCTTCTTTTAAAAAGCCCAATAAGCTAGAGCTTAGATGTTTAGCATGAAACATCTTTTTATGGGTGTCTACCAAGTTTGTGCAAATAAAAGCCCTTGGGTTAAATTTGCCCTGCAACATTGGGGGGGGGGGGGGGGTTTGGGGGTAGCCAATATACAGGTGAGCGACCTCAGGGCCATCATGGCCCTCTTGTTTTATATTTCGGTTTACTGACCCGCCAAATCCTTTTTTGGGAAAATGAAAAAAAACAACATCTGCCCCGTAAAAAAAAGTACTCGAAATATGCTGCTAATTAAATTTAGATCTAAATGTTCTATGAGAGATTTATAGATAGAAGTCCAACTTATTACTTATTAGACTTGTCAAAGAAATGTCGTGATACTTTTTGACGGCAATGTATTTGGCATGCAGAAAAATGTCTGCACAATGGGTTTTAAACCATTCTCGCCAAATTAATTAGGCTAATATCTATATATTTAAAATATATTTCATGTATGTATGTATAAAATCATATGTTTTGAAGGTCCAATTGTGTAGAAATATCACTTTCATGGATACAGCGAGAGAAATCTTATTCAATGAGAATCAGATTAAATTTAATTTAAAAAGAAATATAGTGACAAGGTCACTATTTACAGATTTAACTAAAACAATAGTCTTTAAAAGGAGATTAGATACGGGTTTCCTTTCAAACAAAATATAAAAAAATGCACTTACGATTAATAATTTACATGTCAGTAATTGACCCGCAAATTTTCCGATAGAAATATTTTTCAACTTGGGCAATAATTTAACATGTGTAATCTTTTCTTGACAGGTTTTTAAACTTCTGTTATATAAATAAATGAGTGCAAGTCAGTTGAGTTTCGGCACCTTTGATGATTCTGATTAAACAACTGGGACTACATGTGTGTGAACATAACTCTTTTGAAAGGTAGGCGAGGTCATCTCGTCTGTAGATTAAGTAATAGCAACATGATATTTTATCAATTTGTGGATGCTATTTTGTTTTCACACATGTGAACGATGTTTTGTGTATTTATAAGCACTGTGGAATTAAGACAGTTGGTCTTTTAATTTCTCTAGTAAGTACTATGTACGCATCACATTTATCAGTATTGGGATGGACTAATCATAAGAGAAGGGATACTTACAAAGTATCCCACCTTCCAGACATTAAGATAATTATGAAAACTTTTTTCTTTTCCTTTTTTTTTTCCCCCTCCAACGACCCTACCTTTTTCTTTGGAAAAAATCAGTAAACCAAGATATAAAAAAAAATGGCCTTCAATTCATATAAAATAGGCTAATTTTTTAAGAAAAAAATGCACAGGTTAAGAGAAGAAGTGGGTAAAAAACTATCCACTCTAAATTTGTTCTTGAAATTTTGCATATTGACTAAGATGAAAATAAGAAGAAAAAAAGTATTGTAAATTATCTGCCCTTGAAAAAGAATGAAAAAGCCCAATTCAAGGGCAGATATATCGAAAAAGAGAATGATGACCCAAAATTTTTTTCCGTTTTAAATGTTTCTGTTATCATATTCTAATAACATACTGAGTTTAAAGAAATTCTATTGAACAGTTTTAATTTTGCCTCTATGTCTATATGAAAACTCCGAAAAACGTCTTTAATTTACAGTTTTACAAAACCTACTGTCATGTTGAATTATATGACTTTGACCTTTAATCTACTACTGTCAAGGTCAAATTACTGAAATTTGCTGGAATTGTCTTAACTTTGTTATTTATTCATGGACTTGATTTATTCTTAGAAAAAACTGACATGATGACCTATTCAATTGTGCCTTCGACCTTTGAATGACCATGAAGGTCAAATATTAAATTGTAATTTTTACAAGAAAATTATGTTTTCTAGGAGTACTTTTTACTGTAAATTTCTTCCTCTGATGTGTTTGACTTTAGAAATATGAATAAGTCGAGCGTGGCCCCCGCTAAGCAGTGACTTTTGAGTTTTGGATGCTTTTATAATCTATAGAAATAATCAATAATTGAAATTTGAAATGACATGTAAGTATACAGTTACATGTAGGTTGAAGAGATTTTGTGTAAGTCAGTTTATACTCCTTATTGTGTAATAGAAAATGTACAAATCATACTATTATTTCTTTCAGGAGATGTTATTTCTTATGAAACATCAATCATGTCCGGCTTACAATCTCACACAAGTTATGTATATGAGAAGCAAACATTATAAACCGCTTTTCAGAACAAGACGTAAAGAGAAAATGTTGTTTGTAAGTATACTCACACAAATTTATAATAATTATGTTTTAATCAAGTAATATGAAGTTATAAAAGAATCTTTACATTTTGTCTAGTTATCTTGATGCACTCTGACAATACAGTTAAACTTTGTTTGCTCGAACTCAGATCTCTCGAATACCTCCCTTAGCTCTAACTCAATGCCCAGTCCGGCAAAATTCCTATATAACATATATTGCTCTACCTCGGATCGCTTGAACACAGATCCCTCGTACTCTCAAACCTGATCTCTGGTCCCTCCAGCAGAAATATAGTGAAAATCACACCTTTCCAGTTGAATACAAAAAGACAATATAAGTTCCGGGTTGACATGTTCTGAATAAGTGACAGTCGGCCACACATGTTTTTAACACATTGTGATCGTGATAAAGGCAATTAAGGTAATTGATATAAAATTAAAGATGTTATAACCAATTTGTATGTTATGATAATATTGTTTATTTGCTGTCTTATGTAACAATAAAAAAAATTGACTTGTGAAATACTTCAAATAGGTGAAATGTGCATAAGCCAATAAATAAATGACGTTTACTCGTACGGCTTTAATTACAGCCATGGTTCACACAACGTGAATTGTAAAGGTGTTATCTATTTATAGAATGATACTTGCATGTGTGTTTATTTTAGTGAATAACTGCAAATAGATGCTGATGTATATTTTTTTTTTTTTTTAAATACATGTATTTTATTAGTTCATTGTTTAAAATAAAATGTATCCCAAATTATACATATTATACAATAATATATTTTGAATATTGTTCAACAAGTTTGGGACATAATTGCCCAATCTAACTCAACCAATTACAATATGCATGAATATAGATTAACATCTATTGTATCGTTAATTAATACTCATTTGTAAACACTAAGATAATAATTCTAAATATTTACAAGAAATGTCGTATTCAAGGAACTGATATACTATTACTATCAAACAATTATGTTGACATATTTATCATTCGGCGGATGTAAGATAGAAAACCTGAAGGCCTATATCCTAGGTGATAATAGTTCAACCTCAGTTGGCTCGAACTACCGATCTCTCGAACAAATTTGCACGGGCCCTTCAAGTTCGAGCAAATAAAGTTTGACTGTATTCTATATTTTGCCCTGATTATCTTCCAATATGACTGCCTAAATTTGAACTGCATAAACATTCCTTAAGAGTCATTCATTTAAATGTCATGTCTATCTGTTTGATTAACACTATCTGTGCCTCATCTACTTAGTTAGTAAGATGCTAATATAAAGAAAAATTAAAAATCTTAAACAGCTTCAGTTGCTCCTGTGTTTTCTTAAAGGAGCAAAAAATGCACCATCATTGCCCTTCTATTAATTACAAACTAAGATTAGGTCATCTTAATATTTCATAAAAACAGCCAGTTTTCTGAACTCATGATGCATTTTCAAAATAGTGTCCCATATCAGGTATAATTAAGTCGCTGCCTAGATATGTAAAAGGAACAGCTGGTGACAGCTTCTCCATACTCCCCCTGGCTTCTTATTATAATATTTCTTATCATTAAGTTAAAAATGTTCTTGGATTTCAAAGTTTATAAAAGTAGGGAGTACTGTTTTACAGATTATATCTTGCTTTCTATTGTACAGGTTGACAAAGATAAATATGCAGACGAAAACTTATCTTATAAGGAAAAAAGGGAAAAAGACTTAAAAGATAAACATGCTGAACCAGAGCGTTCTTTCAGAGCAAGAAAGCCAAGCAGTATCGAGACATGTAAGGCCAAATATGTTATTATTGCATTTAATTGACTTGCACCCCTATATGTATTTTTTAGATATATGCATTAGTAAGACAATATGCAGAACACAGATTTGGGTTTCTTCAGATCAGAATTGGCCCTACCCCATGAGTCACAAGATTTAAATAGTTGCATGTAAATGAAAACAAATTTAGTGTTTTTGTATGAAACAAAAATGCCCAGAGAAAAAACATTTAAGTCTTATTGCATGAAACTATAATGCTAAGAGCATAGATATTTGGCTTGTAGATATACCTTTACTAATGGTATAAATTATGACCCTTTGGGAAAAAGTGACCCCACTCTGGGGGCAGCTTAATTTATGTACACTTATAAACATATCATGTGGTCAATTTGTTGTTTTGTACAAGTTATATTTATCATGATTCTGAGGTCAAATTTGGCCCTGCCCTTAGGGTCACTAGATTTATTTGACTTTACTCGACTTCTTTATAACAAGTGAGATGATATAATTCTTTATATGTTAATTATTTTTTTCTGAATCTTGTTTTTGATTTTCTTTTCAATTTTTGTTATCTATTTTGTTTTAAGATGGTGTTTTTGATCCATTTGTACCTCCAGAAGGGGATGGTAAACATTCTGTTCTAGGAAAAAAGGTGAGCATTTCTTGTTAAATATTTACTTTTTCAAGACCATACTATCTTCCTGTATTCCCTTCTTGACCATACTTTCTTCCTATAATCCTTTCATGACTATACTATTTTCCTATAACCTCTTTATGACCATACTATCTTCCTATAACCCCTTCAAGACCATACTATCTCCCTATAACCCCTTCAAGACCATACTATATTCCTATAACCCCTTCATGACCATACTATCTTCCTATAACACCTTCATGACCATACTATCTCCCTGTAACCCCTTCAAGACCATACTATCTTCCTATCACCCCTTCAAGACCGTACTATCTTTCTATAACCCCTTCATGACCATACTATCTTCCTATAACCCCTTCATGACCATACTATCTTCCTATAACCCCTTCATGACCATGCTATCTTCCTGTAATCTCTTCATGACCATACTATCTTCCTATAACCCCTTCATGACCATACTATCTTCCTATAACCCCTTCATGACCATACTATCTTCCTATAACCCCTTCATGACCATACTATCTTCATGTAATCTCTTCATGACCATATTATCTTCCTATAACCCCTTCATGACCATACTATCTTCCTATAACCCCTTCATGACCATACTATCTTCCTATAACCCCTTCATGACCATACTATCTTCCTATAACCCCTTCATGACCATACTATCTTCCTGTAACTCTTTCATGCCCATACTATCTTCCTATAACCCCTTCATGACCATACTATCTTCCTGTAATCTCTTCATGACCATACTATCTTCCTGTAACTCTTCATGACCATACTATCTTCCTGTAATCTCTTCATGACCATACTATCTTCCTGTAATCTCTTCATGACCATACTATCTTCCTGTAATCTCTTCATGACCATACTATCTTCCTACCCTTCAAGACCATACTATCTTCCTATAACCCCTTCATGACCATACTATCTTCCTATAACCCCTTCATGACCATGCTATCTTCCTGTAATCTCTTCATGACCATACTATCTTCCTATAACACCTTCATGACCATACTATCTCCCTATAACCCTTCATGACCATACTATCTTCCTATACACCCCTTCAAGACCGTACTATCTTTCTATAACCCTTTCATGACCATACTATCTTCCTATAACCCCTTCATGACCATACTATCTTCCTATAACCCCTTCATGACCATACTATCTTCCTATAACCCCTTCATGACCATACTATCTTCCTGTAATCTCTTCATGACCCATATAACTATACTTCGTTCCTATAACCCCTTCATGACCATACTATCTTCCTGTAATCTCTTCATGACCATACTATCTTCCTGTAATCTCTTCATGACCATACTATCTTCCTGTAATCTCTTCATGACCATACTATCTTCCTGTAATCTCTTCATGACCATACTATCTTCCTGTAATCTCTTCATGACCATACTATCTTCCTGTAATCTCTTCATGACCATACTATCTTCCTGTAATCTCTTCATGACCATACTATCTTCCTGTAATCTCTTCATGACCATACTATCCTCCTACCCTTCAAGACCATACTATCTTCCTATAACCCCTTCATGACCATACTATCTTCCTATAACCCCTTCATGACCATACTATCTTCCTACCCTTCAAGACCATACTATCTTCCTATAACCCCTTTATGACCATACTATCTTCCTATAACCCCTTCATGACCATACTATCTTCCTATAACCCCTTCATGACCATACTATCTTCCTATAACCCCTTCATGACCATACTATCTTCCTATAACCCCTTCATGACCATACTATCTTCATGTAATCTCTTCATGACCATACTATCTTCCTATAACCCCTTCATGACCATACTATCTTCCTGTAATCTCTTCATGACCATACTATCTTCCTGTACCCTTCATGACCATACTATCTTCCTGTAATCTCTTCATGACCATACTATCTTCCTGTAATCTCTTCATGACCATACTATCTTCCTGTAATCTCTTCATGACTATACTATCTTCCTGTAATCTCTTCATGACCATACTATCTTCCTACCCTTCAAGACCATACTATCTTCCTTTCACCCCTTCATGACCATACTATCTTCCTACCCTTTAAGACCATACTATCTTCCTATAACCCCTTCATGACCATACTATCTTCCTACCCTTCAAGACCATACTATCTTCCTTTCACCCCTTCATGACCATACTTAGAAAATTCTTAACAGAAAACATTTACATTTATGAGAGGGACAAGGAAAAAAATAGAGATGCTTAAAAATTCTTGAAAAATATCAAACGTGTACATAATGGGTCATAACCGTTGTGTCAATATATATCAGAGAATACCCCACCCCCTTCAACCACAAAGGAAAGATATTGTGAATACATTTTGACTATTTCTTATTCTTTGTCTTAAGAGACTGTCGTATATAAAGCAACCATTTTAGTGTTTCCCTTGCATGGTGGCTTAATACAAGTTTGACTGTAATTCAGGAGTAGATAAAATGATGATGAGAAAGATTATTGGTATTTGAAGATATAGATTATTTTTTACTTAATGCTGTATTTCCAAATTAGAATGATTATTTGTTTTTTGTTAGGACCTTTTGTATATTCAAGGCTATTATGTTCTATCTTGTGATGCATGAATATATTTAAATGAACCACATTTGTAGCAGTGTCAGTTTTTCTATTTCAACTATTTTTCATATCGGAACTTCTGCAGACCAGTTTTGAATGCTCCCTGTACAATTTTGAATGTATAAATGTCTGTTTTTCAAGGCTGTCAATTATTCTTAGCAGTGAATTGGTCTTTCATATTTGTTCTAATTAAATTTCTAGGGTTTGAAGGAAGTTGCAGAGAAAGGTCAAAAGAAAGTAATGGCAAGAGTTCAAGCAGTACGTAAAATAAGAAAATATGGTGATCACAACTTCAATACAAAGAATATCGCATATGAACTTCTTGAGTTATATATTGAAGCACATAACCTGTTAACAGAGTAAGTATTTAAAGTAGCAAACTCCATTAAATTACAACATGATTCTAGTGGTATATTTCAGAATTGTGTTATAGACTACAATATTTATCATAGAAGTACTCCTGATACAGTGTAACATCTGCAGAGTGGCCCTCTGTAGAAAAAAAAAATACCTGACAATAAAAATGTTGCTTCTTCCCAAAATAACTCTTCACTACAAATTTACCCTTTATAGAAGATCATCTGCAGCAACCAAACTCTTTTGTCTTCAGATGGGTGTCTCCGCATATGTTGTAATGTACAAACATCTCAAAAAGACAAAGTTATTTTTCTTAATACATAAATTTGTAGATGTAAGAAAAAATCGTGAATCTTATCATTATGATGTTATTAAAATGAATACATTGAGAGAGTTTTTGCTGATGAATAAGCATTGGAATAAAACTTTATTTATTATAATTATTATTTAAAAACTAAGGCAATACAAGTTGTGGAATATAGAAAAATTTATAAAGGTGTATAACTTTTTGTTTTCAGCAAAGGTATGTAAAAAACCAATTGTCTGCGTATGTTTTATATTACAGCTATAAGAAGAATAAAAATCGCCTTCATGAATTGTGTACACTTCGGGCAATGAATGTAAGCATAAATTTGATAGCTTTATATTGTATTGAAGTATGTTTTGCTGGGATTTTATCACATTTGTGAGGGGTTACGGTGGTCGAGCAGTTAAGTGCCGACTTCAAATTACTTGGCCCTCACCAATGTATTTCAAATGTCAGGAAGATTTCTAGTTAGCTTATGGAAGGCCAGTGGTTCTACTTAGGTGCCCTCTTGTGAAATAATGCATAAAGGGGGACCTTAGGTGTTCCTCAACCAGTAAGGCCGGATGAAAACTTATTGTATAACAATTACACAATCAGTGTGACTTCCAGCCAAAACAAACAAAAACATGGTTGTAACCCTGCAGTTTTCCATGTAACTGTCTTTCTTGGTTAACTTACCAGTAATTACCAATTTTTCCGCAAATGAGCAACTACTAATACCACATGATTTCGGAATCAACAGTGAGTGACAAATGACTGATAGGCTCCATGTCATAATTGAAAAGGTGCAAGAGAGCATTTTCATTGCCCAAAGGTTGAACCTGTAACCCTTTGATTACAAATCCGATGCTGTTCTTATTTAGCTCAGTAGGAGAACTAGGGAGATTCTTAATATATGTGTATATGAAAAGTTGCTAAATTATTGAAATATAGATGTGCATCATAATTATTTAGATTTTATCATACTGCTCTGAATCTTTTGGTGTTACTCAACATAAATTATTGACATGTAAATGGTTATAGTCTGATATGTAAGTAAGTCACAAGAGCTTTAAAAAAATAGACTTAAAAGTTCAATGTTTATAAGAAAACTATAAGGACCAAAGCTTTGATATTTAGCATATAGAACAAAAGTTATATCAATATTGGGGTCGCTTAGTTTACAAAGCGAGGTGAGCGATATACATTGTAGGCTCACTTGGTCCTCTTGTTATAATTTGTTAAAAAATAAAATCTGTTATTTTTCTACAGTTGATGACACACAATATGGATAGAGTTACATGCATGTGGGAGTACGTGGAGAGTCTGGCACCTCCTAAAACAGTACATGTTGCTTGTGAAGAAGTTAATGTTAAAGATATATATTTTGCACAAGTCACAGTTAGAATACACTCAAAACAGGTATTAATTTTTTTTTCTGTTGCTTATATAGTTAAAAGAAAAATGCACAATATTGAATATATTATAAATGGATTCAGTAAGGTCTTGCAAATAGAAACTTTCTTATGGCATGATACAGTATAAATGTACATGTATTTGTTGTTGTGTAAAAGAAACTTATTTTCATAACAGTTTTCTCAGCAACTATTTATCACAGCCTCTTGATATTTGGCATATAGCATTGACATGTGGTCCCATACTGTGGGATTCGGTTTCAGGTCTGTTGCTCATCCATTTTCTGTTTATTGACTTAGCAAAATTTTCAACATTAATGGTCAATGGTAGGAAATTTTCATAACAGTTTTCTCAGCAACTACTCATCACAGCCTTTTGATATTTGGCATATAGCATTGACACATGGTCCCATACCATGGGATTCGATTTCAGGTATGTTGCTCATCCACGTTTTGTTAAATGACTTAGTTACATTTTCGACATGATGGTCAGTGGTAAATTTTTTACATAACATCACAGCATCATGATATTTGGTATACAAATGCAACCCGGCCTTTTCTGTCTTTGACACATTTTCTTGAAATATTTTGGCTCATTTAGAGAATTGCAGCTTTAATATTGTGGATGTTGCTAGTCAAAAGTAACCAACTAACAGGTCATTACTGGTACAGAATATAGAGATATTTATTTTGTTTGTGCGATCAAACTGTGATATGGACAGGTACACAAACCAAACTACTGCTAGAGTTGTATGTAAATCAAACACTTGGCTTTTTAGCTCACCTGAGCATGCTCAGGGTGAGCTTTTAGGATCGATGATTGTCTGTCGTCCGTCCGTTCACATTTTGTTGTTAACACTCTAGCGGTCGCATTTTTGCCTCAATCATCATCAAACTTGGTCAGGATGCTTATCTAGTTGATAGCTCAGATGAGTTCGAACATGGGTCATCTCGGATGAAAAACTAGGTCACAAGAGCTAAAAATAGAAAAACCTTGTTAACACTCTAGAGGTCACATTTTTGCCTCAATCATCATCAAACTTGGTCAGGATGTTTGTCTAGATGATATCTCGGATGAGTTTGAACATGGGTCATCTCGGATGAAGAAGTAGGTTACCGGAGCTAAAAATAGAAAAACCTTGTTAACACTCTAGCGGTCACATTTTTGCATCAATCATCATCAAACTTGGTCAGGATGCTTGTCTAGGTGATAGCTCAGATGAGTTCGAACATGGGTCATCTCGGATGAAAAACTAGGTCACTGGAGCTAAAAATAGAAAAACCTTGTTAACACTCCAGCGGTCACATTTTTGCCTCAATCATCATCAAACTCGGTCAGGATGCTTATCAAGTTGATAGCTAGGATGAGTTCGAACATGGGTCATCTCGGATGAAAAACTAGGTCACAAGAGCTAAAAATAGAAAAACCTTGTTAACACTCATGGGGTTCACATTTTTGCATCAATCATCATCAAACTTGATCAAGATGCTTGTCTTGGTGATAGCTCGGATGAGTTCACAATTTTGCCTTAATCATCATCAAACTTGGTCAGGATGTTTGTCTAGGTGATAGCTTGGATGAGTTCGAACATGGGTCATCTCGGATGAAAAAGTAGGTCACCAGAGCTAAAAATAGAAAAACCTTGTTAACACTCTAGCGGTCACATTTTGGCATCAATCATCATCAAACTTTGTCAGGAAGCTTGTCTAGGTGATAACTCGGATGAGTTTGAACATGACTCATCTCGGATGAAAAAGTAGGTCACAGGAGCTAAAAATAGAAAAACCTTGTTAACACTCTAGCGGTCACATTTTTGCTTCAATCATCATCAAACTTGGTCAAGATGCTTGTCTAGGTGATAGCTCGGATGAGTTCGAACATGGGTCATCTCGGATGAAAAAGTAGGTCACCGGAGCTAAAAATAGAAAAACTTTGTTAACACACTAGCGGTCACATTTTTGCCTCAATCATCATCAAACTTGGTCAGGATGCTTGTCTAGGTGATAGCTTGCATGATTTCGAACATGGGTCATCTCAGGTAAAAAAACTAGGTCACCGGAGCTAAAAATAGAAAAACCTTGTTAACACTCTTGGGGTTCACATTTTTGCATCAATCATCATCAAACTTGGTCAGGATGCTTGTCTAGGTGATAGCTCGGATGAGTTCGAACATGGGTCATCTTGGATGAAAAAGTAGGTCACCGGAGCTAAAAATAGAAAAACTTTGTTAACACACTAGCGGTCACATTTTTGCCTCAATCATCATCAAACTTGGTCAGGATGCTTGTCTAGGTGATAGCTTGCATGAGTTCGAACATGGGTCATCTCGGATGAAAAACTAGGTCACAGGAGCTAAAAATAGAAAAACCTTGTTAACACTCTAGCGGTCACAATTTTGCCTCAATCATCATCAAACTTGGTCAGGATGTTTGTCTAGTTGATAGCTTGGATGAGTTCGAACATTGGTCATCTCGGATGAAAAACTAGGTCACAGGAGCTAAAAATAGAAAAATCTTGTTAACACTCTAGTGGCTACTGTTTTGATCCAAATATCCTGTAAATTGGTCTGAAAGTTTGTTTTGATGATTTCTAAGTCAAGTTCGAACATGGGTCATCTTGGATGAAAAACTAGGTCACACCGCCCAAATATGGAAAAACCTTGTTAACATTCTAGTGGTCACATTTTTAGCTCGACTTTTCTATGAAAAGGGGAGCTATCCTACTCGCCCCGGCGTCGGCGTCGGCGTCGGCGTTGGCGTCACACCTTGGTTAAGTTTTTCGTACCACCCCACTTTATTTCAGAAGTATTACAAGTATGGCTTTGAAACTTACCATACTTGTTCACCATCATAACCTCCATCTACAGACAAGAGTACATAACTCTGTCAAGGTTTTTGACAGAATTATGGCCCTTTTTTGACTTAGAAAGTGTATTGAGCTTGGTTAAGTTTTTTGTACCACCTCACTTTATTTCAAAACCATTGGAGGTATTGCTTTGAAACTGACCATACTTGTTTACCATCACGACCTTCATCAACAGACAAGAGGACATAACTCTGTCAAGGTTTTTGACAGAATTATGCCCCTTTTTGACTTAGAAAATACATTGAATATGGGTAAAATCCACTTATTGCCTTAACCCTTTGAGATATTGCTTTTAAACTTTTAATGCTATTTCACATCATTACCCCCATCTGTACGCAAGAGAAGGTAACTCTGTCAAGGATTTGTTTTAAAAATTAAGGCCTTTTATCGACTTAGAATCTTGGTTAAGTTTTTAGTACCAGTCCACTTTTTGACTGAACTGTTTGAGATATTAATTTGAAAGTTGGAATACTTGTTTACAATCATGATTCCCAAACATGTCCAATATACTAAATATCTTAATGCTCATGGCCATTGTTCACTTTAAAAATACAGAGATTCTTGTATTGCCTTTTACTGCAAAAACTTTTTTTATTGGCAAGCAATAAAAAAGTCGAGCGCGCTGTCTTACGGACAGCTCTTGTTGACTCAATTATCATCAAACTTGGTCAGGATGCTTGTCTAGGTAATTGCTCGGATGAGTTCAAAATCGCATGTGAAACTAGGTCACCGGAGCTAAAAATAGAAAAATCTTGTTAACACTCTAGTTGCTACTGTTTTGATCCAAGTATCCTGGGAATTGGTCTGATTTCTTTTGATGATTTCTAGGACAAGTTTGAATATGGGTCACCTGGGTAAAAAACTAGGTCACACTGCTCAAATATGGATAATCCTTGTTAACACTGTATTGGTCACATTTTTGACTCACCTGTCATGAGACTTGGTCAGAATGCTTGTCTAGGTAATTGTTTGGATGAGTTTGATGGGTCAGGTGAGCGATCTAGGGCCATCATGGCCCTCTTGTTTCGTATGTAGGGACAGAATTGATTTATTTTTTATCAATATTTTATTCTTTTCAGAAATTAGCCTTGTATGACCAGTTTGGAAGACTAATGTTTGGTAGCCCACACTTAGAGAAAGATGTCCTTGACTTTGTTGTGTTTGAAAAAAACATTGTAGATATGTATGGTAAATGGCGATTACATGATAAAATCAGACCAGATTGGTTACCACAGTTATATAAGAACCAGAGTGTACGTCTTCCTGAGGAATATAGCAAAGATGTAGAAGACGAAGAGCAGAAGGAAACGGGATGATACATATTTCTCCTGTATCTAATAAATGATATAATGAGCCACGTCATGACAAAACCAACATAGTGTGTTTGCGACCAGCATAGATTCAGACCAGCCTGCTCATTTGCGCAGTCTGATCAGGATCCATGCTGTTCGCTTACAAACCCTATTACAAGTAGAGAAACTGATAGTGAACAGCATTGATCCTGATCAGACTGCGCGGATGCGCCAGCTGGTCTGGATCCATGCTGGTCGCAAACCCATTATGTTGGTTTTGTCATGGCACGGCTCATTAATGTTACTTTTGTCATCTGGAAGTGTTTCACTAAAAGCTCTTATAAAGAAGGCATTTAGATATAAGGAAGAGCAATTTGAATTAAGATTGTGCAAACATCATTAATTTTATTGTCGAATTTAAAAGTTGTATTAAAATGTTTGAATAATTAAATTGCAATAAAAAAGTGATTTGAAATTCTGTGTTGTGTTTTCCGAGCAGCCAGATAATAAGGTTACCAAAGAGCAGCTACTTAATACCAAAAAGGCAGATTATTTGGGGTAGAGCAAACAGATTTTTAAATCTAGTTTCCTATTAATGTCACTGTAATAAATGTGGCATTGGAGAAGAGCAATTTTTGACTCCAGGGCAGTGATTTGTGCTGCATATAAGTAAGTGCTACATGCCATGTACATGAATTTCAAGAAAACTTAGTGATCCTCTGGATGGAACAGATTTAAACTTTGGTCATGATTCATAAAACTGCTGTAGACCACTATAAGGGGATGTTATATGCCAAATACTTCTGTTTCTATCATTGTAGTTGTCTGCATTTAGATATAAATATTTTTTACCATACAAGTTTGTTACATGTTACCAGTTTGCTAATTTGTCCCAATTTTGTTGGACGTTTGCATACATTGAAATAAATATTTAAATAAATCTTATTCACTAACTTTTGACCGTGGGGTTATTATTAATAAGGCTTGTTGTGAACCAGAAGTTGATGTATAATATTTTAATATTTAAGCTCTGGACAGCAGGAGGGTTTTTACCTCGGGGGCTAGGCATTTGTATCCCCTTTTAACTAGGAATATTTTTTTCCACTGTTAAGGGAGGTAAATCTGTCATGCACTTCTTTGAAAATTTTCCTCTTCAACTTTTCTTTCATTACACTATCCAGCACTGAGAAAATTGAAACATGCAGACCAGAGGCAGGTCATGTTTAAGTCTATTAATAGCTCCACTGACCTACTTATCTATCGGACTGATACCATTTATAGCACTTAGATTTTGCAATTACAGCTATTGCCCAAAATAAAATTTTCCATCTTTATTGTTTGTGATTTTTATAAAGCTTGATTTTCATTTTCTGGAATTTCTTTTCAATTTTTGGAACTTTCTGAGACTGTTCTAGCAAACATTGAAATCAAGAAAAAATGCTCTCTAGTTCAGTTTCATTGATTTACATGTTATTATGTATTAAACAATTAACCGACAACGTCTATCATTTGCAGTATTTCACAAATATTGGTGATATTTCACTTGATGTTTTAACAGTCTCGAAACTTTTTAAGATCATGAGACCATATTGATCATTAAACTCAAGGTTATTTTTATCTGTAAATTTTCTTCACCCAATTATAATGTAAAGTGATTTATGAATTTATCATTTTCAATAAACAAATAATGTTGAATGCTCTTCGGTTATTATCACAAGGGTATCCTAAATCTATCTAATGAAGCAACTCATAAACCAAATGTCTAAATTTTTGGCATTTTAATATGAGCAATTTATTTCAATTGCAAATAAACCCGCACTTACATATACAAAAAAAAAAAGAAAAACATTTGAATTACGTATTGAAAATTATGAACTAAGACCTGTAGATAGTTAGCAAGATTTTCATTTGGTGTAAGCCAGTGACCCAGATTTTTTAAGTCCAAACAACAATATATTTGAACTGTTAATAATATCATGAGGAGTGAATCATTTTGACAAAGTTTAATGAAGATTCAATCATTGTGACTGACAGGGTGTGTGTACCTGTTTATGGGTAACTGATGAAGAACGGAATACAATCAACATTCCTGAATACTGAGTATTTAAGTGTTCAGGTGAGCTAAAAGATCAGCTCTTGTATTATAAAGGTAATGAAAAAATAAGCACAGATAAGGGTGGTAAATCAATGGTCACTTACCTATTCTAATTTTTTATTTTAGATATTTTATCATCGCCACTTCCTGGTATTTTAAGTGCAGACATATTAATTTTTGATAAGGAAAGTGTGTCGCTGTGTATTTATCAGGACATAAAATAAAAAATCCACTTTTTATCTGCATGTCATCAAATTTCATATCCAAATATTAAAATCTACAAAATGAAGTCATTGCATAAAGGCAGTCTGCAAGGGAGCATACTTCCCCCTAGTCTTAAATGAACATCTTTGTTATTTTTTGGGAAATTGACCTTGACTTCTGTGTTTGTAAAAGAGCATAACCATCAAGAGATGATGACAGGTAAAATGATGATAAATAAAAAGTATTTAAATTTGAAAATGGGTTTTAGAGGAACTTTCAAAATGATGAAAAGTAAGTATTTAAATTTGAAAGGAATTTGACAAACCAAGAGCTCAATTATTTGTGCTAATCGTCAGGAAAAGAAGGAATCTTGTACTTCTCAGATAACTTTTTTTAAACAATTAGAGACTTTGTTCACATCTGTCGAGTTTACTGTCTCAACACAGCATACTTGCATAATATACAAGACAATATAAAAAAAGAGACAAACTTTTCTTTTACATTTTTAAATCTGTTTTAATTAGTATAGGTATAATGAAAATAAAGATTAATATAAAACAAAAAAAAACAACACATCAAAATGATCGCTTTGAAAGAAAGGAAAAAAAGAATTAATACATGTAACTGCCTACAGGAGACACAATCAAAAGTAATGAATAAAATATGCTACAGAACTTAACATATATTAACAGGAAAACAAATATGTGTAAATACGGTATCATCAAAGAAATTCTTCTATACATGACCAGCATGTCTTTTTGTAAATTGTTTGGTTGTGTCGAACAAGAATCTGTCTCATAATCATTCAGATAAAGTTTTTTTCTGTGAAAATACGGTATAAAATTGAAAGATATATCTACTTTTGCAACCACATAAGTTGAAGGGACCTGGCAGCTAAATATTTCTGTTGCTTATTACCTGAAAATTAATATTTCTATAAAAAAATTATGCCTTCAAGTTATCTTCTTATCCCGAGTTCACAAAGAAAAAATCTGCATCATTTCTCATATAAGGTAAATACTATTTAAAATGTTAAAATATTACATTTACAATAAAAAATCATATAACAATAATAATAAAAGAAAGAGGATTGTCTTCAGGGCAACACAAGGTTTGTAAGCCAAACTTAAAAAAATAATTGAGCCGCGTCACGACAAAACCAACATAATGGGTTTGCAAAGCAGCATGCATCCGCGCAGTCTGATCAGGATCCATGCTGTTCGCTTACAGACCCTATAACAAGTAGAGAAACTGATCAGACTGCGCGGATGCGCAGGCTGGTCTGGATCCATGCTGTACGCAAACGCACTATGTTGGTTTTGTTGTGACGCGGCTCAATTATGCATGTTCAAAATATCAAAAGATAATACAATTACAAATGTATTTAAAGTTAATTATAGCCATTATTTACTTAGAATGGACACACTAGGAAGATGACCTTAAACAAGTTTGTGTATGATCGATGAATTGGTTTCATAAAATAGATCTCTTCTTCCTATCTCTTGTGGCACTTAAAATGGACCAGACAGTTTATATTAACAACTAAATACTAATACAATTACATGTATATACACTAAGTACAATAAGGATGAAGCCATCGTGAGTTTTATAAAATATGTTCATATAGTAGGTTTTTCTTACTAGTACATGTAAATAATTTTTCAAACTGTTTGAAATCTACAAATAGCTTACATGTATTTCCTTTTGTATTTACATACGATATTTATGATAAATAAATAACAAAGACATTTTAACAAACTTAAAACTGCCCTATATTTAGGAAAATAAAGAACTAAAGGTGAATCCTGTTAACAGTGTTTAAAGGTCCTTTTCTACAACATGTATCTTTTTTGCTTAGTTTCCAGTAAGTCTTGTTGAAATACTTCCATATTTAACTACTGGCACAGTGTCATTATGTTTTTTTTTCTACAGAAAGGTGCTGTGGTTGATTTGGCAAATTTGTGTCTTTGTGGAAAAAATATAAGAAGGTTCAAAACTTTCAAAATAAAATTGCTTAAAGTTTGCAATTTATTTCACTTCATGATATCTGCTAAAATTAAACATGGTATGTATATTTACACATTATTTTCCCACTTGAGACACGGTTGAATAGCTTTATCATAAATGTTTACATACTAAGAAACATAGAATATGTAAGAAAATGACAGTAATAAATCAATGGTAGTTCTCAAAAATGAGATAAAATTTGGATAAATGATTTTCTTTATTAGAATAGAAATCAAAGTCACTACATAACCACCCGCCTCACACACTGATAAAAGAGTCACTGTTTCAGCATGTTCGATATAACACAACATTCAGTGTTTCCCAGCAGCAGCTACACCATACGGAGAATACTGAAATGAAAAGGAGAAAGTTTACTGAATACTTTATTTTCCCAAATTGTATCCTTCATTTTCACGTATTTCCTTAATCAAATTATAATATCCATGTAAATTGTATTCATTATTTTATAGCATTATACAATATACTTGGATTTAATAAAATTTTGAACTTAGAAAAGAAATACATGATGTATATTTCCAATGAAAGTAAAGGAAAGATTGGTAAAAAATCATTATGTGTTGGATATATAGAGCTTTATTGATTATCAATGAAATAATCCATCATGGCTGGAATGTCCAGATACCTCAATTACCTTGTCAATCATCAAGTAGAAATCAAAAAGTTTGGCACGTTCAAAAATACATATTTATATACCATAATTTTTTAGCAATCTTGATGGAGAATCATTTTAGAATGTCTGCAGACCTAATTTGGCCAATATCCCTCCATCAGATCATTAGACGTCGTTATAAATGTAGCCATTTTTCAAAAATAAAGAATAATTTATTTTGATGATAAACTTTTACTCACTATAAGGCGAACACCAAACATGGAATGATCTTCCTTCCCGGTAGCTAGTGCTGCTTTCAGCAAACCGCTTGGCAGAATGCCAATATGTTTGCCTCTTTCTTTCATGGACTCGAGATGAACAAACTGCAGTCTCTGTGTTAACTGAAACTTTGTCTCTATACCATGCATTGTTCCTGGAGGCTGTAATATATATGATACATTTATAAACTACACTAATGACTATTAGTTCTTTATGAATAAAAAAGTTAATAAAATAAGGAAAAGTTGCACAAAAAAAGATATCCTCTGGATAACAATCTACAGTGTGTTACTGGCAATCGAAATGAAGGCCGATATTTTTATTTATTTCAATGATCTTCAACAGTCAAAAATACACTAGTTAAAAAGAAGCACCATTCTCCTTGGAAACTAGATATACCTTTTCATAGCACAGACCAGAGACAAGATATGAAAATGTCAAAATACAGGAATACAATTTCAGTATTATCCTTATTTACTCATTTGTTCTCATGCCAAAGTTTCCAAACAACTCTGGAACAAAAGTGACTTGACAGAATTCTTTTCTTAAACACGTAAAAACACATTTAAATATAAGTTGCATATCAAATAAAAAATAATTACAAGTAATCATCAATAATGTTTTTTTTTTAAATTTACCATATTTATCAATACTGTGGCTCCATTGATGATTGCAAGGAAGTTGTTGTTATTATGAAGTCTAACTTGATTACCTCCTTCATTTACAACTGTCCATGTTGCTGAAAAACAGGAAATTAGTTTATCATTATGAAATATTTACATTCTTGGACTGGTGAGTAGTGGTATATTGTGTTTAGACTGTTTTTATGCTTCTATGAATAACTTATGTCCACATACACCCCTTATCTAGCAATTATTATATTTGTAAAACATACAACCTGCTTGACTATCATTAGTGCTTGAAACCTGAATAATGCAGAATTTTATCAAGTTCACAAAAGTGTATAATTTAATCAATATCCATGTTATACTTAAAAGTCTTGTTCAGTGATCTAGAAATAAAAACCATGATGACATGTATGAAGCTTCAAAATGAATAACTTCAATGCTTGTACAGATAAAACCTTCAAACAAAATAGAGGGATTTTAAGGGTTCATAAAATGGAATTATTCATTTCAGTACCAGTACATGCTTAAATGTGTAACAATTATGAGCTGGAATACATGTTTCTTGTTCTTCATGACATTTCATATAAAAACTTTATTATATGTCTTGCAAATGAAAGCCCCACTATTCTTCAACTTGTCAACCTAAAATTCATTGAACAATTTGCCCTTTCTTAAACAGAGGTGACTTTAAGGTGCTTTTCATTTGTAATGGTTGTTTGTTGAAAGCTACAAATTAAAGCTCCTTGAAAGTTGTTTTATTCAGAAAATTTGATAAAAAACGAAAACTTGTGCAGATGTCTACTTCTATGGCTAAGTCCTGATATGTCACACAATACTAGCATCTGTACATCCATAGCAGCCATTACATTGAATAGGAAAACACATAACTTCATAAGGACAACACAACATTACAGTTGTGAAATCAGTGGTTCTTGAGATGTAACTGGCACTTTTAGTCTTTTATATAGCAGATATGGATTTTGTCCAGTATGAAAATTATTGGTTGAGCAAGCAGGATGGGTATTTCAGTTTTTTAATTGCCCACCGAATGAACTTAAATTGTACTTCTCAAAACTTACACTATGAACCAGAAAGTTATTATGTATATTAAGAATAAATCAGTAAAAATAATGTACCATTTGGTGCATTGTCCTGTCCTAGGCCGTCAACAATAAGTGATGCAGGTCCCTGCACAATCTCTAAACTTCGGCCAGAACTCCGAGAAACCAACTGTATAACATTTCCAGATTGGAACAAATTCTGTAATTGTGAAATATTGACAATCTTTATTGGCTTTAACAATATAACAATGTTGAACAACAACTAGGATCAATATACGCATGTCATGTAATTGTACAGGTAATGCTAACTGTCGCAATTGTATACATACTAAATGATAGTTAGCTAGCCAGGGGCGACTGTGGCCAAGTGGTTAAGGTCGTTGACTTCAAACCACTTGCCCCTCACTGCTGTGGGTTTGAATCCCTAAAGGGACTTTGGGTTCTTTCATGTGAGGAAGCTATCCAGCTAGCTTACGGAACGTCCGTGAATCTACTCAGGTGACTGTTCGTGCCTGAAATAATGCAAAGAAGGGCAACCAAGGTCTTCCTCCACAAATAAAGATGGAATGTTCTAACCAATCGGCCGCGGAAACCCCCATCATTCAATACATAATGGATGTGTATTGAACCCAGTATCCTTTCAATTTTTTACAAGATGTACAAAGCAAATGTATAGAAAAAAATATAAAAAATACAAAAATACCATTTTTCTTTTATAATCTTTTTCTATACATTTGCATTGTACCTCTTGTAAAAAAATGAAAGGAATAAAATACAATGTATGTTTAAACTAAACTAAGCCAGTATCCCAGGCATAATAAATATTTATTAGATGAATGTATGTGTATAATGATTTGTATAATTTAGTCTGAAATAGGAGTCAATGATCAGTAACATTGATGTGTATCTCATCTACCATAGATATTTACTATCACACATAAAATGTTGGTAATTTACCAAAATATTTCCCTGTGCAGTTGTAGCTAAACTTTTGTTGATCTGATCAGCAGTCCAGTCCACTTCTCGACTGATTGTCTTTCCCAACAAATTTATCTCATGTCCGATTTGACCAAATAATCCTCGCTATAAAAATATTTATAAATGTTATATTTTTGCAGAAATTACTACCATAACACCATTTTCAATCAATATGAAGTCAGGTGAAATCAGAAAATTTCAGCCATGAAGGGTTAATAACTTCAAATTGAAGAATACAAATAACAGTGTAGTTTTTTTACTAGAGTATGCCTATAACTTAGTTAACTAAAATCACCAATACACCATGCAAATCGTTTTAGAAAATTGAAACACAAGATAATTATATCAAGATCAAATTGGAAACCACATTTTTGGATGGTTGTCCTATAATTTCACTGTATCTATTGTCCTATAATTTCATCAAATTTCATTGTCCTATAATTTCATGATATCTATCGTCCTACAATTTCATCATAAGTATCTATTTTCAGAATTACTTACAGATGATTTAGTGACCACATGGGGCTGTCCTTGTACAATGGTCACATTCTGTAACAGATTAAAAAAATCATTAATTAATGAACATTAGCATTCATTACCATTAATTAAGGTCTTACACAAAAACTGCATTTTACTGCCATGGTTTAACAGTAAAACATTGATTTACAGCCATATTTATACAGTGGAACAAAGTTAAACAGCAGAACAACATTTTATTTTCAAGAATTAACAGAATAACAGCATTATACTGCCACTATTTAATAGCAAAATAACATTTTAGCCCTGGCTTACAGCAAAACAACATTCTTCTACCATGAGTTTACAGCAAAACATCATTCAACTGCTGTGGTTTTAAAGTAGAAAAACACTTTCTCTATACCTGGCCTGCGTTTGGAATGTTGTACACAGCAGCTCCAGGTGCAGCATAGTATGGTGGAGGGTTTCCAGGGTAACCACCTTTCTGTGCCATTATGTATTGTTTTGTTCACTTTATCTTTGATTCACCTGAATTAATATCAAAAATAAAAATAAATCAAGTTACAAATTACTATTATGTATAATTTTACAAATCTTAAGTTTGATTTACATGTATACATAATATATATGTTTTAATATGTTTTAACATAGGAACTTGAACTTTCAACAATACATCACAAAATATACGTATATTAGTGATATAGCCCTTATCTCTATGTAAAAAAACAAATGTTTTTTACATAGAGATAAGGGCTATATCACTAACATACCTATGTATTGTGATGTATTGATTAAATTTCAAGTTCCTGTGGTTTTAACTACACTGTACCAGTGCATACAAATAGAAAAATCTTTGTGCTTTTTCAGATTAGTCAAACTAATTGTACTGCGCGACAAGATATTGTGCTATTTTCGTGTAAGAGCCAATATCTTGCCTGTTAAAACGAGATTCTGACCCAGCACGAAAATATCTTCAAGAATTACGTACCTGTCAATGACAAACGTACTGTTGTAAACTTGCCGACTTGAAATAAAACTTATCTCAGAATCAAGCTTTGGCACATCAATATATTTTGACTATTTTTCAGATACTGTAATATGGTTTACTTAAATTTGTTCATAATGATGATAATGTCTTTCTGTGTTTAGTGCAAACAATCACTAGGCTCTATGTTATATAAAAGTTCATCGATGCCAGTTTAGGCCTTAGCACCTCAACAATACGGGAAAACAAGATAACAGTTCATGAACCTTTGCCAAGTATCATACATTTGAACTTTTTTTTGATGGTCAAGTGGGAGATTTTTCTTCAAACAGAGGGAGATTTTAGAACTTGCAATAAACAGATAAACAAAGAAAGAAGTTCTGACATTAAACAGTTAAAAATAGGTAGATTTTTTTAATTTGTGAAAATACCCCTTATTTCAAGAAAAATCTTTAAAATATGGCTGCAGAAATAGGGAGTCTCCCGCTAAAAGTGGGAGAGTTCACATGTATGAAGTTTTTCAGCAGATTTATAAATTATGACTTAAAACTGAATCTAGTCTCTAGATCTACTACAGTACTTGTACTAGGCCTACCGTGTTAAGCTCCACCGTTTTTGATCAAATGTTCCTAAATAATATAAATTATAATGGCCATATCATCACAGAAAATCACTACGAACTGTCGTATTTGAAAGCTAGATATTTAGATATTTACCTGTCGATGACGAATAGTCATTCAAAGCTCGTACGATATTTGTTTGTTTCTGTTTCAATCAAAATGACGTAAATAAACAGGTTAAACGCTACTAAATTACTAAATCGAAACATTAGAAGTGCGAAAAGATTCGTTAATGCGGAAATAATAGAAAATACATTTATTTTCCAATCATAGGCCATCGCTGGCATATGAAGAAAATTTAATAGCATGTATAGCATCTAATATGCATGGAACACAAGATTAAAATAACCAAAGTTATTTCTGATTGTTTAATACAAATACTGTACCTTAAAAACAAAATTTAAAAATAAGTCCAAGCACGTAATTTAACCACAATTAAAGGTAATGGTTGAAGGCATACTGGTCGAGGACCATCAACCGGATACTTTTTGAACATTTTTCCATGCAGATTTCATAATTTCAAACATAGAGACCTGAAAATTTGACACAGTAGGCCTACACTCTAACTAACAAATAGTTTGTTTACAGGATATCTGATTATATTGAGGCTCGTCAAGGAGGGTATCAAAATTACCTAAATTGTCTTCACTACAGTACCATGTGTCCCGACAGATATGTACACGATGTGATTTAATTTATTTAAATGCTTGGGTGTTTTAATTTTTTATTTTTAACATGATATAAAATATTTCAGCAGCAAATGCTGAAGTTTTGGATATTCTATTGTTTACTCTGCAAAATGATGATAGCTGGTGAATGAGGTCAGGTATTGCATTCTTGTCAGATGCCCAAATTTTCAAGGTCAACATTCTTAAAAAAGACATTTAAATATTGCCGTTGAAGTTATTTTAGTAACTTAATTATAGAAAAAACATGCATTTATTGTTGTTAAAAAGTGACTGATAGATTAACAACCAATGAACAAAGAAAATGAACTAAATTGAGCATTTGCCGTGCCGTCCGGGTTTGGTGGTTGTCCGGTTTTGGTGGTCCCCAACCAGTATATGTGTTCGGCGCGTTGATTGATCACTACCCACGGGCCCCAACAGGAAGTAACAGTGACTTTGCAACAGTTATTCTACCAATGGGTATTAATGCCCATCGTTTCAAACACTAGATATAATTTTATTTTATATTCTCAATCTTTTTCAGTGTAATTCAATGCTATCATTTTTTTCTAAATGCTCATGAAAGTTCATTCTAAGTAATCTAAATGATGTACTACCCCAAATTAAATTCCACCCTAGATTTTTATTGATGTAATGCTATATTTTAAAGAGCTAGTCCATATTAAATGTGAGTTGATTTTTTTAACCTAACTCTTAACCCAGAGAATATAGGAAATGCATGTAAAATATCAAGCACACAACTTTAAGTCTGTTCTGATCCATATAACAGTAAAGAGGTATCATCAGCATACTTGCTGGGAATGTTATACTGTGTGCCATTGACATTTATACCTTTTATATTCTTATTAGTTCTAATTTTAATGGCTAAAAATAGGCACATAGCATAACAATATAAGGACTGATAGGGTCTTCTTGACGATTCAGAGTCAACTCGTCCCCTGGTCAACTCGTCCTCTGGTCAACTCGTCACCTTATTGGTCAACTCGTCCCTTGGACAACTCGTCTCCTGGTCAACTCGTCCCCAACTCGTCCCCTATATTATTATCATTATTATTTGTTTTTCATATATTCCATTAATTATTATAGACTGTTAAAATATATTATAAAATGACTGAATTGGACATATTTTGATGCTTTTTGTATGCGAATATTTGGAGTTTTTTTTATCTAATAATAAGTATATTTATGCATAAATCTGATTAAATTACTAGTCCAACTAATTGTACTGCGCGACGAGATATTGTGCTATTTTTGTGTCTGGGCAATATCTCGCCTCTACAAAGCGAGATTCTGCCCCAGAACGAAAATATCTCAGAATCAAGCTTTTGCACGTCAATATATTTTGACTAATTAAATTACATACAGAAAAAACAACACGAAGACGATCAATAGCAACAACATTTACTGTATAAAAACATGTTTCATATGCAATGATGAAATGTATGTCTTTTTTGTCAATATTATATCATATATATTCACTTTCACTTTCATTGTTTTTTGCATGCACATATTTCATTGTCTTTTTTTGACATCTTACGACTCTTGGGGATTATATAAGTTCCCGAATTCTCTTAGAAGTCCCGTTGATGACAACTCCCCATTCCTGTACCTGTCCCACAGCTGGCGCGTCTGTCCCTGGTAGATGGTCCCTGGAGTAATGTGTATTTTTTACCGTTGGTAGCGGCATTGGTCAACTATAATAGATATATTTATCTCTTTAATGCAAGGACATGGAGGATGTATGAATCCATGAAGGTATTTCTCAAATTCGCTACAAATTTGTCTAAGACATATACAGTCTAAAAATCAAAGAGTTGGACCTAATTTAAGTTTTAATTAACATTAAAAATCCGATTGATTAAACATTAATTGAATGTTTGCAAATTTTAAAATTTTACATAAAAAAGACGTTATTTTATCAATATTTCGATATCAATCAAATTCATTATTAATTCTACATAAAAAGAACTATTTAAAGACATTGGTTTACAACATAATAGTGACGAATAGATCGAAAGTAGGGGACGAGTTGACCATATTAGGGACGAGTTGACTCCTTGAGGACGAGATGACCAAAAGTAGGGGACGAGTTGACCAAAAAGGTGACGAGTTGACCAGAGGACGAGTTGACCAGGGGACGAGTTGACCGGATTGCTTCTTGACGACAACCACGCCCTATTTTTTAAAAAAGTTGTACAAAAATGTATTCATTTGAACAGCAGCTTCAGTATTTGTATTACAAAAAGTGATATCCATTTTCAAAACATTGGGCAAAATTAAAAAATCAAAAGCCTTTTTTATGCAGTAAAAAGAAAGTGTATCAAATGCTTTTTCAAAGTCAATCATTACTAACTGTCCTGGGATTTAAATTATTCTTTATATCATATATTGATCGTGTATTTTCTCCAGATAAATCTGCCTTTCAGAAATCTTGTTATTTATAGTCTGTAATGTTTCGGAAATTACCTCAAAGGTAAAGACACCTTATGGCGAATCTGCTTGTTTTATGCTCAATTTCTGGACAGTTACATTGCCCAAGATCTCTTTAGATCAAAATCATCAGAAGTATCTGTTTTTGTATAAAATGTTTCATAAAAAAAAACAATTTCTTAAAAATTTCTGACAACTCAAATATAATGGTACCAATTTTTTAGATGAATGATTTTTGGAGTTTCAAAAGTTACAAAAGTATTAAATTGGTTATCAATCCATTCCGCTTGAGAACGTATAACATTACCTTTATTTTTTCTCTTGTCTTATAGTTTCCAATTCTTTTTGTAAGTTTAATAATGTAACATTTTCAGCATCATTTGTATTTTTTAAAATATGTAATCTACATGTATATGATATTATTTTATCCCCGCTAGATTTGCTTTTTTTCTACTTAAAACTTACATAAGAAATTGTTTTTCTCTTATTTCCATTAATAGAGTTTCTAAAAAAACTGGTCACCAATAACATACGAAAGTTCATTATTTTTAATGCTTTCAATATTTTCTATATTACATACAGGTAAACAGGATTGTTTTTTTCTTCTTCTTTTTTTTCTTTTTTTTTTAATTAACGATCTTCAGATAGTTTGTATCATACAAAAGAGAATTATTGAATTTCCAGAGACCTTTACCATGGGTAACATTACTATAAGATATAAACTTAGTATTATGATAGATAGATTGATCTGATCTATATCATCAATATTAATTAATGTAAATGTTTTTGAATTAAGAGTAAAATCAAGAAAAGGAAATTACCATCATCATCAGAAAAAATCTGGTGTACTAACTTACATATCGATTTTTAAAAAATTAAACGGCCTCACAACGGGATCAGAATAGAACAATCGTCACAGATGTACCAAAGCTATCCTTGAGAAAAAAAACATGATTTTTCATATTGGACGTAAAATGTACATCTCGAGGACAGAATATATAAGCATTTCATTTTTCTTTTAAAAATCAAAAACATTAGTTCTTTTCTTTGGATCACGTAAACCCCTACAATATCAAAGTCCATTTGTAAGGAGGTTCTATATGATAAGCCGTACTGTAATAGGTCATCTTGCATACAACAAATGACCCATTTTATCGAAACCTATATATGTACAAGCAATATAAATAACATAGTTATAACAATATTTAGAGCTACAATGTAACACATAAAAACAAATAAACATACTTCACACTGAATGCACTAAGAGTGAGTGTACAATTTAACTAAGATTAGAGAGAAAACGTTATTATATTATTTATAACAAAACAACAACAAAACATTCAATTACATTGTTTATTCTGTTATATATATGTTATTGTTAATACATTGTGGTACAGTTTCTTCTTTAACTTCATCAAAGGAAAGGATCTTTGTTATATAAGAATTGTAAATAGAATTTTTCAGTACTGAAAATACAGGTGTTATATCGCAGTGTTTGCATTTCGTTCAGAAAACAAAAAAGAGAGAAAACCTCCTAAATACACATCCATCATCTGCCTTTGATGTGGTTTCCCACAGAGGATGATATATGTTTGAGTGAAATAAATTTTATTCAAACATTTTATGCACGATCGTGGCCCTAAACAGATTCTGGTAGTATTCATGTATGAAATAAAGCGCAGACAGCCACCTGGGGTTTTGTTAACAAGGCGCATTTTGACGCATTTTGTGCACACAGAGCAACAATTAATCGCTTTCTGAACACGGTGCAAGGTAGAACACTGCAAGTAAATGACAACGTTGGTGTTTGAATTGATCCTCAATTCCCATGTTTTCGTGTTCGCACAATCTGTCGGGAGAGCGTGCTGTCTATTGCGCCATTATTCAAAATAATCGTATAATGTTTTTTAGTGTATTCACAGGCTAAAGGACGAAACATTTCTGCATTATGAACTACGCCAGTCGACGCTGAACAAATAAATATTTTAGATAGACACATATCTTATATCCTGGTCGAGTTTTTGCAACATTCATAAAGTTGCTACGGATGTTATCTCATTGTTTCATTGTTTTTGTATCATATTACCTGTGTGTTGCAATTGTTGTTAAATTTGAATTGCGAATAAATGATAAACGAAAAAAATATTTTACGTACTTTATTTATTGTGGTTTTCCTGCTTTGATTTACACAATTATGTCACAAGATCATCAAATGATATATTATTATAATTTAATAGAATCTATATCATATCATTTACTAGTATATACATATATGTATATAAATATTATACATTAATATCTTTTGGTGAAACACATTTGTTGTAGAAATTAATAGAAGTCTAGGAAATTCGTACTGAATTAATGTATGTCTAATTTAAATGAGAGAATGCACAAGCTATTTTTCTAAACTGCATTTCCTACTGTTCAAGTTAATTTGGTACTTTTTTGAAAATAAAAAAAAACCTGCTAGTTTTTTAATCACAGTATATATTCATACTGTGTTTACCTTTCTTCTGTGTTACTCAAAGTTTTTATTACACATTTAAAGATAAACTTTGTAACTATAAGCAGTATTTTCAAATATCAAATTTGACCTCGTACATCTTTAATTAGATAATGGATAGACCCTTCTTAATATAACCTCATACATATTCATAGATTTCTCAGAACGAGGCTAACAGGGCAAGCTTCGGTATCTGTTCTATGTTAATATTTCATGAATATATGGCCGAAATAATTTCCTACAGTATATTGTAGCATTTATACAAATAATACAAATACAAGACAATTATATAATAAAATGTATTAAATATTCGATTGCGCTGTACAGTATTAAGACTATATATACACATATGCTTTGTCAAGACACTCCCAAACCCAGTCTCGATGGCACTCTAGTTGAAAAACAGTCCAAACAAGTATGTTTTAAGTTTGGCCTTAAACATATTTTCATTGGTAATGTCCTTCAGATAGTCTGGCAATGAATTCCACCATTTAGGTCCCGCAATAGCCAAAGATCTATCAGCAAGTTTTGAATTTGTTGATGGTATATCAAACTGAGTTTGGCTAGATGATGAGGATCTCAGTCTTTTCCTGTACTGACTCTGACATTTAGTGAACAATTCACGAAGATACAATGGAGTGGTGCCATTTGCAACACGAAAAATTTACTACATTCTTGTTGAAAACTATATTTGATATTACAAAAATCTCTTCTGGAGATAAATATATCAACAACAGGGTTTAATTTACACTATATACAGTGAAGGATAGCCATGTATTCAAGACCTAAGAAGTGGATTAAAGTAGTAATTTCTAATATTCCTTGTCAGTATAAATATCAGGTCAACTCTTTGCAACTTATAGGGACATTATCTGTGTTATCAGTATTTTATTGCTAACCTTAACACCTTAACACATATTGGGTAAGAGTACATAAAGCAATTAACTTATAATAGTTGTAAACAGTTGGATGTTGAATTCTGTACCATATTTCCCTAAATTCAGCTTTTGAAATAAAAAATAAGTTTTATTCACTTTTTATCTGAAAGTCAAAAATTCTGGATGACTGCACGGGCGGATACAGAACATGGTTTCCTGAGGGGGGGGGGGGGCTGACAAATGGGTGGAAGATTTTTATACTATATACCAATTACAATCATTTAATTGCAATTATCAGTCAAATCTTAAGACCGAGCTTAGGTATCTGTAGGTTATTGATCTTGTGCAGTTAGTTCGACTTGAATATGTGGTCATATTGTTGGAACCCTGTACTAGCTGGTATATAACAAATCATTGAGATTCAAGGCTCTTACAGAAGATGATGCCTAGGCTAACCAACCCAAAACTTTCCATGTACTTAGGGGACTGAACATTCAAGGAAAACATGTGCAGGACCTTGCAGTCGGAGGGTATTAGGAAAGGCAGCATTGTGTTTCAGCACTTCTTTTAACAGTCCAAGAAATATTCACTCATCAGTAAATAATGCAATAAGAGGACAAAATATTAAGTGTAATTAACCTGTTGACATATTCCCTGTAGCTGTACCATATATGTAACAAAGCACAATGTTAAAACAAAGTATTGCGATGATTTCTTTTTAATTATTTATTAAAGACGCAAATTTTATGACTTAACAAATGGTCCTTTAAATCATGCTAAAACATATCGTCAACTTGTTACATCCCTCTCTTTCTACCAGTCAAGCTGATTGTTTTGCTTGCTCCATAATAAATGCTCTTCATGTTTTTGCTTATGTTTTATAACATTGAAAACTGTAATGAATATATATATATATATATATGTTGGAAATCCTGTTTAACAAGATATACAACTGTCATCATTTGAAAATGTGTTTGTATCAAACGTTCAATATCACATTGATGTTTTATCTGTTTGTTTTCTTCCTTAGTTTTCTGTAATTCTTCTTTGAACTGTTTGATAGGTTTTTTTTATCTGTTATGGCACTGCCATGTAGAGGTATTACAATTAAAGGCAATTGAAATACCAACTGTCAATTTGTGTTCATGATGACAATCTAGAATATATATCAATTTATATTTTAATTGCACAGATAATGATTTTCTTTTTTTACAGTGGCTGCACTTTATTTATGTGTAAAAATTAAAATTAAGTCTTGAGTTATAGCTTTCTTCTGGCAAAATCTTCTTTAGTTTTCATCTTACTGATCTGTTCATTATTACTCCAGTCGAACCAAGAGCTAGGGTACATTTATTCTCATCAGACATTTTCAAATTGGTGTCCATGATCGTTAATCTTATTGTGTGAATTGCTTCAAAACGAGCAACTGTTGTCATATATTAATCTGAAATAGTACATAAAATAACCGTTATAGCTTTTTAGTATTAAAACGGTATTGATTTAGATTCTGAAGCAATTATGTTTAAAATGTTATAATTATAAGTGTGATATTTAAATGAATTATATGAGCAAAACATATCAATATGTTGATAATTAAATAAAACACTTTAAACAATGAGAAATCAGATTAACTAAGGTAAGTAGTAATACATCTAAAGTAGCTTGGTTTAAAAAAGAAAAGAACAATGGAATTTTACCTTGAAATGTTCTCATTCATCCCATCTTATTTTCACAATCCCTTACTATTAAACTCACGTCTTTGGGTATTTTATGAAAATTAACTGTATAATCATATCTAGAATTGGAATAATATAGTGGAACACAATATTAAAAATGAGATACCCCCGGTAAGTTTAACACACTATAGGGCTTATCAGGTCAGACATTATTTGTTTACATTCATACCATGTAAGCCTCTCTCTGGTGATGGAATGGGAATGTAAACAAAGGCCTTGAGAAAGAAAACGGGGACATATATCAGGGAACCTCTGGGACAGATAAGAGATTTCCGGAGATTGTTTTTTTTTTAAATGAAAACGTTTAAACCATACTTTGTGATAAGAAGAATATGAAGTCGTTACTTTTTATATTTTTACTCATGGAAAGACTCAATATTTTCATCCTCGATGTAAAAGACTATTTATCACCACCGATAATGAATGTAGTACATGTAAATGGAATGTGTATTATAGGTTTCAGATGATGCAATACGGAATTATAGCACCTATTTGAATTGTTTTCTGATATGAGTAGTGCTTTTTCTCTCTGTTCAATGTAACACAAAAAACTTTGCTCATTATTTTTTCCAATTCTCTTTTTGCAAATTATTTCAATTATTGTGTTTGCAAAAACATGTTTAATTCTACTCCTCCTGTTGACGCAATCGGAAACTTTCGACAATTTCCGGCAATCTTCGGATAAGGACTGTTGAATGCTGCTGAACAATCAAAATTTAACTTTTAACATGTGAATTATCTGATGCATATATTATACGGTGTAAGAATTGGCATACTGCCAGAATGATTTTATAATAAACTCTTGTAAACTTTTTGTATCATTTGATTCAGCGAAAGTGAAATAGGTGAAATAGAGCCCTGCGGGTAAGTTATTTGTTTTAGACAATGATATGCATTTTTTCTTAATCCCATTTGTTCAATGTTGATCGACGTTTGTTCAACGTGCATGCATGTTAAAAAAGATTGATTCATGCCAGGAATGACGTTGTAATTAAACAAATTTACAGTAGCTCGTTCATTTTAACTTAATTAGATAAACTGCAACAGACAACATTATATAAGGTATCAAAACTTTTCTAATAATCACCATAACATCAGTTGAAAGACAGATTTGAATAGAACTGTTTCTTTAATGTACTTAAGTTGAAAACAATAATAAAATAACGTTTCTTGAAATTATTTATCTTTTTATAAATAAAACATGAATTCCTTAACATATATTTTACTTCTATTTGGATTATTTGCTGTTGGTATTGGACAATACATTGGTCGCACCCAACGACCGGGTCTTCCGCTGAGGTGTTTAATGATGTGTGCTCCTCCCGATTGCTCGAACCCTGTGATGCTAGCAGGGCGATGCTGTCCTGTCTGCCAAGGTAACATTTTCACAATACATTTTGTTATCTTTACCTGTTTATCATGTTTAAAATGTCTCTTAACATAATGTACATTCATTATCTTATTTAATACAGAGTACACTTTATACATGTATTGCAAAATATTCAACACGCTCTCATCATAGCTGTTCGGCGCGTTGATTGGTCACTACCCCTGACCCCACCCTCACCCACTCTTCAACCGTCCTACCTCTCAAAACCATGTAAACTGCAGTATTTTTCATTTGAAACATGTTTTAATATTTGGTATATGCTTTCAATTCAATAACCTTCATCTCCCACAAAAAATAATTTAAAAAAATGATATATATATTTAGTAATATATATATATTTAGTAAAGGTATGCAACTCGCCGCTCATTTTTCAGCACTCATCTTAATATGAACTCCAGAACTCCAACATATTTTCACCAATTTTCAGTATCTTGGTACCAAATGGTAGGGAATTGATTACTCTTAAAGGAAATAAAGCTGTCATTACAATCACTTCAAGTTATAAGAAAATATGTAATCTCGAAGTCACCGCCAGTGTAACTCGACAGAGACCTGAACACTGGGTTTTTGTCAAAATAACACGACTTAACGGCAGTTTATTCGACATGAATGAATATTTTCATTTCAAATGAAAACAAGAAAAGCATTGATGCAAAGCATCAAAGGGCGTCCAAGCAAGAAATGCAGCAGGTGCAGATGAACTAGTAGATATATGATGATAAACTGTTCAATGGTTCATTGGTTTTTACCAGAATTGTATATCACTTATGAATGAACGAACGAAAATTGTTCATTATTTATAAATTTGATTGGCATGCTAGAAATTAGAATATTACTTGTTATTTCTTTATGATCGTGATTATTAATAGCAACGGATATACATGTATACAATCATTTATAATCCATATGAGTAACGCATGATCAACACCACACTTGTGTAATTGTCCCTTATTATGTTATCGCTATTAGCAAAGACCCCCTCTTAAGGTATCTGTTCACACTTAGTAACAATATGACACTTGTTATATTACCATGTTGAGCATAAATGTTTATTATACACTAATTGTAATATCTTTTTTTTTATAAAAAAATACAGATTTTATGAATATTGTTTTCTTTTCTTTTTTGTGTTTTATGCACTATTTTAATACTGAGTTTTTACGTTTACTATTATTTTAAGAATTCAATTGTCATAATGACCGACGATTATAAGTCAAAACTTAACTGGAAAAAGTCAGTAAATTATGGTTAATCTTTCAATATATAATATTGTTTATTCTTAAACCATATACATGTACATTTGTATTTTTCTTTATCATTTCTTAAATTATCAATCAATTGAATAATTCATAAAATCTGATTTGTAACTTTGAATAATTCCTCGGCATCTTTACTAAACACGAATAACAAATTAAATAAAATGTTTCAAAGTTGATAGTGTCATATTAATGCCATAAAAATGTACATTTTTCTCAATTATTGTTCATATTTATTGTTTTTATCTCATATAGATAAAATAAAACATGCGATTTGTGTTGTTGGTTTTTTTTTCGAATTGTATGTTTATGTATAATAATAAGCAATAATTTTGACTTTTTGTTTGTTTGTTTAGATTTTTACGGCACGTCAACACATAACTGGCCATATCGTGCCGAATGCTATAATAGGCTTAAAATATTATGTAAAACATTGTAAATGACAATAGAAATGAGCCAATTAGATCCTAGAATACAAATTTATCTCTTTTAAATAATCAATTATGTTTTTTGATGGAATTGTATTAAAAAGTTCTTTGAGTGAATTTACAGAATAAAATCTATTACGGGCTTGTGAAAAATCATGACATTCAAGAAGAAAATGCTTGACAGTAAAATCTTCATCACAACCTACACAGAAAGGGGCATTGTCATTTGTGAGGAGACAAGAGTGGGTAATTTTAGTGTGTCCAATTCGGCATCGAAGAAGAACTGTTTGATCACGGCGGTTTGACAGAGATAGAGATGGTGACATATCAAGAGATGGGTTTATATCGTGAAGTTTATTAAAAACGGCATTGTCCCAATTTGCTTTCCATTCAGATGATACGAGTTTATTTATAGCCGGTCTAAAATCACAAGCAGGTAACAATAAGTCAGTTTTTTTGAAAATTTAATGATTGTTTAGCTAAAGCATCTACTTTTTCATTTCCTCGTATTCCTACATGGCTTGGAATCCAATATAATTTAACATATTTTGTTTTTAGTATATCATGAAATCGTAAAAGAAGTTTCTTTACCATGATAATTGTCAGATTTTTTTCATTTTTAATGGATATTAAAACAGAAAGCGAGTCAGAAAATATCACAAATTTATCGTGGTATGCTGTGCTATGTATGACAATGCTAAATCGATAGCTTTTGCTTCAGCAGTAAAAATATTGATGCATTATCTGGTAACCTCATACTAGATGTAAAATTATTTTCAAACACAGCCGCACCTACTTTGCAACCTTCTTTTGAACCGTCCGTATAAATATGTATAAAATCTTCATGTTCTTCCTTTTAATTGCTAGAAACTTCTCTTTGAAATATTCAGGTGAATTTGATGCCTTTTTTATATTTGACAGGTTAATATTTATTTCCGGGGAATTATAAGTCCAAGGTGGAACAATCCTCATCGTCATTTTGAAGGATACGGTCTGGATTAATTTTAAGTTTATCTAAATCATCTTTTAAACGAAGGCCTAATGGTTTAATTTCCTTTGGTTTGTTAACAAATTTTTCAGTATAACTTTGTTTGAAAATAATATTTTTAGCTGGATTTTTCCTATTAGATGAAATTCTACTTGCATATTGAAGTGATAGCTTTTTTACGACGAAGAAAAAGCGATGGTTCCCAGCTTCCGCATATAGACTTTCTACCAGGTGAAGTGCGAAAAGCACCTAACGCTTAAACGTAAACCCTGGTGATGTATGGTATCTAGCATTTGAAGATATGATTTTCTTGCAGACCCATATACTACAGAACCATAATCTAATTTTGATCGGATAAAGACTCCTGTATAATTTCAGTAATGTGGAAGAATTTGATCCCCAATTTGTACTTGATAAAACCTTAAGTAAATTTAAAGCTTTTAGGCATTTAGTTTTCAAATGTTAATATGCGGTATTAAAAGAAAGTTTTTTATCAAATATAATTCCTAGAAACTTAGCTTTCATCAACTACTGGAATTTTAGAACCAGATATGTAAAGTTCAGGGTCATTATGTTGTTTTCGCAATCGGCAGAAATGAACACATTGAGTTTTTGACTTTGAAAATTTAAACCCATTTCTATTGCCCACTTCTGAATTTTATCTAAATTTTGTTGAAGTTGCCGTTCAATTGTTCTCATACTTTTCGATCGATAGCAGATAAGAAAATCGTCTACATATAGAGAACAATCTATGCCTGGTGTAAGAGCGCTGGCAATATTGTTTATTTTAAGGCCAAAAAGTGTAACAGAAAGTATGCTTCCTTGAGGAACACCTTGTTCTTGATGGTGGTCTTGAGAAAAAGTTGAACCAAGTCTTACTTTAAAGTGCCTATCGTTTAAAAATCCAGAAATGAAAAGAGAGAGTTGATCTGTGTTTATTAATTATTGTAACCAAACTAAGTGACAAACATTCATTTTGAAAAAAAGCTTATTTATCTGTAAAATATTTGTTCTGTTCTGTAACGATATCAAACATCTACTCCAAAACCGGGAGAGACCGGACAATAAACGTGTGGTACTATTCGCCGGTCGTCAAAATAGACCAGGAGAGACCGGGAAATACCGACAGGAGTACATCCCTCTATAAATAGATTTTCGGAATATTTAGGTCATCAACTCATCATTCTATTTACAGCTTTCGGAATAACATACCATAATAATCCACTGTGTACTACAAAATGATAAATAAAAATACCTTGAAGAGCGCGATTTATTGACGGAAAAGGTTATTTAATTTGAAAATGTTTGCATTGCGAAATTCTCCAGTTCGCTATTCATTGTACATATCGCGACTAATTAATAATCAAGCACCCTCATACCGATCGGAATGATCGGCTTTTATTATGAACAACTATAAAAGGCTCGAGAAGTTGCTGCCGCCCTTTCACAAAATCTGATTTCATTACATAAAAGGCGCCGCGCTTCGGCGCGGACGCCAAATACTGCAGTTTACATGGTTTTGAGAGGTAGGAGGGTTGTACAGTGGATGGGGGGGGGGGGGGGTTGGTAGTGACCAATCAACGCACCGAACACCTATGATGAGAACGTGTTGAATATTTTGCAATACATGTATAAAGTGTACTCTGTATAAAATAAGATAATGAATGTACATTATGTTTAGAGACATCAACGCGCCTAACACCCATGGTTCTCATTAAACATAATAAATATATTGTTTCAAGGAATCACATGTCGATGACATACAATTAAATAATATCAGCAAATTACTAGTAAATAGTATTGCTGACAGATATGACCGCAAGTAGACATTGGATTCAATTTTATTTATGCAAAAAATGCCAAAAAAAGAAGAAGAGAGAAAAAATATTTATTTACAACATGAAACGAACACAAAGAAAGGGTTCCTGTTTGAGAAATATCTATGTCTATATCTTTAAATATAATGTTGCAAGATTTTTAAGAGAATCTGTTAAATAAAGTAAAGAAATTGAATAATTTAAAGTTAAATTTATGTTTGTATTTTGTGAGGTTAGTGTATTTGTTATTAAATTAATTAATAATTAGAGTTGATTAAATAATTAAAGCAATTATGAAATTAATGTACGCATAATAATACGAAAAATATGAACTATTGATTTTGAATACGTATTTATATGGATTATATGAAATTTTTATTGTGGACTCACATCATGATCATGTTGTTAGATACCATATTTTCATGCTGTATCATATGTTTTTGCCCAATAAATTGTCTAATAAAGTTGTGTTGAGTTTAAACATCTGGGGCATTATCCACTTTCGCAAATGTAATTAATTAATTTTGTCATCTTTTGAATTTAAGGTCGAAAACCTGGTAGGTGTCCAAGCATGATTGGAGCTGGAATATGTGCATTTTTATGTACAGATGACTCAAACTGTCCAGGCAACCAAAAGTGTTGTAGAAGCAGATGTGGACGTTCATGTATGCGACCCAGAGGTTAGTGATTTTACTTTTCCATTGAAAACCATGTCTTTGGTCAAAGAAAATGCCTTTGTATACTAATATGTATTAGTTATTGGTCATATATCAAATTTATGGAATTTATCGGAAGCGAAGCCGAAGATCGAAGCAATAAGTTTTCTATAAAATTTGATATAGACCAATAACTTGCTTACAGTTTGTCACGTACGCCCTCTGAAGTCTTGTTAAGATTATCCCTTTTATTTTGTTGACACCTCTAGCGCCCAAAAAGATGTCACCTGCCTGTCAATAAAGTTGTCACGAGGCTTTTTTCGTCATGTACAGTTCAAACAAGTCTAATTCAATGCAAAGAAGCACATCAGATAAGAATTTTCATTAAAGCAGCATTTTTGAGGTATACAAATGATATCACTGTGTCGCAACTTCTAACTATTGACACACAACTTTATGACGATGGGAACAAAGAAACATCGGACTACAATAATAACGAAAAAAATGGCACTGGGCCTATGCAAGGTATTCTTTAAAAAGCGTAAATAAGTATTTTCCATTTACCAGGTAATCGAACAATAACATTTAAAGTATGTCAAATGTGCTATGAAGACGTTTTGGATGGATTTTTTTATTCATGCGTATCGTAATGGATGTCCTTGTTAAATTTCTTTTTCAGCCCCTGTATAGAACTGACATTAAAATGTAACCACATAATTATGTACCAGAGAACACTTCAAGATATAATTAATTGGCGAAAATGGGTGGAATATCGCAAAATGCAACCCAATTATTATTGAAATCTTACTCAATATAAGACATTGTAGTTCATTTTATTTCAAAATAAAATATTTTTGTGTTTTCGTTGCTGAATTAGATGTAATAAATTTTCACAATTTTTCTCGTATGTTCACTGGATTTTCAAAATACATTGTATGTAAATAATAAAACTTTCCGTCAGATATTCTCAAAATGTTTTCGCTCTGCCTGTATTCTAGATCTATGGTATTTTGTACAAATAACATTTGACTTTGGTTAACAGAAGTCCTATTTTTTTCTCTCTTCGTCTCATCGTCAAACCGAGTCTGCAATTTTCATGTAATTTTGTTTTGATTAATGCTTCCGAGGGATCACTTTGTTTCCAGATTTTTATACTTCACAACAGCAGGTGTCAAGTGCTGTGTGGCAGCTGTTAAAAGTTGCCCCGTACTTCCGTTCAGTGTTGTTATATTTGTCTGGTCCTTCGGAATCATTGATGCCAGCACTATTTAGTGTTGAGAATTGAGTACCGCTCAAGCCGGTGCTTGGGGCGTGAGAAATGTTGAACTTATTCATTATCCCTAATGTACAGACACAATCAAACCGATTATGCAATTTTGTTGTGATTAATGCTTCCAAGGAATCATTTTGTTTTCAGATTTTGATACTGTTTGATAATGTCCATGCGGAATAAAGATTGCGTCTATGCTCCCCAGATCATAACATTAGATGATCTTTTTTCCTTAACGGTGCACCAAACAGTGATTATCATTCAGTCATGACAGAGTTGTAACCATTTTGCAAATCTTTGGACTTCCATTTCATAACACAGTGCACAGGGGTGAACTTTTGTAATGGTAGTGTGTCCGTCGGTTGTCTACGTCATTGTTTATAATGTCTTCAAACAACAGCTCCTCTGAAACGATTTGATGTATTTTGACCAAACTTTACAGGAATTATCCTTAGATGTTCTTCTACAGAACTAATGGTTCTAGTCTGATGCATAAGTAGGACACAGGAGCCAGAAATATAATTTAAATATCATGCCCCTTGGGCCAAAAATGTTTCCGCCCTAGGGATCATTTAAAATGTTTTTTTTTTATGAAAATACTTTTAAGTCTTGTTTTATAAAACTACAATGCATAGAGCTTAGAAAATTGGCTTGAAGCATTGTCAAGTGGATTTTTACCAAAGTTATACAATACATGTCCCTGAGGTCAAAATTGGCTGCACCCCGGGGATCACATATTTTATATAGATTATTTTTTAATGCATGTAGGCAAGGAATTCCAATCATTAATTGCTTTTTGAAAAAAAGTTACATTATCTTTCCCATAACTTCTTGGGACACTAAATTATACTGATTCGCCCGAGTTGAATAAGAATGAATGTAACTAACAGGTACACAATTTTCTTTCAAATATGAAGGGCATTGGTTACAAACAAATTTAAAAACATGATTAAGACGTAATAGCTAATTTCTGTTTTTTACATTTAATAAAGACATATTAGCAAGAATAAAATTATTGACACTATCTCTTGGTACCATACCGTGTATAAATCGAACACTTTTATTTTGACAAATTTGAAGCTTACTTTTAAAACACTTGTTCAGACTCGAGTACCAAGAAGAACTTGCATAATCGAGGTGACACTGTATTAATTTTGAGCATAAATATTTTCTTGTCCTAAAATCTAAAACATTTGCTTGCCTATACAAAAACTTAAGACGTGAATTTACCTTTGTAATAATACTATTAACAAAAGATTCAGCTGACAAGGAATTATCAATATTTAAACCTAGATATTTGACAGATTTTGTGGATTCAATAGTATGTCCATTACAAACAATTCTAAACTCTTTAACTTGTTTCAGTTTACGCTTGGAACCAAAAATAAGGCATTCAGTCTTTCCTCAATGAAGTTGATTCTATTAAATTGTAATTATGTATCATTTGATGATGTTACGCTATATAATTGTGTATATCAAGACAAGCTAGAAAACCACTATAAAGTAAAGTACGTAAACTATTTTTTTTATATTATCATATATTCACAATTCAATTAGCAACAATAACAACCAAAGGAACACACAGGTATTACAAAACAACGAAACAATGAAATGACCTCCGGTATACACTTAATTAATTAATGTTGCAAAATCCCGACCAGGATATAAGATATGTGTCTATCAAAATATTTATTTGTTCAGCGTTAACTGACGTAGTTTATAATGCACGTACTTTTCATGTTAATTTGTATTCGAAAGGACGTTGTCCTTAAATGTATTACCGTAAACATTATACATATAACATAATAGGCAATTTAACGCTCCAGTAAAACTCATAACAGCTACTGTACAGTATAGAGATATGTAACACATATATTTATATTGTATATATATAAAACGAAGTTGATGAACCTAGTTTACGTTTTTGTAGAATATTGCTGATATATAGTTGCCAGTAAAATAGAGAGAAATAAGAATCCCTAAAGAAAGCCCAACACGGCAAAATTGAAAATGTTGCATGCTCGGTTTGATTGAGCCTGTTCATGGACGGTACTGTCAAGTGCAAACTACCGTCCACGCCCCCTAGCACGGCTTAAGCAGAATTCAACATTTAACATAAACTGGTAAAATTTAGAATTTTGAAACATCCGCAGATGTGTTCATATGGCGGTTATCATGGAACCTTCAATGTGACACGTTAGTGTCATTCCATGAAAAGCGGCATATGGTCCCCAAGTAAAATAATGCAAGTGCCCTAAACGAGAAAACAATGGGCGGAACTAAATAAAATGGAATTTTGAAAGGGGATCTGAGGTTATGAAGCCTGCATATCACAGATATGACGTCAAAAGAGACATTTAAAAAGCAGGCCACATATCCCAAGGGTGATTCAACAGTAAACCAAGAAATTGATTATTTCGAGATTATTTCTCTAGTGAATACACAAAAAAAACACTGTACGAGTTTTTTTAATAATGGTATAACAAAACACTGGGCGCAAAGACAGAAACCCCACTCCCAAAAGAGACGTACAAAAAATTTGTCGCGGGGACAGATCATACGAAACGACAGCATTGATTGATTAATTTCAAAAACCTTCATTTAAGCTGTTGTACCTTTGGAACCGTTTTGGAAGGCGATTGTTGCCCTGTGTGCAAAATTCGACACCAAAACGACACTTCTTGTTAACTTCATCCATTAAATATGAGCAGGAATCTTTTAAAGACCACGATCCGTACATAAACGGGTTGAATAGAAATTTACCAACATAGAAAGGGAAACAAACCACATCAAAGTTTATGTGATGTAGGTCACCTACGAGGTTTTCTCTATTTTTGGGCCATCTGAACGAAATACAATTGAATTTTGGTATCACACCAGTAATTAGCTCACCTGAGCTTGCTCAGGGTGAGCTTTTAGGATCGTTGAATGTCCGTCGTCGTCGTCTGTCGTCCGTCGTCCGTTCATACATTTTCGTTAACACTCTAGCGGTCACATTTTTGCCTCAATCATCATCAAACTTTGTCATGCTGCTTATCTAGTTTAAAGCTCGGATGAGTTCGAACATGGGTCATCTCGGATAAAAAACTAGGTCAAAGGAGCAAACAATAGAAAAAATCTTGTAAAACACTCTAGCAGTCACAATTTTGCCTCAATCATCATCAAACTTGGTCAGGATGCTTGTCTAGGTGATAGCTCGGATGAGTTCGAACATGGGTCATAGCGAATGGAAAACTAGGTCACCGGAGCAAAAATTAAAAAAATCTTGTAAACATTTTAGCAAGTCACTTTTTTGCCTCAAATCTTCATAAACGGTCAGTGCGTTTTAGGTGATTGCCCGGCAATTTCCGAACAGGGCTTTAGGGGAAAAAAATTTATTTTCACAGGAGCTAAATTTAGAAAAATCTTTTTAACACCCTGGGGGTTTTTGGGAATTTTTCCCCCGGGGATTTTTTCATAAAAACCTTGGTCAGTATGCTTGTTTTGGGAAATTGTTTGGGAAAATTTTCGAAAACTTTTGGGCATCTGGGCATAAAAAATTTAGGTCACGGGAGCTAACCAATTTGGGAAAAAATTTGGGTTTTTCATTTTCTAGGGGTTTACTTTTTCCAAGTATCCGGGAAAATTGGTTTTGAAAGTTTTGTTTTGAGGGATTTCTAGGAAAGTTGGGAAATATGGGTCACCTGGGTAAAAAACTAGGTCACACTGCTCAAATATGGATCATCCTTGTTTACACTCTAGTGGTCACATTTTTGACTCACCTGTCATGAAACTTGGTCAGAATGCTTGTCTAGGTAATTGTTCGGATGAGTTCGATGGGTCAGGGCCATCATGGCCCTCTTGTTTCAATACCGAAATATTCTGTATGCAAATATACACTCATATCGTAATTGTTGTATTATTAAGATTTAGGTTTAGCTCATAGGTAATTAGTTTAGAACAGTTGTGATCAGTTTATTTTATCATAAAGTGATTTCAAAGATATATTTTTTAACTTAATTGGAAACAACTTCAAAAAGAAATACGTACATTACCGGTATTCAATTTCATATCACGACGTGTTTCAAAACCTCAATAATAAGAAAATGAACAGAAATCGAATTGTCATCATAAAAATTTCACATATATAGCAAATGCGATAACTGAGCATTACCAAATAATCCGGACAACAACGAAGTAAACATATGTTATTTTTAAGATATCACACTAACAACTGATAAAATGTGGATATTTTTCTCACTTTTATCTGAGTTTAATGTACAGTATATGGAATATTTACAAAAAGCAAACACATTTTCTTTTTATTTCATGCATAATTAGTAAAAAATATAAACAAAAAATAAAATACGATAAAACAAACCCAGCATTTCCCGATTTTTATCACTATTGAAGCGCGGGAAACAGACGTTCAACTGGTACGTGAACGTTGCGCAACAAAAGTAATTTAAGTTTATAGTCATCATTGCGGTGATACTTTTAACTATTTTACTGATGTAATGATATTTAAATTTGCTACAGCAAACAAACAAAAGCAACAATTTTTATGTCAAAGTACAATTCTACGGAATCGTACAAATAAATTCGAGCGCCAGCAAAGTTTGGTAAAAGAGAATTTTATATTGAGCGGGCATAAAATAAAACCACATTACTTTACAAATATCCGTTCATTAAATTGTTACATGTATAGGTGTATGAGCAGTGCGGTCATTAAAAGTTAAAGAAATATGACAAATTTTGTGAAAAACTTCAGTGATTCTACTTATGCCCCTCATATATGTGCACGGGCCCCTAGACACAGTTTTTTGTTTTGTTTCTCTCAAGACGATTACATGATTTATTTTTGTTTTAGCTCTGAAAGGTAAACATTCGGCCGTCTGATAAACAAAGATAGAAAGGGGGTTCACATGCCATAGATCCACTGGAACAGATTACCGGATGTAGTTTTTCTATTGAAATGAAAACATGTAAAGCAAAAGTTTGTGATTAGAAGAAAATAAAGTATTTAATTTTTACTCATCTGAAGATCTTTGATATACAAGACTATCTATCATCACCGATAATGTAGTAAATGGAATGAGTACCTTTCCAATGATGCGATATGAAATTATAGCTCATGCAAACAGAACTCCTTATGAATTATACATGTATATAGTGTTTTTACTCCCTGAAATGTTACACAAAAAATTGCTCATTATTTTTTTCAAATTCTCTTATTCCTTATTTTTGCAAATTATTTTAATTATTGTGTTTGCAAATACATGTTGATTGCACTCCTCCTATTGGCGCAATCGGAATCTTTCGACCCTTTCCGTCAATCTTCGGAGAAGGACTGTTGGCGAGGCGTTCTAAATGATGCTTTTGCGGTTTTCATACAATCAAAGGTAAAACCTTTAACATATAAATTATCCGATTCCTATATTATTCGTACTGTGTATGCATTGGCATACTGCCCAAATGTATTTTATAATAAAGTATTGTAAACTCTGTTGTATCATCTGATTCGTTATAAGTGAAATAGCGCCCTGTGGTTAAGTTATTTACATGAGTCCAGGATATGTTTTTATTTCTAAATCCCATTTTTTCATCGTTGATCGACGTTTGTTCAACGTGCATGCATGTTATGTCAGAAATGACGTTGTCATTAAACAAATTTACCAGTAGCTCGTTCATTACAACTTAATTAGATAAACCGCAATTTAAAACTTACAGAAAAAAACAACAAAGACAACAGTATATAAGGTATCAAAACTTTTCTAAAAATCACCATAACTTCAGTTGAAAGACAAGTTGGAAAAAAGAACGTTTCTTGTAATTATTTATCTTTTTATAAATAAAACATGAATTCCTTAACATGTATTATACTTTTATTCGGATTATTCGCTGTTGGTAATGGACAATACGTTGGTCGCAGAAGACGCCCGCCTCCTCTTCCGGAAATATGTTCAAGACTTTTCTGTCCAATGGCGGACTGTATAAACCCAGTAACACCCGAAGGCGAATGCTGTCCCGTCTGCCGAGGTAACATTTCACAATTCACTTTTTTTTTATCTTAGTCATGTTTCAGATTTTTCTCTTAACATACTGTATATTCATTATCTTATTTAATACATAGTTCACTTTATAAATGCATTGCCAAATATTCAATACGTTCTCATTAAACAAAAAATGTCGTTTCAAGGAATAACATGTCGACTACATTTAATTTAATACCAGCAAATTACTAGTAAATAGTATTGCTGAGAGATATAACCACAAGTAGACATTGGATTCAATTCGATTTATGCAAATATTGCAAAATATAAATAAATAAATAAATAAGAAGAGAGAAAGAAAAAAATATTTATGCAATATGAAATGCAATGCAAAGACAGGGCTCCTGTTTGAGAAATATATATGTCTAAATATCTAAGTATAATGTTGCCAGATTTCTAAAAAATGTCTCTTAAATTAAGAAAAGAAATTGAATAAGTTAAAGTGAAATTTATGTTTGTATATTGTGTGAGGTTAGTGCATTTGTTATTTTAGTAAATTGAAATTAATGTACCATATTAATTATTTATGCATAATTATATGTAACATATGAACTATTAATTACCAATAGTATTAATATGATTATATGAACTATTATTGTGAACTCACGTCATGATCATTTTGTTTACCATATTTTCATGCTGTATCATATGTTTTGGCCACATAAAATGTCTAATAAAGTTGAGTTGAGTTGAAGTTAAACATCTGATTATCAACTTTTGCAAATTAATTTATTATTACAACCACCTTTTTGAATTTAAGGTCCAAAACCTGGCAGGTGTCCACGCATAAACAGAAATACAGCTGGAATATGTGCATCTTTATGTACAGATGACTCAAACTGTCCAGGCAACCAGAAGTGTTGTAGTACCGGATGTGGACACTCGTGTATGCCACCCAGAGGTTTGTGATTTCAATTTTCCATTGAAAACCATGCTGATATTGTAAACAGCATTAATGGCCAAAGATGCCTTTGCATACTAATATATGTTAGATATCGTTTCCGGAGATAGTATGGATATGTGCTTACATCCATCATTCATCAATGCTTTTTATTCTAATTTGCAAATGCATTATGATGAATATGATAACCTATGTATCACGCAAGAAAAAAGTATCGATAATCGATAAATTCGATAACAACTTTGATCTTCTAAATGTTTTACCTTTCTTTAAAATAGGAGGATGTAGTCGTGGTGTCATGTGTCCTCAATTACGATGTGCTAATCAGTATACACCACCCGGAGGATGTTGTCCCGTTTGTAAACCAGTAGGACCAATAAGTAAGTCTCTATTTTTTAACAAGGTATTGACTATATGTCTGTAAAAGTTGCCCAACACACATGCTATTGTTGAGAGGTAACTTGATATAAAAGCTTCATATTCCGCCGGAGCATTTCTATAAGAATAAGTTTACACCTATCACTAAAGTTCTCTAACAAACAAGTTCTGCATGTATATGGTCATTTTTCTAATACTGATCATCTTATAATGTACATCTGTGCATCAAACATATGTACATCTGTGCATCAAACATGTGTACATCTGTGCATCAAACATGTGTACATCTGTGCATCAAACACGAAGTTTTTCGTTTAAAAAATCATATCATCAATCACTTATGATGAGCAAATGCAACTTTGCACACTACTAGATTTTTGACATTTTCATTTCTTTATCAACATCTTGTATGATTTTGACAAGTCTATAGTAAATAGTGATGATTTTAAAACATCCATTAAAATTTTATTTTAATATGTAACAAATGCGTTAATTGAAAATATTTTGTGGTATAGTTGTCACACGTTTGCTCCAAAGATGCCCCTTCTACACGCGAGAACAGGCAACAACGGAAGCTGAGTTAGTATCAATGTAAATATGAACGAAAAGATAGACTTCAACAACATTTGAATCGATGTTAATTCTATCAACTCTGGGTACCATGGTATTATATTTTCATAACTTAAACAGAGGAAAGATGTATAAGAACTACAAGTTTATTGAAATGTTAATATAAATATGTACACATATTTAGATCATTGTTTATGTAATTTCAGAACCTGACTGCAGTACAACTCCATGTACGATGCAATTCTGCGAAGGTCAGTACATTCCTGACGGACAATGCTGCCCAGTATGTCCAAACACCGCATACTAACAAACGAATTTGAAAATCATGTTTGAACTGTGTCATGATTGTCTCGCGTCATATCCAACTTTTACTTTTTTTAATAATCAGAATTAAAGGCGTTCATAAAAAAAATTGTATCTTTGTTTTTCAAATTTACACTGGCAATTTTGTTAAGAATTTATAAGTGAAATATTTCAGCAGAATAATTTTTAAAGGATTTCAATTATTCTGTATTAAATATCAGACCAATTCATTATTGGAAGCCTCTTTTAAAGCAAAAGCAGATTTTTTTATCCTAAATGTGCTTATATTTGGCATGCATGGCATGTTTAAAATTTGTTAAATATGCTACACAATGTGTTTCTTCTATATCCTGTATCATGAAACTGTTTAAGAACCAATCAAAAGCAGAATTCTACAAGTATAAGCGTATTTTGTTCAATAAAAATGGTTAATTCGATCGCTATCTCATATCTCTCATACCTGGTAAAACATATCGGTCACTAGTATTACTTCCAAAAGTCCTTGCAACATAAAAGCCCAATATGCAATTGGAAGACACTAAACACTTTTTTTTATCTCAGTTTGTTTGCTAAATACAAATTAAATAACCACTATTTAACATCACACAATTTACTAAAATACTTCTCTTGGATATGACTTTTTTGAGCCTGATATAAATATGGTCATGTACAGGAATATATAATACAGAAATTAAAATGCCCAACCGTTTCTTTTAATATTCTTCCAGCACTCTCTTCGCCCCCTCCTACTTTATGTTTTTAAAAAAATCTGCATAATCTAACATTGAACTAATTAATAGAACTAGTCGGGTGATTATGGAAACATAAATGTGCCATTCCATGAAGTGTGGCATATACGATAACTAGACATGTGTCCATAGGACACGGGTGCCCCAACACTCCATTGTTTTGTAAATCTTATGACTCTAGGTCAACTATTTTTAAGCTACATGTGCCACAAGTTGAAAACTAAAACTCTTCAACTGAGTAAAGGGCAAAAACTTTACAAATACTGAATATATGCACACGCAAACCCCAAGGTGCATATGCTGACCAACATTATTGTAAACTTTCAGGCCTACAGGTTAAATACTTTTTGAGCTATACATGAACAAGTTAAAAATTGAAGATTTAAACCAAGTAAAGGGCAATAACTCAAAAAGCTGAAAAATATTCACATGCAAAACCACAGGTGCATAGCTTCACGGTGATGTTGATCATTATTCCTGTAAAGTTGGTTGTTTCTAACTCAAGCACCAAATTACACAACATAATGGAACAGTTATTTAGTAAGTGAAGGGCAATAACTCTAGAAATACCTGATGAATCTACAAGCAAAACCCCATGTGCACAACTTCACATGCTGATCAAGATTTTTGTAAAGTTTCATGACCTTATTCAAATACTTTTTGAGCTATGTATGATTGCAATTTTTTAGTAAGTCAAGGACAATAACTATGACAAAACAAAACATATCCGGGATATATAGCGAGACCCCAGGTGCACAACTTCACATGGTAAGCAACAATTCTGTAAAGTTTCATGACTCTAGGTCAAATACTTTTTGAGCTACGTGTGACACAAATGAGAACGGACAGACGGATAGACGGACGGACGGACAATGGTAAATCTAAATACCCCTTATAATGGGGACAAATTGAACAAATTGAAATTTTGGAGGGGGGATAATTATCATCTTATGAATTCTGCGCTTAAAGACAATTAAAAACCAGGCATCATATCCTAAGGATGATAAAATAGAAATACCAACATTCATTGTCCGGGAAAAATGGACAATCAAACATCTTTTAGATTTTTTATTATTTGGAAGAGATAATGAAATGATATTTTGAGAATAGTTCATATTGTAGAAACTAGAAGACGTTCATTAACTTTATTGAAAGAGAAATATTTTGGAATAAATTGACTAGTAAAATGTTAAATTGTTGTAGGCCATACAGTGAATGTCTAGTTCTGTATAAGAATGAATACATGTAGTGGGTCATGGTGCAGGGAAAGGGACCAGAGAGAGGAAAAAGACGTGGGGTGCAAAATAAATGAAAAATGAATAAAAAACTTGAAAAAAGATATTTTCTGTAGACGACAAAAATAATAAGGGACACAGTGTCCCCACAATTAGCATGTAGCAATAAAAAGACATTCTTCTGGGGAACATAGAGGGGCACCGTCTGGAAAATATCAGCAGCATAAACACTACTGGAAAGTTTTATCTGGTTAATGGTGCACCAAACCTTATACGAGACCGTGTAAATAAAATGAATCCCCACCAAGCAAAATTCTATCATTTCTTACGGTTACAAAAATGAAATAAGAAAACAAACTTATATTTATACTGTTCAACAATTACATTTGATAAACCTGTTAAAGGAATAGGAATGGATGGATTGATGTCTGTCTAATATAAATATTCATCATTTAAAAAGAGGTACCATGACAGTTTTTCTGTTGACATCAACCCTATAAGTGAGAAATTCGTGTTTTAAGACACTATTTTTTACTTGAGAAATAAGTTCATGGGCGCCGCCCTTTTTGCGTTCTGTCATTCTCGCGAGACAGACAAGACCGAGATTGTGACGTGTTATACCCACTTCCGGTAAAGGTGTACACGCTGGTACAACTGAAATATATCTTGATGAAGAACTTAATTAATTATATTGCGTACATTATTTATTATTTATGAAAACATCATATGGAACTGAATTGCTTTAATTAATTAATTGAAGACGCCGCGGCATTAATTATCATTTGTCCGATTTTCAAGCTTGCTAATGATCCCACCACATGATTTAAGCAATGACTGCTTAGGTTTCAAAGATAAACCATCAATTTAATTTGGGTACTTTGAGAAACTTCTTCAAATTGACGATATATCCTTTTATTTTGTACTTAATTTTCGCTAGACAAGCTGTCCGAATAGGGTACATCGCCGGTCATGTATCTTTTTCTCAGCGTAAAATATCAACTAAATCTAATATGCAGAGATCTGCTGAGGACGCTATTTTCCGACATTGACGCTAACAATAAAATGGCGTAGGAAAATTTCCCATACAGACACGCATTTCTACTACCGTAAATTTAATCCAATAAAACAAAAAATCATAAATCTACTTAATATTTAAAATGATTATTGGTAACTGACAAAAATGTGTTGCTATTTTATGAAATGCTGTAATTTACAGTATAACTTGACAGGTGCGGAACTTAATCCCCCCTAGGGTCATTCAGTTCACTGATGAAGCGTAAAAAAATAGATGTCTATTTCGTCATTAGAATATTTGACAAGGGTGATTAACCAATCAGGGCAACATTGTGCATCATCAAAAGGTCTGTCGACACAGAGGCATACAAGGAGCAATAAAAATCGTTAGAACACAGTGTGACAGGAACATTTGGGGCAAATTAGGAACAATTAAAATGGATAATGCACATTATTAGACATAAGTAGTAAGAACCAGCAATTGTGTGAATAAATTATGCAAATGAGATTTTTGAGCAGCCAATAAAAATATTTTGCCTGCAGTTAATATTAGGCTAAGACATGACAGACAGACATGTTAACAATTTACTTTTCAAAAGAGTTGCTTATATTTTTGAAATGTGTACATCACTACTAACATATGTTCACACTTTTTAATTTGAAAGTCAGAATCAAACTGCAAAAATTTAATTACATGTATTATTAAGAACGCGTTTTAGTAGGATTTTTATAATAATGATAATTATCGCCGTTCAATAATTAACAGCCAATTATTCGTTGGTGCGTTTGTTTATTTAATTGCATTATTTGATTGTGAAACTTTGTTTAATAATAACATGTGTATTTATTAACTCTGTGAAATATTGTTTAATTACATTAAGATGAGACTTTAATGAACATAGCATTGTTTGGAGTAACGGGCATCACTGGCCTGAAGTGGTGCGACCGGTAGACGTTGATTTTTTATTTGTTTCTTTATTTTTTATTATTTTTTTGGATATTGTTACGTATTTTGAACCATAAAAAAATCTCCTCAACACCTCCTGTGAAAATTAAATTGTCTGGTCAATACTTTATTATATAAATATTTCGCTACGATTCAACTAGATTTATCATAAATCTAAAGATGTGGGGAAATGACATCACGCGCACCTGTTTTTATACGGCCAATACACAAACATGGCCGCGCCAACTGATTTGTAGAAATCGGTGATTTAGCGATTTAAATTTCGTTATCATTCGTTTAATATTATTATTTGGCGGCAGAAAATTTGCAGATTTATTATTTATAGTATTCTTTTTCTGAAATCAAGTTTCTATTCTAACCTTGTCTTTCCCTTTAAGATACTCTTCAACTTCGCTATACTATTTTGCATAAATAAAAAATTACCATTCCCTCTTTTTTAATTTTTCTTTTAGTTAGGATTTTGAATGGCCTTAATGTTTTTAATTTGCATCCTGTAAGTTGTAATTAATGATGTAACAACATTTAAGTGAATTTTTATATATCTATATAAATATTCTTCTAAAATAATATTCAAAAATCCAAGAATATGTTACATATACTGCAAATGTTTATGCGCATTATATGTAATCTTCAAAATATATGCATTCATTACTTATTGAAAAATTTGGCTTAGACTTTATAGAAAATAAATTTTAATTAGCTCCCTTTGTTTACATGAAATATAAATTCTATATATCTTTACAAATAATTCTTCTTGGAACTTACGATATTGATAAATCTTCATTTGAGCATCATATTTATGAAATAAAACCAAAAAAAATGAGTTACATGATCTTTAATAGGTGAGCTAGATGTACAATTTTATAACATAACTATGTTTTAATATTTAACATACTACATGTACATTCCGCCTGAATATTTTGCACATAATTCATAAATACATGTGAACATAGTCTCACTCAAAACTCTCAGCTTTGACAATTAGCTTCTTATTTTGAAATGGCTAAACATGTAATCACTTCAGTTTTTAATCAGATATACCTTTATACTGTTCACCGTACAACCAATTTTAACAATATATTTAGGTATGCATAACACTGAAGTTACTTTTATTTAGGATAATCTTTCTTTTACTTTAAGTTTTTAGATGTTAACATTATGTAACAACAAGTCTCTTATAATTGCAAATTTATCTTTTATTCTATTATTATTTTTTCCATGGTTTATGTATGTTTAATGTAATGCATATAAAATAGACAGGAATAAATAAACAGACAAAAAACTTACCCAGAATTAAACACAAGGTATCCACGCTTTTCACACTTTGTTTTGTGTTTTTAAATTGTACCACTAGTTATGTTACATAAACGTAACGGTTTTTATTGTGTTGCTTAACAAAAAAGAAAATTATTACTTTAAATTAAAGTGCTTGTCATTTTATGACATTTTACAAAATCAAAATTTCCGTTTAGACCTTTTAACGACGCGCTCCGTTTCTTTGCAAAATCCAGATAATGCATCAATTTCTCGGGCAATCTGCGTATTGGTCATGATATTTCGAAAATGTGTTTGTAAGACTTTGACACCGATTGTTAAATGCAATGGTAAAATATGTTAGTCGTTCTCCCACTTGGATATTCGCAGACAGAAATAAGTTCGTAATTTCTTAAAAATGAGAATTAAAACTTAAATAATTTCGGAGAATGTAATAGTTTCATTTTTAAAGGGATCCTAAGGCGAATTGATGACGAATATATTAAAATGATTTTATGTACTCAAATCAAGCTAAAATGACATTTTTAAAGTCCCAGCATGACTTTCTGTATAAGTTCTATGTGTTTTTGGTTTGAAGCGTAAATATATCTATATATATGTTGAACGAAATTTAGACGCCAACAGAATCGAATCACCAAATAGTTTTAAACAAGTCATGTGACTTGAACAAACCCTAGAAGAAACAATAACATATATTGTGGATACTGTATGATTGAAACAAGTCTAAGTCATTTATTTTACATGTTATTTAATGTTTACATGATTCACTGTGAGAACTATTTGCAATCTTAATGCTCTTATCTGACCCACGTTGGTCAACTTAGGAAACCACCATTTTAATCTTGATAATCAGAAAAATTTTGTTTCGGTGTCTGTCTAGTGTATTCACTTTGACATTTACAGAATATTGAATGAAAAATTCAAAACTAAGAAATAAAAATTTTGCCTGTGTCTCCCTGTGTCTGCCTGTAAATGTATCATAAAACTACTCTTCTCTAAGCTTAAAAATCTGGAAACAAAGTGATCCCTCGGAAGCATTAATCACAACAAAATTACATGAAAATTGCAGACTCGGTTTGATTGAGTCTGTACATGAGGGATAATGAATACATCCCTCACAGCCCCTAGCATCGGCTTGAGCGTTACTCAATTCTCAACACTTAAAAGGTTGGCATACGTTTCTAAGCAATTGTTTCAAACAAAATGTCATAACACAAAATATGGCAACTATCATATCTGCATTGTATTGACAACAATATCTGTGTTAGTGCGACGTTAAACCCAACCGAAAAGATATAAACATTAATAATTTATGCACCTACGAGTGATTTATAAGCATTATTGAGGCCTAGGGATAATCACCGCAACATTTTTATTTGACAGTATTTAATGATTTAACGGATGGACAACTTTTACTGTATAATTGTGTCAGTATTCACGAGACTCTCAATATGTAAATAAATTCAACTTTAGAGGTGTGACAATTTATTTCAGGTTTGACATGAAGAACTATTTTACATTCAAAAAGAAAGATGTCCTACAAATACACAAAAGCAAAATTAAACAAAATAAATAAAAACAAAATAAAAAAGCACACAAAAGCATCTTAATTGCAAAGCTTCATTTCCAATGAATTTTTAAATATAGTTTACATATTCAACATGTTATAAAATCAACAAATATAAAATTAAAGTCAGTCGAGGAACAGCTAATGAAATTTGATACAAAGAATCATTTTGAATAAAATTAATTTAAACAAATAATTGCACATAATTTCTAACAAGCACAATAGGGATACGACAACCCTGGGATTTTCCTGAAGGTTAATATGTAGAACTTCTTTAATAAGATGAGTACGATGTAAAATCGTTCTTTTTGCATGAAATTCTCTGACCGAAGTGAAATTTATTTCAATTCCCACCCAACGGGGAAAAAAAGAAAAGAGATGATTATTACATATTAGCCAATAAGAACTTCTTATTTTGACCTTTCACACAAAGGTTAGTGTTCATTTATATTATCTATCAGTGAAAGGTTTGATAATACTAAATAAATTGATGCTGATTAATAGGCTTGGCGGTATTAAATTTCACACTGTAACAATTAATTTTCTATTCTCATTTGTTCTAATTATTTCAAATATATTTATTTGTAAGATATAACATTTAAGGTACAAACACATGCTCTTTAAATCTCGTGTATTAGTTCCGCACGGGCTGGGAGGAGGCCAATCTCCAAAATGTCGTTGTCATAGAAGAAATCAATTTTTATTTCTTGAGGAAACACACACGCACGCACACACGCACGCACACGCACGCACGCACACACACACAAAACAAAACACGCTTTTAATAATTTGGGTTCGTTATAAGGTTTGTAGGGTTATGTTATTACCAACAAACAAAAAACAAATCTTAGATAATAGTGGATACGAAAATTTGATTAAATTTCCTTTTACCATGACAACATCTCAAAATTAATGGTAAATATAAATAATAAGTCCATTGTCCTGCGTTTTATGGTTTCCAAGAGCATTGTGTGAATTGTTTGTAAATTAGTTATTCACATGAGACGGTATAATTTTGTACCGAAATGAATAAAATTAAGCTTTCTTCCTTCACTAAAACACAAAACCAAGCATAATATTGACATCTAATATTTTCTTTTGTTTTCTAAATAACAAATGCTTAATCAATTGTTATTGTTACGTGTACAATAATCGGTACATTTCTGGACGCCATTGTCGCGAATTATGCGATACATTCCTTATTTTTATCTCCTTCGTTTCTCATAAAGTTAACGCTATAAACAATTCACCTTAGTTCTTTACAATTAAAATTGTTGTCCCATTTATCAGAAGCAAAGACAATTTAACAGAAAGGTGTGAAGTTTACGACATTAAAATATGACTTGGGTAGTTGGAAGTATTTATAATTGTTTGCTCTACGAATAACAATTAAAACATGTTGTTCTGTATTTCTTTGTCTTTAAAATAACGAGGTTGACGAGGTTGTTATTAAAAATCAAATAATTTTATCGAAAACCATAAAACGTAGGACAATATGCACTTGGTATTTATAAAAAAGGTAAAGGTCTTGTTTATTATAGTGTCACCCCTACTGAAAGGGCCAGCCATTTTGACTTATGAGACACCTTTTGGTTGCATACCATGTACCTCCCAATTCCTACCACTATGCCAGGCGCCAGGCGGATAGAAATCGGTAACCATTCATTTTAACTACCTCGCGGCTCACGAAGCGGCCATTTCGGAACGAGTCCCACGAGAAACATTCATCCTTCAATTAACGCTCCCCGTGGGGCTCGAACCTTCGACCTCCCGATCCGAAGGCGGATATATTTATTTATATTTAAAGATATAAAGTGCATATGATAGGCAAATTTTTGGAAATGTTTCTAATCTAAATTTATAAACATTATGAACTTACCGAGGCTCAGCAGTCGCCATTACTCGTTTATATTAATATACAAAATCATGTGACCCCATCCAACCATGAGCAAGCAATAATCCATAATTACAGCACCAATCAACTCATAGATATTTTTGCAAATGCTAAAGTACATAGAACAAAGGCGTCTATATATGCCATTTAATAAATAGTTATAAGTTCAGTTGCAATGTCTTTAATACACTTAATAAAAACAAAAGATACCCCCCCCAAAAAAAAACAAAACAAAAAAAACAACAACAACAAAAAAACAACAACAACAAAAATGATTATAAGACTTCTTATTATATTCTAGACTTTTTTCTTTTGTATCTTTATACTTTAATTTGCATTTATCCCCTGAGCCAATGAAGCGGTATTTTCATGTCCCTCTTTTATGAATTTTGATCTCGTCTGCTTGAACTTAAAAATGGCTTTTTCGGAGTTAGCATACTTATAAAGGGTTAGGAAATTGTTTGCAAAAATTGGTACAGTAAGAGCTAGAAGAACGATTCCTGTAAAAGCACATAAACTTGCGATTACTCGGCCAACTGCAGACTTTGGTGTTATGTCACCGTACCCAACGGTTGTCATGGTAACTAATGCCCAATACCAGCCGACTGGAATACTTTGAATATCTTCTCTTTCTTCTGCAACAAATAAGCAACTTGCAAATGAGCTCACACCAACAACCAGTAACAATACAATAATCAACAGATCCTTTAGATTCTCCCGTACCGTATAAGCTAAAACCTGTCCAGCACGTACATTAGAAACAGTCCGCAACAATCGTAATGATCGTAAAACTTGTAAATATTTGAGGACATCCATCCAACTGTCTCGATATTTCTCATGCTTGAATACTTCCATCAATATGATATGCATATAGGTTCCAATGAGAGCTAACACGTCTGTAAAATTGATAATGCTCAGAAAATGGAATTTCCTGGAAGGACAGAAGATAATCCGAAGCAACATGTCTAATGTAAAGTAAACTACCGTTACGGTATCTAGTATCATAAAAGCATCAATTTGTATTTGAAAAACAGGCAACAGGACAAACTCTCCTTTAATCTTTTTGCTTAAAATTTCGTCTGCAACCTTTGAAGATTCTGTTTGATTTTTTAATGACGGAGTTAAAGAAAAGTTAGTTTCTGTATTTGTTTCTCTAGACGGAGTAGTATCAAATCCGCCGATGATTGCATTAGTACTTTGATCGGTCTCATTTTTGTGCTCGTATTCATTTAGGTATACCATCTCATAACTTTCATAGGGTATGTAAGCACTGGGTTTGCATGCATTTTCAGAGTCAACTTGCGGTCGTTTAAAATCAAACGATGTTGAATGATCGGGAAACGCGTCGTTTTCGCAGTCACGTTTCAACCATTTTTCAGCCAGTCCAACATGTTTCATACCGGATGATTTCATATACTCAAGACGCTCGCAGTTGGTTATTTTTCTACGGAAATAGGGATCGGTACTGAAGGCTAACGTAAAAACAGATAGCAGAACCATACACAGGGAGATAACGAAGTATATCTAAAATAACAAACATTCTTACTTAAATTTGTTAAAATACAGATTACACATGAACTATCAGACGATGATTTTTTTACGAAACGAATATGCACGTGCAACGTTATGATAATCTACTAGAAATAATAATTTATCATTAGTATATTATTATAATGATTAATTGATTATGGTCGATATTTTCTATGTCTGAAGTATTTTATTACATTTAGGTAGAATTGAAATAATCACAAATCACCTTTCCAAGAACAGACGGCTTCGAATAGTCAATAATGTTCCAGATTTTCCCCTGAAAACTATTAGCAAGGTGACTTGGGTGACGCGACTGTTTCTTACATTCTTCACGACTTTTTCGGAACTTTTTGAAGATGCCTTGTTCGTCAACAAAACTTTGTAATCTACAATGGAGAGTATCTTTATGTACAGATGATGTTATTGTACAAAGGTTGTTTTAAAACTGACACATTATAAAGGAAATTCATCTTAAATACAATTCTTTGTTAGATATTACCCGGTAGCTTATTATCAAATTCTAAAATATATTCAGCGAGATAAACGATCTATGAAATAACAGTTCACCATATGTCACTAATAAAATACTTTAAAAATTGTGAAAAAGTTAGCCTAGCTACCGTTCATAACAACAACTTTCAACCACTTCCGGTGAAATATCCCAGAATTCTAGTTCATTTAAGAACGCTCCGGGACATGACGTCATTGAAAAATGGAGTTCTCCCGTCTGATACAAAGCCAGCACTGAGGCAAACAAATCAACTGGTCTGTCAATTTCTATGCGTGATGGTCCCGAGACAGTTCTTCCTGATGTGTATAATTGTTTTAGTTTAGACGATGGTCCATTCTGTATGGCTGCTAAAGACATACTGTATATTTGCCCACCGACATCAAACACAACTCGATTGCTCATTTCGAAATGTGTTTAAGGCCTTTATGCGCACTTGTTCGTCAATTCTGCTTAACTACTTCTATTAGATCTGAAATCGAAAAGGTGTATAACGTTCAAAAATATTTTCAATTAGTATTTTAAACTTACATATTTTCAGGCCAAGGGCTTTCTTTTTTCTCATTGATTTCATAAGTCATTAAAAGGTAAAGAACCAAAATCTGAAAATGTAATTGGTCGTTCTAGAAATAGTAAAGTAAAAAGGGGTATTACAAAACAAATTCTCCAGAACATTTTAAATATGGAATTTTGGAAATAGACCTCCAGTCTTGTGCTGAAATTTGATAATCTGATATTTTTTGACAGAATCATGCGTATTTTACTTGTGAAATAAAAGAAGCAATAACTTCGAACCGTTTTGTATTATATCTCCTTAGCCTTTTTAGTAACTGTGAAAAGAACGCACCATTTGCACAAATTATACGATTTAATTTCTGATAGGTTGTTTAAAATAAACAAGCCTAAAGAAATCTGAGTTCAAGATTCTTTGACGGTATTTGTAGTTTCGCGGGTATTGGAGTTCTTTAGGATCATAGATGCCAGCATTATTTAGTGTTGAAAATTAAGTAACGCTCAAGCCGGTGCTCGGGGCGTGAGGGATGTTGTATTTATTCATTATTCCTCATGACTTGTACAGACTCAATGAAACCGAATCTGCAATTTACATGTAATTTTGTTGTGATTAATGCTTCCGAGGGATCACTTTGTTTCCAGATTTTTTTTTCTGTTTATCATTATTCCCTAAAAATTCTTTACTGTAGTTAACAGATCAAAATCATTTTATTTTGATTAATTATACTCATGCACCTTATTTTCTTAACAAATAACTCCAATGAACGCATATAAATGGCAAAAAATATATATTCTTAAAGAATGAAAATAGATAAAGTATGCATGCAAAGACATATATTCTAATCAGATTAAACTAGAAATTGAAACTACATCTAATTGGAAGTAAAATATGTATTTGTAGACTTTTCTCTATCTTTTGACTAAAATAGAGAAAATAAGAATCTCTAAAGAAAGCCCAACACGACAAAATTGAAAATGTTGCAGACTCGGTTTAATTGAGCCTGTTCATGGACGGTACTGCCAAGTGCAAACCACCGTCCACGTCCCTTAGCACTGGCTTAAGCAGAATTCAATGGTTAAACATGAAATGGTGAAAGTTTGAATTTAGAAACATCCGAAGATGTGTTCATACGGCGATTATCAGGTAACCCTCAATGCGACACTCCCGTTCCATTCCATGAAAAGCGGCGTATGATCCCAAAGTTATAGAAAGCGTGTGCCCTAAACGAGAAAAAAAATGGGCGAAACTTATCAAAAAAGAATTTTAAAAGTGGATCAGAGGTTATAAAGCCTGTATATCACAGATCAGACGTCAAAAGACAAATTTAAAAGAAGACAACATCCTAAGGGTGATTCAACATTATTAAAGTGGGCATACTGGAACCACTAAACTAGAAAATGCCAAAAAGTTAAAACTAAAAATAATACATACAACAGTTATGTCGTATTGAACGATATTTGAGGATCGGAAATATTATATAAGCCATATTGAAAATTGTACATTGAAATGTTACGGACAAGGCGCAATTGTATAGGATTTTTTTCTGTTTTTTTTTCTGTTTTTGAAAGAATATGTTTATGTCCGAAGACTTTGATTTTGTTTAAATTACAAGAAAATGCATTATTTCCAAGAAGTTTTACGCTGAAATTAGAAGAGACAAAACATTGGAAAGTTATCTCTGTCTTTAACAACGATTTTGTTTGAATTTTTGTTTAAAGTGTCAAGCTCATTTATGTTAGAAATTCAAATGTTACGGTTTTAGGCTTTAAAACCTCAGTGGAGTCCCTTTAATTAGTCTTTTTAAGAGAAAAGATGAAGAAATAAATATGAAGACATGATAATGTTAAATCAAATGTGCAAGGTTTCGAAATAAGAAAGACAATCAACATTGGAAAGTTTCTACTGTTTTACACAATGATTTTGCTAATGTTGTTAATAAACTAGTTTATATACGGCATTAATCAGTCTATTTAAAAGAAAAGATGAAGAAATAAATATGAAGACATGATAATGTTAAATCAAATGTGCAAGGTTTCGAAATGAGCACTGACCTCTTGAAATTGTGTAAACAAATGTTTTTTTTTTGGTGTTATTTTTCTATTGCAAATGACTTAATTAAACTGTTATAAAACTAGGGTTTTTTACGATCTGTTATCTTTATTTGAGAAGCTTCTTGTACTTATCACTAAATTTTGTGAGAAACAGTGCATTAAACGTAATTTTCATTACAAGTTAGATTAGTAGATAACATATACTCTATGATATACTGAAATTTCAAAAGACATAAACTATTGAACATTTTGCCTATTAATTATCAAAACTAATGCAATCTAAAGTACACTTATTCCAAAAGATGAGTAACATTATGTAAATTATAGTTTTTAAAAGAAAAACATTAGAAGTACATTGTTAACTTACGACAAAAGATATTAAATACACAATATAATAATAATATAATGTGTAACTAGTGTGCATTTGACTGACATAAGTAATTTTTTAAATGCTTTAAGACATTGCATTATTAAATAACAATTATTTAACAATATTTGCATTTGAAAATAATGAATAACGTACATGTAAATGTAATGAGTAGCAGATTCCTTACATTCCATAATTATGATACTATGTAATGTTAACACTCGAATGTCATAAAAGCTCATTCTCCTCATCTATAATGAGTTGCTCTCTGTAGCAATGAGGGATGACCAATAATATAATGTAATGAAGTGATATATAATTTACGTCAAACTCTGATGGGCAAGACTCTTTTAAACGGTCATACCAGAATTTAAATAACATAAAACAATACAGCTTTTTTTCTCTTTTTTTGTTAAAAAAGGATTATTATGGTAATACATGAGTGTTTTGATTTGTTTGCTTCTCAATGGCCTCTACTCTGCCTTACAAGTGCAACATGGTTTTGTCACCTCTAAATAAATAATAAATAACCAGACTATATCTTTGAATTTTTCTAAAATGGAATCGATTTTTCAGATTGTTTTTGTTAACAGCCTTTTGATATGTCAGTGCAAATGGATTTTTCCTTTACCTTTCATTTCCTTCTTGAATGCCATTATCATTCAAATGTCTTTGATAGATTTTACCAAGTCAATTCACTTTGCCTCACGTCCATCCAAAACAATAATTGATTACATAAAGGAAGTATTCTAAGATTTAACTAAACCTTTTGTACCAACAACCTATTTCAGGCTTACCAAACCGAGCCTGCAAGATTTTTAATTATGCCGTGTTGGGCATTCTTTAGGGATTCTTATTTTCTCTATTTTATTGCCAAATCAGCGTTGTTTATGCCTTGTGGAGGCTGTAAAAAGTCGCCCCGCACATTCAATCAGAGACGTTATATTTCCGATCCTTAAAGATCTTTCAGCACGACATTATTGTTGTGCTTGTGGTAATTTAGTTCTTTCTATACGGCTTTTTTCTTGTTGGGTGGTTCCAGTATTTCTCACTTGAATACTGTTGAATCAAGCTTAGGATATGTGACCTGCTTTTTAATTTTGTCTTTTGACGTCTTGTGACGTCTTATCTGTGATATGCAGGCTTCATAACCTCTGATCCCCTTTCAAAATTCCATTTTATTAAATTCCGCCCATTGTTTTCTCGTTTAGGGGAACACCCATTGTTTTACTTACCATATGCCGCTTTTCATGGTATGGCACTTAAGTGTCACAATGAAGGTTCCATAATAACCACCATATGAATACACCTGCGGATGTTTCAAAATTCAAAATTGTACCAGTTCATAGTTAATGTTGAATTTTGCTCAAGCCGGTGCAAGGGGCGTGGACGGTCACTTGCCCTTTCCAGTACAGTCCATGAAGAGGCTCAATCAAACCGAGCCTGCAACATTTTCAATTATGCGGTGTTGGACTTTCTTTAGGGATTCTTATTTTCTCTATTTTACATATTATTTTGTTTCGTACTGAATGACAAGTCAGTGTCTCCGATAAACCCAAACAAACAAAACTGCTGCTAAGCGATACGAGGTTAAAAAGCCTATCTGAATGGGCATCACCCTTTCACAGACATGTTTACAGCCACATATAAAATGTGCGCATATGAAGTCCATATATGCCATATTATGCCATATAATACCAAACAAGAAATCAAAATTGCTTTAGTGCTTTGAATCTTTATAAAGCATATAGCGGTATTTAAAGTAGCTTCTTACTTCAATCTGTTAGTCCATTAATTAATGTTACCTATAGACTGGTCATCTTTAGTATTTTATACATAGTCTGTTCATAAAAAATAGAATTCTTTCGGTTTGTTTAGATTCTATTTACGTATTTCACAAAAGACATTAATAAAAAGAAATTCAACCTTGTGAAATGTATCATTCGCTTTGGTTGTAATTGCAATGTTGGGTTGGGTTGTTGGACTAAACAATAAAACAGAATAAGTAACACTCTAATTTCATACCCCCTAAACACTTTTAATACAATTTGTATACACATGCCATGATTAAATATTCCGCAACACAGGATAAAACATGGCATGGTCTCAAAAAGCGAAATAATACAACCCATTCAAAATCCAAAAAGTAAAATGATTTGACAACTAAAATTTTGATTTGAAAAAAAATATTCTCAAACTGGGAAATCATATTTAGATATCAATATTATATCTGCGAAATGAGAATTTATGATTGAAAACTGAAAGGTAGTCTTAATGAGACTTAAAACGTTTATTTCCCAAGAGCTTTATGATATAAGTCTTCAAATAAAATCAATTATTGCTGTACTGAGAATTGTTTTGTTGCCATGGTAAATTTTGTTAAAATAACTCGAGGTAAGAATTAAATATTTTTGTCATTTCATAGATATATAGAATGAGATTGATTACTTTTTTGTCAGCTGTAATAAATCAACAAATACTCATGACAATTTCATTATAGATAAACATTATAAGTTTTTTTAACAGGTACTTTTTTCTATATGTTAAAGAGAAAAGCAGAATCCCTAAAGAAAGTCCAACACAACAAAATTGTAAATGTTGCAGGCTCGGTTTGTTTGAGCCTGTTCATGGACGGTACTGGAAAGTGCAAGTTACCGTCCACGCCCCCTAGCACCGGCTTAAGCAGAATTCAACATTTAAACACGGAAATGGTGAAATTTTGAATTTTGAAACATCCTAAGGGTGATTAGACAGCATTCAAGTAGGAATACTGGAACCACCCAAGATGAAAAAGGCCAAATAGAAGAAACTTAAAATACCACATAACATGTATACACAACAATAATGTCGTGCTGAACGATCTTCACAGATAAGACGCCAAAAGACAAGTTGAAAAGCAGGCAACATATCCTAAGGGTGATTAGACAGCATTCAAGTAGGAATACTGGAACCACCCAAGATGAAAAAGGCCAAATAGAAGAAACTTAAAATACCACATAACATGTATACACAACAATAATGTCGTGCTGAACGATCTTCAAGGATCGAAAATATAATATCTTTGGTTAAATGTACGGGGAGACTTTTTACGGCCGCCACACGGCACAAATAACACTGATGTGACCATAATATAGAGAAAAACATAATCCCTAAAGAAAGTCCAACACAACAAAATTGTAAATGTTGCAGGCTCGGTTTGATTGACCCAACGTTTCTCATTATTAATAGATGCACATGAAACAAATTGGTATTTCATACCAATAATCCAAAATAAACTGCTTTCATAAGAGCAGAGTATATAATGGTACACATTAACGGTACAATTTTGTGTTATACGAAGTGCAATAAAATTTGAATTTGCTTTTAAGTTTATCATTTGCAAAAAAGAAACATTTTTGAGTCCTTATTTTTTTATTATGGTGTTTTAACGTTAAACTATTGCTGAATAGTGTATGCAGTTGCAGAAAGTTTTTTTTAAACTCAATGATGTTAAATATTGGCATATTTTCTATATTTTATTTTATTTTTTCATTTTATTAATTCATTTATTTATCAGTAAATGTGAACAGTATATGACAAAGGGTAAATTAAAATATAAAAATTCGAGTCTTGTAGACCACTCAATCACAACAAAGCTTAAACAGGTAGGAACATTTTATAGAAATATTCGCTTTAAAAGCTTATTTTCCAACAATGGAAAATACCATGTCACTATGAACATCTTTCATCTTTCATGATACAATTTCAATTAGAAACACCGTAAAATGAGGTTGCTAGAATTTTTATCAACTATTAACTGGTCTATTTTTTATTTAAGGAGACACATTTTGTGAAATAAAAATTTGTTGGTTCACATAATCGAACATGAAACATCCTCCGCTTTAGCTCAACACAAAACTATTCAACAGAGAGCTCAGTTTAAAAGCCAAAAAAAAAAACCACAAAAAACACATTTATATCAAACGTGATTAAGCTTTCGGCAAGTTGCTGGCGCCATCCTTAGAGTGGACTAACCATTGCAAATAAGATGGAGTCCAGATAAACAAAGTGCATACATCATTTTCATTTAAAATTTATTGTGTAATAAGCATTAGTTTATTAGAATTAGTATGGAATAAGTATGGTTGTAAGATAGAACAATCAAATGACAGCTTGGTGCTTTGGAATCTTGTGGACAGGACACTGGATAGTTACGCTGGTCTTTAAGACCCATTTGACTTCACATCCAGTCTTAACAGGTTTGCACTCAGATAATTCATCGTCCTCGGGCTTTAGAATTATTGTCTCAAGCAATCTGCAAATGAAATAAGAGAAAATTGATATGTTTTACCAACATCGATGATTGATATTGTATGTAAAACGACACTTATATCATGTACAGCATTTATCACATGCAACCAAACCGTCATAAACTTATTATAGATAATTATCATAGTGTCACATGATAAAACATAATAAAACAAATGAATGTGTACCAATAAAGTGTAATTAAACGAAAGTTATAGTACATTGTATCTACAAACCTTAAAAAGTAAACTAAATAATAGTTATTCATCTTAGAACTACTTCAACAGTTGAAGAATATCTTGACGATTTTGTTCATTTATATATAATACTATATAATTTCCTTCTTGAAAAACAACTTATAAAAATGTTGCGACCTTACAATGATGCTTTATCCTTACGATACGCTGAATTGCTACTAAATACAAAATAGCAAACTATGAACACCTAGTGATACATTATGTTAACAAACTTGGTAACAACATTTTTGTACGAAGCATTATATAAGGTGGGAGGAAAACATGATAAATTGTAATTGTATCATTATGAATCATCATGTTAGGGCAGGAAGATTTGATCAGCTGTTAAATGTTGTACAATATTTGTATTTTCCCAGGTTAAGTTAATTAAGTTTTATTGATAATGTTCATTCATATCAGCAATGTATTTCAATTTGCTAAAAGGTCTGAAAATAATTATACATTAACAACATTTTATCGTAGTGGCCATTGAGATAATCATATACATGATTCCATGACAATATGTTTTTGTGCAAATTCACCTTAAGTTCAGTTAACTGTCTTTATGGATTATTAAAACAAGCATACTGGTCATATGCTGATTTATTTTAATAAATGAAATGCGACTTTTCAACAAAAGTAATTCACATGATTGTATACTTACGAGTTACATGACAGGTATTTATTGCTGCATTTACATTGTACACATTTATCGTAATCCTTAAAGTTGGTGCCCGGTAAAAATCTGGAACCCTTCCATTCACAGTAATGAACTGGATAACCATTTTCTATGAAAAAAGAAGCCTTCTTTGAGATATATTACTTAGACTTTTGAACAAAGTAAGAACAAATGTTTCTTCACTTCTGCACTAAACACAAAACAAAAAACAAAAAAAAAAACTAACAAACAAACATTTATTCTACTTTTTTTTTGTTTTACAGTTTTATGCTGGTGTAACGTTTTGCACTCTCAAATTATCATGATACTTCACTGTTCATGTTAATAATAATTCTATAAGGTTTTCATAACACGCACATTATATCTTGCCATGAAGTTTCCATTACTATATGATATATTTTATTTGTCCTCATTCATATATATAGTTTAACTACAGTGAAATCATATTTGATGACATCATTGTGAAATAATGAATTATAACTTCACTTGCAAAGTTCAGTAATCAACCGAAGAGCATGTGAAATGAAAATAAGAAAAAGTTGTCATATCCAAAAGAAAAGACAATAAATAACAAATAAAATGAGTTTATTGAGGCAATAATCTTATAAGGAAAGGAATGATGAAACTTTCACACCAGTCTTTCATTTAATTACTTTTTCCTTTTTTACCAACATATAAGGGTACAATAAAATAGCTTGTATGATGATTCCAAAAAGGTATTGAAATACAAAAAAACAATGGTACTTTACAATGTTTCATCTCTTATCATCACATAGAATCTATGCAAAAGAATCTGGGTGCTGTAATCATTGAAATTTTATTTCATTTACAAAAATAAATCACCGTTTCACAGGAACTTTCCAATATCTTTCAAGATTAAACTTTTTTTTACATATAACGAGTAAATTAAAAAAAGTGTTTACCTTCAGCTGTTAGAGTCTCTATCAAAAATTGTCCTCCGCTGCATTTTGAAGAGGAGACGCAAATCGCGAGTAAAATGACAACGTTGTAGACGACGTTCATATTTGGACTCAAATATGACAATCCTAGAATTCATCAAGAACCTCTGTTTATGTATCAATGTGATATACTTGTCACTATAATCCCTCACAGTTTGTGGTCGCCGCAGGTATCATGAAAAACAATTAGAAATGATGTATTCAACTGTAATTAACAAATGAGTTGTACCGGCTTGAAATCAGATCAGGTAAACATGCTAATTTATCTTGTATTGCAACAGTTGTAATGATCCTGAAAAATGTTGTTTACAAATATTAGATTTCAACTTTTATAAAACATAACAATGATAAGAGTTTAATGTATGTTTTTTTTAAACTGCTGTAATTTGTGAAAATTTTATACACGTTTTATAAAAATCAAACACTTTCGTTTAATCCCAGATTTTATGTATTATCATTTTTTTTTAAACAAATGGTGATGAAAGAACGGATTTCAGTTTTTAATAGTTAAATGAATTTATTGGTTGAAATAAGTACAAGATAATGGTATATACACTAATATCAAGTAAAGTGTATAAGGATTTATTTAAACGAATGTGTTAAGTATATTGTTTCAAAACAATTTGATGTCTTTGTACAAGGCACTTTTAGAAGCAGAAAGTTCTTTAATGTTATAACAGTATGGGTTAAGCTACTACACGGCTCGATTCCAACTTTATTGTCAAACGCTCTAGGAATATATCATTTAAAACCTCTAAAAGGGCTTAATGTAGTTAATTTTCTGTATGCCGGTTCATTTAGCTAATATACATTGCTCTTTATTAGAATGTTCTCAAAGCAAACATGCATAAATTTTCTTTTCAAGTCTTTCATAAAAGTTTTGAAAAAAGGGTATTATGCTATTTTGTACATTTTTATGTTTTTAAATGATAAGTAAAAGCTCGGCCGCAAAGTTTATTTAAATCCGTTATGAAATTGGATTTGGTCGGATAACAATCACGTATCTTATGCTTATAGCAAGTTGATATATGCAAGCTTGAACATCATCTCTTTTAACATTATTATCTCCCGATTCAAATTATTCACTGAATTCATTGATGACATTTTCGAAGATATACTTTGCTCAAATTCGATATTAGAAAAATAAAAGATAATTGCTACACAGTATCTTTGAAAACATAAAATAAACACGATTTTACTTCTCACAAAGAAGATATGATATGTTTAAAATTCTACAAACTTCACGTTGACACAATATGAAAATATAGTGTAATTTTAGCTCACCTGTCACAAAGTGACATGTTGTGCCATTGTGATCGCTTTTCGTCCTTTGTCCGTCCGTTAACTTTTACTTCAAACGACATCTCTTAAACCGCAAAGCCACTTTAGCCAAACTTCATTGGAATGTTTCTTTGGTAGTCAACTTTAAAAATTGTTATAAGAATTTAATGCCATGGAGATTTTGGTTGTCATGGCAACCAAAAGAAAAAAAATCTTCTTTTAAAAACCAAAAGAGCTATAGCTTAAATATTTGGCATGAAACATTTTCAAGTCAGTGTCTACCAAGTTTGTTCAAATAAAATCCCTGGGGTCTGCGGTAATTCTTTTGCCGTGAATAAATACCAGCTTTGTATAATTTGTACAAGTTATGTTACGCTTACGCTGAGTGAATATAAAATTCAACTTCAATTGATACAATATCAAATCTAACAAAAATCATGAAACTTAATACCAAAACATAAGAACGGTTATAGAAGAAGAAGAAGAAGAAGAAGAAGAAGAAGAAGACATTTTATTTTGTTATAACTGTAGCGTTATATTGAAATATTACACTAGCTTAATAGTTAAGATACCTAACTTGAATCATTGTTCTTAGTAATAATTTGATTAATTTGTTGATTTTTTTAAGATTAGAAATGTCGATTTATATTCTAAAATACTTCAGAAAAACATGACGTTATAATTAATTTTGTCTTTTTTCGTAGCATAATAATCATTACTTATAATCGTTTTACTTTCCTCTTTTCAAAAGTGTTTGAAACATTCAAAACAAAAAGCAGTATTTCTGTTTGTAAGAATGAATTAAATTGCTACTTTATCACTATAATTTTTTTAATTGAAATATTAACATTACACGCTTGTCGTAAAACAACTTCGAGGTCGCAATATATAGTGCATATCAATATAAAGATATATACTTAAATGATCGATATGAATTGATTTTAATAGGGGAAAAGGTAAACAAATACAGTTCATGCCTCTAGCACTAAGAAATTCACACTTATAGGGAAATAAAAATAAATATATGTGATGAAAATGACAGGAAGTAAGAAATTATTTAACGAACATTTAGCCACAAAGCGATAATAAAAAGTTGCTTACACCCATGATAAACAATACTTATCTAAACATATGAACATTTTATAAGGAGATGACAAAGTATTGTTTACACCCATGCTAAACAATATTTAGGTAAACATATTAACATGCCATAATGTTATAATAAAGAATTGTTGAGTTACATGCTATACCATATTTAAAATCAAAGCACGCAATTGCTGGTTGCAGCAAGCTTTGGGAGATTTTTGCAAACATTTGACTTCACAATTTGCCCTGATGTTATTCCTGATGTAAATGTTATTAAAATATTCAAAGAATTAAAAAATAAACATGTTGTTATACGTTACTTCAACACACCTACTTTTAAAACAATCTAAATTTCTCTTCATTAATGAATAAATCAAAGCAATTTTAGATTCAAATCTTTATCAGGGATCAAATGACTCAAAACCTATCTTGTTTCATTAATTAGATAAGGTCTAATCATAAAGAAGAGGCTAAAAGTTTAATTTCTCAAACAGACTTCACCATAAATAATCCATCTTTTGATTATTTGAATGTACCAATAACATCTAATGGAATATTTTGAGGGCAGTGAAAGATAATTATTCAGTTTTAAGAAAAAAAATACATAAAGGCATTTAAATCAAAAGATCGTGTATTTATTAATTTATTAAACTTTTGTATTTCAATCATACAATTAACACCGTTCATCAAAAACGCTCTCTTTAAGCATTTCAATATTAACTGTTTTTTTTATTATTAACTTTAATAAATAGAGAGACAACTACGAAACCTCTTCTCTCTCATTATACATGATTATTTGCTTTGATTTATATGTACCAAATTTTTTACATTACTTTAAAACATTAGTGTTTTCTTATTTCATCTCATGTTGGCATATATATATTTTTATATATCATTTTTCCGTTATGAATGAAGTTGTATGTTCATACGCTACTATAAGAAAAAGTGCGTAGTGAGAATATCAGTTTTCATAATTTCTGTTCCGAAAATAATTGCCATGTAATATACAAGAAAAAGAATCAAACACCGGCTGTTGGTACAGACCGGAATATCTAGCTCTCGAATAACTGTTTAGCGGAAACTCGGCAGAGCCTCGAAACCGCTGTAAACAGTTACCCTCGAGATAGATATTCCGGTCTGTACCGGCAGCCGGTGTAAGATTCTTATAGTGTATCTTCAAGATGATGTACTATGTGTAAATCTGAATAAATTATCTGTTCTGCTCATAACGTATTTTTGTTATCAAAATCAAATACCAAATACGTCAAATAAAATATACAGTTTATCTACATATCTTATAAATATTGAAATATTTTCATGTTTACACTTGAATGAGATATTCCTAGCTGTCAAATTGTATTACTGTTAACATATTCATGATGTTCAATACTTTTTTTTATATATATTTAACCATCATTTAGTGGTTAATGATTAAACTTTTGCCGAAAGCTATTCGTTTTTTTTTCCATACATTGTTTCTTTTATAAATACATGTTTGTATCATATATAAACATATGTAAATATGCTCAATATTTATATTTGTGAAAATATCACAATATTTAAGGATAATAAGTCAAAATTACGAAATCATGAAAATTACCAAAAGTACAGACTCCGTTCATGTGTGTGATCATAGATTCATTTTATCATTTTCATTAAATTTCATAAGTGCTCCTTTACTAATCATCTTTAATAAATGGATTTATACAAAGGAATTAATGACTAGCTACTCGCTCGTAGCAATTCATTTTCAAATAACATTCTTGCTTTTATTCGCATGTCTAGGATTTGGTGTTTTTAAATTCAAGCAAATTGATGTATTGAAGGTACTTCCATTGGCAGTAACTTTCTGTGGATTTGTAGTGCTCACGAATTTGTCACTTCAGTATAACACAGTCGGAACGAGTCAGCTAATGAAAATGCTGACAACGCCGTGTATAGTGTTAATACAGTTCGTGTGCTATAACAAAAGTACTAATATATATCAACAAATAACAATGGTAAGATGTATTTATGTACATATATACCATAGTTTCAAAATAATACACAATGATTTCTCAATGTAGTAGTAAACGTGATATAAGGTTAATTTGTCTTTATTGTATCATCCATTTTTACTCATAATTTGGCATTCAAAACAACCTTTTTTATTATATAATAATACAATAATACCTTATCTATGAATAAAAACGTTATAGATTCCTATAGCCTTTGGTGTATTTCTCAACTCATACTATGATGTGAAGTTCAATATGCCAGGAATTACTTGTGCGCTTCTCGGGGTGATTGTAACTTCTGTTTATCAAGTGGTAAGTTTTGCTTAATTCCTCTTTTTTTATTTTAACTTTTATTAATTAGGTGGTAAATGAAGTTTGTAACTTCCATTTATTTCATGGTAAATGAATATGCTTACTTATAAAAAGAAAGTAATGCTTGTTACTGTACTGTCAAAAAGTTGTTGTTTGTAATCTAAGTAGATAGGGTGTAACAGTACTAGTAGTTTTCAGATAATATAACAACGCTTTCTGCATTATTATTAAGTGATAATGATTGACAAACCTCTTTAGATAGAAAAACATGGTAACTCTGTTATCGTTGACATTCTTATGAACCGGCAAGCTTCAAAAGATACTGTCCGTATCACAAATGAAAGAAGATATCTTACACCTCTGTAACACCGCACTTTTAGGTCAACACACTTTGGGTCCGACCTAAAAGTGCGTTATACTAGTACTTCGCATCGTACTTTGGGTCAAAATCGAGAAATTGACCCTAAAGTGCGATAATATGCTACATATCAACGCACATTGGGTTCCAGAGGTCTGAAGGTGTCATTTGAGTTCTTCTAAAATACTGAGCAGTGACTTATATTCGATCTGCGACATTGGAATACTTGAGATGGCGGTCGAACTTTTTTTGATGCTTAAGTGATACAAGTTTTATTAATTTTACCACTTGAAATATCTTAAATTGAGTTCATATTATAAAGTTCTCTCATACATAAATAGTGGATATACTCCTAAAATTTAAAGATGTTTGGTTTACTATCTATTAATTGCAAAATATCTCTTTTTTGAAAATGTCTTTGATATATTTCAACAAAATGAATTTGTGCATGATAATGCCATGAACTGTATATATGTAAACTGTTTTAACTGGGACAGGACTCTAATAAGCCTTCATAGATATCTGCCCTATCCCAAATGTATAATATATTGTGTCGGACCCCAAAGTGCGTTGGACCCCAAGTGCGATGTGACACAGCATCACTACACAGTCATGGCAACACTTTAAATGCATTCATCTAATGCTCTGTCACAATATGTCTGTTGCGGTGTTTGATTTTTTCCCTTCCTTCATTATTTTGTGTTGTTTTTGTTCGACGATGTCACAGCAATTATTAACAAATCTTGTAACATCTGCTCAACCACTCATTGTTGATAATGATATAGTTTTAATAATGGATTTTTTTGTTGTGATAAATAATACCGTGATAGATGATTTATTATGAAATACCATCAATTACACGCTGATTTATGTAAATGCTTAAAACTTGGAATGGAAGTGTTTTGAAATGATCAATCATGCATTTGTATGTTTATTTCTGCAAACTTGAAGAAATATCTGGAAGCCTTGTGATTGTTCATAGGCCATATTCAGCATCATAAGTTAGAACAGTATGATCTGGAACATGTATCTCACTAAAAGTTAATTTTGTTAAGCAAGGAAAGCAAGAGCTACAGTACCGCCTTTATTAAGGCCACGGAAAGATAGTTGTAAAACACGGCAATCTTTCGAATTCCAATAACCTTCACTTCTTTTCGTTTTCTTCCAATAATAACGTAAGGTCGTATCTCCATTGAGGTCGTACCGAATCACGTGTGTATGCAATATGGATTTCTCTGTCTGATTGTGCATACAATACAATACGTGTTTTATGATTTTGTATGATTTCGCAAAATGTACACAGTCCTGATCTTAAGCAATAAAAACAATATAAGAATATGAACTATGCAATTACGAAATTTAATACCGAAGAATCAAAATGTAGGAAGTAAAAAAAAATATCTTGGCATGTTGATTGCAGTGGGTTGGTATGAAACAACAAGAATTAGATGTCGACGCTCTGCAGTTGTTGTTTTATCAAGCACCTATCTCCTCATTTCTGATGATTTTACCTATCTCTCTGTCAACATCATTCGACAAGATTCCGAACATCTGGATTTCTTGGTCTGTGTTAGATTGGGTACGTATATTGTTTACAATTATACTTCATAATAACGTTTCACTCGATATAAATAAAATGCATACAAATTAGACAAAATGTAATTTTAATGTAAATTTTAAAAAATTACATACATGTTATCAACAACAAATGTTTAAAAAATGTGTTTTTTGCCAAAAATGCATTTATTTCATTGATATATTGTTTTAAAATATATTAGTTTGTTTCTTCGTCATTGTTTTCATGTCAATGTAATGATATTATGTAACAAAACGATTAACCTTCGACTGTTTCAGGCTATTGTTTTTCTATCTGGTGTTTTTGCGTGGCTTGTAAATATATCCATATATTGGATTATTGGAAATACGTCACCTGTAACGTATCCTTTTTAATCACATACTTATATTTTGTAACATTTGAATGTTTGTCCCATTACAGTGTTTCCCAAGGTTCGTCCGTTTTGATTTCTTATCGTATAACAATAAAGGTTCAATTTCTTAAACTAACTTTACTCTTTTTTTCGGATCAGAGGCCGGTCTCAAATTAGTTTGACTCCATTAGAAAATTTAGAGGGAACAGCTGAATATAAGAAGATTTTTCATTGGTCATTTTCAAATTACAAAATGAAATCTGTGAATCTCAATGGCCATTTTAAGATAAAATGTAAAGGATAGTTCTTGTCATTCTAAGATAGCTCTAAACTAATATGTCTTGATAGCTATAAAATAAAAAGTACAGGATAGCTCTTAAACTTTCTAGTTAAATTGTTCAGATATTTGTGTTATATTTATTAATACTTTCTCCCACAAAACATTTAAAACAGCATTCATATCTCATTTTATTTTCTAGTGAACATTTTATTTTAGGTAAGAAATTACTAAATTTATCTAAAACAAGATCTGAGTTTTAATCATTCATCCAAAATAACTAGAATAATATCAGAACTTGTAGTTATCAGGTATCCCAAGTTAATGGAGTTCAATAAGAGTCTAATATATTATATGATTGATTGTCTTCAAATGAAATAAAAGTCATAATATCCATATATTGTTGCATATTAATAAAGTATATATATATATAAATAATTGCCTACCGCATGCGTAGATGTTTGTGTTAGATATCACTTACGAAACAGTCATGTTCGTTTGAAACATTGTGTACATCTGAAAGAGTTCCATTTTTAAAGATCTTTAATCTTACATTAAATGATTTTGTCATTGTTTGCATGGAAAACTAACAACATACATATGCAATTTTACCAGTTTTACTTTGGCCGAGTATCTTTTTAAAAGATACTTCTTGTTAATAATAGTAAAAACATTGAAATGAAAAATACCTTTTCCACAAACATTTTTTTTTTAAAATGCATGTTGTTCACAAAGTGTTACTTTCTAATAAAAGTTAATTTCAAATTATGTATATTGTTATTCCCTAACGAATAATACAGATATAATATGATTGGTCACCTTAAATTTTGTGTAACCATCGTTACAGGATGTATTTTGTTTAATGATATGCCAAATGTTAACCAAATAGCCGGCGTTATATTGACTATAATCGGTAATCTTGCTATATTTACATACCTCTTTTGTATTAAAAGAAAATAAACTTTACATTACCATTTACTACAAACGCTCATGGACAGACTCAGTCATAACAAGCCAGTAACATTTTCAGTTATGAAGACTTTTGTGTGTTCTTTTAGTTTCCCCTATTTTATCGTCATATAAGCATTGTTTTGCCCAAAGCTTCTACTGCATTAAGCACCTACATACGAGATATTTAATCAAAGACATTTCATTGCCAATCCTTGAATATACTTCAACAAGACAGACCAGACATCCTTTTTGTGGTATTAAACTTTTTTTTATAATAAAGTCGTTTTCTAATTTTGTGGGTTTAATTAAGTACTGTCATCCTCAGGATATTTCTTTTATTATTTTTTATATAGTTCTCCGAGATAAACAATCTTTGAAAATTCTAATCCTCTCTCAAATTTCCATAGAATTTTAGTGATGCCAATTGTTTAAGACTTTGTCATCCACATTTGTTCATTTGCTTACAACGGAAGTGTGGCATTCTCACGTTAACCACCATATGGACACATCTGCAGATATTTCGGAATAATAAATGAAACAACATTTGAACTTCAAATGTCGAGCTCTGCATAAGCCGGTGCTATCTTACAATTATTACTTCCGCAATAAACTAAATCAAACCGAGCCTTTAGCATTTTTTTAACGTGTAATAATTTGGTCTTTCTTTCAGTAATCCATTTTACTGTTTATGCCTTACAGCCGCTATTAGAATGTTTTTTCGTGCATATTTCTGCTCTTTAAAGACCATTTAATACGACATCCTTGTTATACTAGTAATAATTTAGCATTTTTGAATGTCATCCATTTATTTGAAAAAATAGAAGCTTTGTTTATATTGTCTATATTCTATACCTTTTTTCCATATTGAATTTAGTTTTTACATGCTTCGTTATTATTTTAGGTGTCACGGCGTATACAAGGTTGAAGATAAATGAACATCGGGGCAATGGACAATCCTCAAAATCGTGTGAAGAAAACAATGAAGAATAAATAATTGCAGTCATATTTGAACATGACACATACGTTATAACAACTCTCACTTTATCATTGTTTATACTGATAAGATTTCTCTCCGCTGTATGTATTGATCACTGCGTAACTAAAATAAAAAATCATTTTCCATGTTTTACAAATCTCGATCAGCTAATTTACCAAACCATCTAAGATACTTTGATATTAACAAGAATTGATCGAGTTAACATGTTTTAAATTACAAAACATCGTCCGGTCTGCAAAAAAGTACTCAGTGTTGTTCCTTGTAACCTTACACAACTTGATGTGTTGTTGCACATGCAACTAACTTTTTTCAATAAACAAAAGGCTATAGTACAGGTAAATATATTCGACAAAAAGGATGAGTCTTTCAGCACGACTTTTGGAACGATCAAGATTAAACTCTTGATAGACTCAAATCCCATGTTGTTTGTTTCCACTTAAGGCATAACAATGTGATTTTATACTTGTGTTGCATTTGCAGGACGGATCTTTTTAAAAAGATCTTACAACATTCTCGAATTGTTCTCTTGTTCGATTCACTTTCTTTCGAATATAATGATTATGTATAAGTTTTTTTAAATATTATTTTGTGTGTGTGTGTGAAAACTCACGCTAATAGTTGTTTTGGCGAGGTTTATCAATGCATTCGTAGAATCAAAAATACAGAATCAGAGGTAAGTGGCCTAATTAAGCATGATTAGGCATATGTTTTCATATACAGTTCAGATGTTGACAATGCAACATACTGGTGGTATGACGGAGCTCGTCAACATCTATGCTCCAATCAAATTCTGCGTTTACGCTTTCAATGTTTTTATATACTATTCTATTATTGTCTAAACATACAATGCATTGCAAGATGTTTAAATGACAGACAATGCCAGTATATCGAATAAGCCTGTTTATTCTTTATTTTTGATGTTATTAATTGTCGGCTGGCGTTCACTGAGTTGTAAAGCCAGTAATTGTATATTGTACAAACGTGGAGGTCGGAGTAGTTGTGTATTGTAGAACCGTTAAGGTCGGAGTTATTGTATATTTTACAACCGCTTATAAAGGAGTTATTTTTTCGTGAATGCAGCTTTATTTGTGAAACTAATTTTCTCCTTTATATATACATTTTTAATGTTAGTTAAATACAATTTTAATAAGGTAATATGAGTGACTTTTATTTCATATAACAGGTCTGAGAATATTTGGGAACCCTATAAAGCCAATTTCTTTGTTTCCAGCGCTATACTCAGATATGATACAATAACGTATAGTTATACCTCTGACTGTATGTTGAAGAAAAATGAAAAAAAAAACAATGTAAAAAGAACAATACGGTATAAATTCTTTGAATCTTTTTTCACTTTTGTTCCTTCTTCTTACAATTATAAAATATATTCATATATTAATAACTAAAAGATCTTTTTCGCCTATGAAACTTGAATTTACGCAACGGGTATGATCAAGTATTACAAAAATAAATAAACAACATAGTTCAATGATAAAAGTTTTAATTTAAAGTTCGATTCAACAGGTGTTAACAATAAAAGTTATTATTCGTTCGTTTGTGCTTAACATCAATGGTGAATTTTATTCTCAAGGTTCCACTGAAATATATAAATACATGTATAAAAATTTAGTTAACACATATAAATCCTGTACAGTCAAATGATTTTTGTATTTAAGCAAGTAAACTTTAGCAATAGATGTGCAGTCTTGTAATTTTGTTTCATGCTTCAATTATGTTTATTGATTGTATATGGCCCAATAGGCATATTAACTGTATAAGGCCAACTGCACAGACCAAATAATAACAGTGAATACCTTAAGTTGAAAAACATTTCGCTTTATCATTAAAGTTGTAATCATTGCATTAGGTATTATCCTATCCACATTAGAAAGTTTTCTCATCACAAAATACTATTTTAATTCGATAATAAAACGTCAACAAAATAAGAAGATACTTTTCATGAGTATAATAATAAATATTTCATAATCAAAGATTACGTGCAGAATATTTTTTAAGTATTTTCTTTTATTTTACAGCATTTATATAAAAACTGAAGATCATTCGGTCTGATCCAAGATTATTTCACTCAATCAATCACGTAACGTATATATACGAGTATATATACAATTTGACGAATCGAAAGTTGAAACGTTACACCCCCGCCCCCAACCCATCCCAACTGCCCCCTTTTTTTCTTTTCTTACGTTTGTCACTTTAAAAACTTATAAAATGATTATAAACATGAATTACAATGCATAAATGAAAAAGGATGTACAATTATATTTTTAAAATGCAATATAATGTTAATATACTATTTACAATGTTAAAAAGTATAATGCTTTAAGAAGAAATTCGTTTTATCGACATAGGTAAAATAAATACCACAGCCAATCTTGGTACATGCAAGCACGCCGTCACTGCAGGTACATGTATTACAGTCTACTTTTTTGCTCTGCCCGTCCGGAATGTTTACTTTAATCTTATCACTACCTTCGCCAACTTCATATTTACAAGGTTGCCCTCCTGAAGTATCAAAAACAGATCTTATGGTAATGTATGGAACTTATCAGTATTGAACATTCATTTGACAGAGTATTTTAGATGTATTTCTATGTATGACCTTAACCCGTCCAAATCATTTTGCTTAGAATGTTTCTGTTACATTCTCAAATCGTGCAAAGATTATATTAATTTTATAAAAAAGTTTAAATAAGCTTTAATGTCGACATATTAATGTATCATGCGCCTTTAACATATCGATTTAACATTACCTTTTCAACATTGATATGACTCCGCTTCAGAAAACAATTATTTACCTGATGTCGTCGTCTTAAATCAATACATTAATCATATGTAAGACGGCTTATACAATATTTCATTTTATTGACACTACATTAAAGCAAAGGTCGTGACATATCAAAGTCTTACATATGAGTGAAATTTAAACTGAAAATGAAGACGTGTTTTGGAACAAAGAGAAAAGTGGACATTGGAAATTCACAGTTATTTTATTTTGTCGTCTAGGGGATATGACCATCATGTTTTCATTACCTTTATATTTCGTTGGCAATTTTAAAGGCGTTCATGGAAAACAATTTCTAGTACTACATCCATGTTTGTTGAAAATGTCATTTCTTGAAGACAATAGTACAATAGTACGACAGTCTTATTTCTAATGATTAAAACAAAATAATGCCGGTCGATTCATTGTAATAAAACGGTTCTTGTATAAGCCAGACTCGTAATTCGTTATACAGAACAATCATGCTAATTGCTAAAATAAAAAAGGGTGGTATCATTTTAATCCCGATATTACATCATCTAGCCCCACATTTGTCGGATAGTTAAAACTTTGTTTTTCTGTGTTTTCTTCGATTTAAAGAATTGTTAACTTTCAAAAATTCGGTTACTTCAATTTGTCGCCCATTCACACGATTAAACTAAATTTGGCATATTGTTGCGACAACATAAGTGTACACGTTTTTATTGTATTTTTTAAACATATATCAAAAACATATTCCCGATAACGTTATGGTCATACCTTGGCTTTGCATGCATTTTGGACAGCATAGTCCATTAGCTGGTGGCGATTTGTCACAATTGATTGGTAAATAGCATAAAAACAATGCACACTTATCCACAGGGGTCCCATTGACAATCATTGAATAAGAAAGCAGAACAAATGCAAGCATTATTTTGACCGAATCCATTTCTATCCCACCTTTTTTCTAGAATATAAACATACACACATGACACTACATAATTGTAACGAAAAGTGCAAGCAAAATAAAGAATAACTTTTAGGAACTTTTCATTATTATCTATGAATCAAGCTAAAACTGAACTTCAAATTTGTTTAATATATAATATCGCATGACTGTTGGTTCAATACATTGTCCATAGTCCGCAAGGGATTCTAGAAAATTGCTTCTAAAAAAACAAACAAATAAAAAATGAATTTCTTGTATAATATTTCTCAATATAATCCGTTTTTAATATTTTCAATGTTGAGACCTGTTGTCAATTTAGAAAAAAGTTCTTTTAATACTTTTGATTTGTAAATGATAAATTATATGGTATCTCACTCTCGATAAAGGGGGTTTTACATGAACTTTTCTTAATATTCCTTACTTTTCTTACTGTATTCTAATAACTTACCTCAATATTTTTCCGAATATGTCTCTTAAGATCTAACACTCAACAAAATCGTAAATATCACCTTTCAGTTTCGAGAATAAGAGAATAAGAACGTCTTACAATGTAGAAACACTACGTGTAATGATTAAAGTATATATAAAAATTAATGGTTGACGAAGCATTACGATACACATGATACCTAAAAGTTTTTTTCCACAACATCTGTTTATCTATTTTATATGATATTTGTCAACCATCACATATTACGTTTAATTTTTTAGAATCTCATTAATAACATAATCAACATTTACTGTAACGTCTTAAACATTAGCAATCATTTGAAAATTAGCTTGCCTGTGAGCATAAAGCATCTTCAATAAATACTTGGCCATAATAAAAAAATGTTTCATTGTATTTTGTTATCTTTAAATCATCAGAGTTTTTATTCTTTTAAAAGAAAAATAGAATATACCGGTTCAATGGGAAATACAATTATACAACTTTTGTAAACTCAGTGCAGCCTTTTTTTTGAATCCTGCACAAAAAAAATGTAAAAATAAAATAAGAAAAAACATATAGAGCATATAAACAGCCAAATGTGAATAAGAGTCCCTAAAGTTGTACATTATGCTCATTTTTATTGTCAAGTTAAGCTCAAATAATAGGCTATTATAACGGTGATTCACCAACAATTGATCTTGGAAATTGTTCAGGATATAACATAAATCTAAATCATATGTATATAAAGACTGTCCCACTCTATTCATAATTTGAAATTTACTGGCAAATTGCGAGATATATTTATAAATATTACCTTGGGTCACATGAGTTATTTATCGTTCATGCGAAGGTAATAATAGAATTAAATAGAATACTTACTATATATCCTTGTATTGGCATTATGGCACTTTATAGGTACATTATTCCTCAGAAACGAACACATTTTTACTTCTTTAAAAAGGGCAACCTTGCGTTTTAAAATGTTAAAATAATTGTTTCTGTGCATGTCAGACGTTTAATACATAAAGAAAATAGAGCTATAAATGTGAATTGATTGTCATGCAAATAACAAAATGTAATATAACTTCCATACAAAATAACTTTAACTGATATAATATATGAACGTACACTTATACCTTTCTTGTATTTAATACATGAACTTATTCCTATACCTCTTTATCTTGTATATACATTTTAATTAAACAAAATGTAATATAACTTCCGTACAAAATACAAAATAACTTTAACTGATATAATATATGAACGTACGCTTATACCTTTCTTGCATATAATACATGAACGTATTCTTATACCTTTTTGTCTTGCATATAAAAATACATGAACGTATTCTTAAACTTCAGTCTTTATATTGTATATTATACATGAACGTACACTTATACCCCCTTTTCTTGAATATAATACATGAACTTATAAATCTTTTTTCTTAAATATAATACATGAACGTATACTTATACCCTTTTTTCTTGAATATAATACATGAACGTATACTTATACCCCTTTTTCTTGAATATAATACATAATCGTATACTTATGGCTCCCTTTTCTTGAATATAATACATGAACGTATACTTATAGATCCTTTTTCTTGAATATAATACATGAACGTATACTTATAGCTCTTTTTTCTTGAATATAATACATGGAAGTATACTTATACCCCTTTTTCTTGAATATAATACATGAACGTATACTAATACCCCTTTTTCTTGAATATAATACATGAACGTATACTTATAGCTCCATTTTCTTGAATATAATACATGAACTTATACTTATAGATCTTTTTTCTTGAATATAGTACACAAACTGAACGTTTACTAATTTCCCTTTTTCTTGAATATAATACATGAACGTATACTTATCGCTCTTTTTTCTTGAATATAATACATATACGTATACTAATACCCCTTTTCTTGAATATAATACATGAACGTATACTTATAGCTCTTTTTTCTTAAATAAAATACATGAACGTATACTTATACCCCTTTTCTTGAATATAATACATGAACGTATACTTATAGATCTTTTTTCTTGAATATAATACATGAACGTATACTTATACCCCTTTTCTTGAATATAATACATGAACGTATACTTATAGCTCTTTTTTTCTTGAATATAATACGTGAACGTATACTTAAAGCTATTTTTTCTTGAATATAATACATGAACGTATACTTATAGATCTTTTTTCTTGAATATAATACATGAACGTATACTTATACTCCTTTTCTTTAATATAATACATGAACGTATACTTATAGATATTTTTTCTTAAATATAATACATGAACGTATACTTATACCCCTTTTCTTGAATATAATACATGAACGTATACTTATAGCTATTTTTTTCTTGAATATAATACGTGAACGTATACTTATAGCTCTTTTTTCTTGAATATAATACATGAACGTATACTTAAAGCTCTTTTTTCTTGAATATAATACATGAACGTATACTAAAAGCTCTTTTTTCTTGAATATAATACATAAACGTATACTGATACCCCTTTTCTTGAATATAATACATGAACGTATACTTATAGCTCTTTTTTCTTGAATGTAATACATGAACGTATACTTATAGATCTTTTTTCTTGAATATAATACATGAACGTATACTTATAGATCTTTTTTCTTGAATATAATACATGAACGTATACTTATAGATCTTTTTTCTTGAATATAATACATGAACGTATACTAATACCCCTTTTCTTGAATATAATACATGAACGTATACTTATAGCTCTTTTTTCTTAAATAAAATACATGAACGTATACTTATACCCCTTTTCTTGAATATGATACACGAACGTATACTTATAGCTCTTTTCTCTTGAATATAATACATGAACGTATACTTATTAACCTTTTCTTGAATATAATACATGAATGTATACTTATAGATCTTTTTTCTTGAATATAATACATGAACGTATACTTATACCCCTTTTCTTGAATATAATACTTGAACGTTTACTTAAAGCTCTTTTTTTCTCAAATATAATACGTTAACGTATACTTATAGCTCTTTTTTCTTGAATATAATACATGAACGTATACTTAAAGCTCTTTTTTCTTGAATATAATACATGAACGTATACTTAAAGCTCTTTTTTCTTGAATATAATATATGAACGTATTCTTATACCCCTTTTCTTGAATATAATACATGAACGTATACTTATAGCTCTTTTCTTCTTGAATATAATACGTGAACGTATACTTATAGCTCTTTTTTCTTGAATGTAATACATGAACGTATACTTTAAGCTCTTTTTTCTTGAAGATAATACATGAACGTATACTAAAAGCTCTTTTTTCTTGAATATAATACATGAACGTATACTGATAACCCTTTTCTTGAATATAAAACATGAACGTATACTTATACAACTTTGTCTTCTTTATAAATCATGAACGTATACATAATTTTATATCTCTTTTCCTTTTAAATAATACATGAACGTATACTTATACCCCTTAATTTAGTCAATAATACATGAACGTTTACTTATATAACTTTTTCTTGCATTTCACTGTAAGTCGAAGAATAATTAATTATAAAAACAACATGGTATGGACTCTTTATATCTTTTTTTTATCTTTATTTCATCATTTAGCTTTTCTATCTTTACAATTTATATTATTAATATATCAATTTTGTTTTCGCCTATGAAAGTTCTGGAATGTACAAGACGGCGTATGGTCAATATTGTAAATATAAATAAAACAAACCGTAATAAGGGTTAATTCAGTGATAAAATATTAAATTTAAAGTTCGATTCAAAATATATTGGCAATATAAATTCATGTTCCTTCATTTGTGGCCAAACATAAATAAAGCAAAGTAGTTTACATATAGAACAGTGTCTATTTTAAGTTGAAAAATATTTCGCTATATCATTTGCGACGTCGGTAAGCGGCGTCGTCTCTTATGGAATGCTTTTTATTGGCCTTTGGAAGGAGCTGTTATTATTAGCAGTTGATGATTAGTTTTGTTTTGATTCGTAAAAATCAAGTGAACAAATATGTTGTTATATTTGTATATACTAACTTCATGTAAAAACAATGTGCATTGTGATATTATTTTCACGAAATTGTAGGCTCAGTTAAACATCTTGTCCCTTAGCTTTATTGGCAATACTAAAACCCGGAGATCGAATATCGTTGTGGTCTACATTGATGCCGTATTCTTTTTCATTCATTTATATATTTTCAAAATTGTCCTACAAGAAGAACGTTCACCTGCAAATGAGTATTAGGATAGGTAATGGAACTGCATCGTATTGATTTTATCCATATTACGTTCATCTATTGCACAGAATGATTGCTTTTACAAAGTGTACCAGTATCTGGATGTTGAAAGCTGTCCGATTTTCTGCAGTTACTGCTGTCACATGACCATCTAACTTTTTATGAATACTTTCTACCATTACTTTGCATGGCCTAATAAAACTGAGCATGCAACATTTCATAATTCTGCTGATTTAGTTGTTATTTTAGGTTTCAGGTTTTCTCTATTTTAAGGGGAACTAACTCATGTTTACTAAATTATTTGTTCTTTTCTGTCTAACTTAGGTATTACTTACTATTTTTGTTACATAAAATGTTTGTCCAGATAGTACATGCCTTCGCGTATTCTGATACAGGAATCTTCTAAACACTGAAATTAATTATTATTCTCTATGTGTTTGTATATAAATTGTTAACAAAGTAACCTTTGGTAAAAATGAAAAGTAGAAAATTAAAGCTATGCATATAGGTGCTCATGTCCATATATTAAAACAGAGAAAGGATAACATCCTAAAGTGATCAATTTTAAACACTTGATATATATGCAGTTAGTTATATAGTACAGTCTTATGGTAGGTTAAAAGAGGGACAACAAGTGTATCATAGTAAATGGATATACAGTGTAATGTGTATTTCTGTATTTAAAGACTAACAATTTATATGATGGATGAGACTTGCATCTAAATTTATAAATTGCATCCATATTGATTAGTCTACAGGTTATAGGTGTTTATACCCAGTGTTAACTGGCTAGAACTAGTTACATTGTATTATAATAGAGTTTATACACTATAGTTTTCTTTTCTACTTGATTTTGAATTCC